AAAAAAAAAAAAAAAAAACCCTTAATTCTTCGATTCGCTCATTTTTTTTTCATTCGTACGAGACTGATAAGTTTTATTGACTTTTTAAAACCTTTTATAGTTGTTGAAAAAGTTTATGTGTGTTTAAAAAACAGTGGAGGAAACAAAAAAACCAAAAAAAAAAAAAAAAAAAAAAAAAAAAATACAAATACAAATACAAATAAATATATACATGTACACATATATGTAAAACATATAGGATGGTGAACAAATATTTTTTACATATGGAAAAAAAAAAAAAAAAAAAAAAAAAAAAAAAAAAAACTACAGAGCCAAATGGTGGGTGGAACATTCCTCAAATTCTCAACTCCTTATGAATCAATCGAATTTCCAAAAGTGCTTCTTATCAAAATAAGAAAAAAAAAAAATCCAACAAGTATGAGTAGAGAGTGGGAGGTAAACTACACTTAAAAATAATCGAACAAACCTTTTTACAAAAATGTGCTGCAATATAGAATGCAGGGTTGTATTATTTATTATTGTAAATAATATCCATTTTTCCTTGTTCGACAAAGTGTGGCCCTATAATCATGTGTAACACATATGGGACTTATCGTTAAGTAGCCCTAGGAACCACCCCCACCCCTAATTAAACTCCCTCCTCATTGTTCTTTCTTCTAATTCGTAAAGACCAATGGTTGAAAAAATACGAGACTTACCCATTTCATGCAAATATGAACGATCGTCTTCAGTCGTAAGATTTAAGAGCTTCTGAAATATAACATTTACCTTTTCAAGACGCCCATTGCATTTATGCCATTCATAAAACGGCATAATCATTATGTTATACTTTAATTTTTTTAAAAAAAATAAACGAAGATACACAAAGGGCAATATCTCGATTGATACATCATCAGGTTCTTTAAAATATGCTTGTTCCTCTAAAAATTCAAATATAATTCTTTTTTTCAAGTCCATATATTTAATATCAAATGTGAGTATTTTAACATTTTTTGAAATTTCAATTTGGCTCTTCTCGCTGTTTTGACAGAAACCATATTTTTTCAAAATAATTTCGAATTCGAACAAGGCGCTTTTGCTTCGCTTGTTACATTCCTCAGATCGCACATCTGATTCGTCATAACAACTTATTGTATCGTGATTACCACCTTCACCCTCAGAACCGAGGTATAACACTTTTTTCTTCCCAATTTGATCTCTTCTTGTATATACACTGTCTACATCTATCTGGTTGTATTCCCTCGAAATTATCTCCATTTCATTATCATCATCTGTGTCCAAAAGGACTAATTTTTTTTTGTTAAAACTGAAATCATGCGACGATACTTCCTTCGCTGAAATTTTTTTTTCTTTTTTTTTTCCCCTTCCCCTTGGGTCCTTATCCACCATATGTTGCATGTCCTCGGTATGGTATTCTACATATTTGCATGCTTTACGAATCAGAGATTCAACTTTTTCCTCCACTTCAGCTGCTTCCTTCACTTCAGCTGCTTCCTTCACTTCAGCTGCTTCCTCCACTTCAGCTGTTTCCTCCACTTCGCCTCCCACATCCCACATGCTAACAACACTGCAACTGTTCGATGCACCAAAGTTAGTAGCAAAAAATTTCACGTTCAGTAAAAAGAGACAAAATTGATTATCAGACAGCAATTCTTTCATTTTGAAAATGTCCAAAATTAAATTGGGATACTTATTCTTAAAGGGAATAAATCGAAATGATAAATTCACGAAATTTATTATAACAGGAATGAACTCCTTTTTTAAAGTATCCTCAAATTTTATCTGCTCATATACCATGTCGAACATCACTTGGCTTGTCTGTATGTACATATCGTTCATGCTGCAGTGAATGTTTGTAACCGGGTTTATTAAAATTGGTATCACAGTGAAATACATCTTCAGAAATGATAGTGGTAAAAGTTTTTGCATTTCCTCCATTTTTTCTGTTTCTTTATTTTTCAACATCTGGGAAATCTCCTTCAAGCAGCACTCTACCAATGTTGCATAACGATAAGGATACATATTTTTAAAAGTCTTAAACAATAACTGCATATGATTTTCCCCTAGTTTATACATCCCAATTTTGCTCTCCAAAGAGAGTAATATATATTTTCTTACGAAAAGGTTCCTGCTTTTATGTTGTATTTGTAACTTACTGATTAGGTAAAGCAACTTAATCGTCTCTTCCATCTTCTGTTCATCATTTTTTGCACTCAGTTTATGAGATAACATGAATTTAAATAAAACCTTTTTAAAAACAGAATTGAAGCAACTAAATTCTCTGTCAATGTTTCTAATTATACTAAGTCCACTTACCATTTTAAGTATATGCTCATTTTTTAATGAATATATATTTTCATATATATTTGATAAAATTATTTCAATTAGTCCTTTGTTCATATAGTTTAACTTTTCCAAGTAAAATAATAAATTACAACATTCTATTGCGCTTATTCTTGTCCGCTTAAAGTTTGAAATGTTCATACGTTTCTCTTCACAATCATCATCCATGTGTGTATTAACTAGCCATTCGTTACTTCGGACACTCGACGCTTCCACTGAACTTAACTCATTCAAGTACGCCCAGTTAACCTCCATCACTCGCTCTATCTGCTGATAAATCTCACGAAGCCCATTAGGTTCTTTCATCTCACTAAGCTGATTCAACCCATTCGGCCCCTTCATCTCACTAGACCCATTCAGCCCCTTCAACCATGTTTTACCCATATCTACCTCGTTTGAAAATCTTACACCATTTTTACACTTGAAAAAAACCCTCGATCGGTTCAAAAAGTTGATCATATAATTCTTGTAACAATTCGAATCCTTCCTCCTCAAAGACAGGGAGTATTGTAATATGGTTAAAGCGCTTAAATAGTTTAATGTATTCTCAAAAAGAATATAATTTTCCTTTGTAATGAAATAAATACAACGATTAAAACCTCTCAAAAGTAGCAAAATATCCTTAATAGAAAAGTGCAATGAACATATTAAGCAAATCTTTATAAGATGCAAAAAAACGAAAAAGTTCTCATATCTCACTTTTCCCAATAGCAAAATCTTGTGTAAAATAATTTGGATGTACTTATCCAGATTTTCAAATTCAGGACAATCGTTTTCATCGCAATTAAGTAAAAAGAAATCTCTTCTTTTTATATAATCCGCATCACCCCACACCCTTGAGCATTCCTCCTTCCTTTCTATTAGTCTCTCAACAGATTTGATTAAAAGGAGAGATTCGTCCATTGGTAGCTTGTTATTACTCCTATTTCTGCTACCACTTCTAGAAGTACAGGTTCTCAATGCATGTGATCCCGGACCAACTCCCGGAAAATTATTCCCTCCTCCATTATATCGGATTTCACTTTTCTGTTTTTCCTTAAATAAAAGTTGCATTATAGAGATAAATAATTTTCCTCTCAATGAACTTGCCACTTCTGTACTCTTATTAATCGCACAAAGCTCATAAAACAAGTAAATTTTAGTCGAAAGTGAATCTATCAAGCTGGTGTCTCTTTTGTCTAAAAACACTTCTATTTTGTTCATACAAAAATTGATATGATACATTTTTTTAAAGTAATATAAAATTTTAGCTAGCTCTCCTAAATGGTTATATTCAAAACGAGACAAATCCTCTGTTTTCAACGAATCAAATAAAAAAGAAAAATAACAAAGGGGGAATAAATTATTATATTTTATATTTCTTCTTTTTATAGTATTTAAAATATTTACAAAATCGATATCTTTCAGCTGATTCAAATTTTTTGAATTTTTTAAATTGTGCAAAACATCATAATAACAATTATTATCAATTAAGTCGAAATATTCTAAATCCTCCAATATGTTACACAGTTGCTGTGTATTCGCTTGCATTATTTTTATGTAAAAGGTATTATTCAAAAGTGTGTTAATTTGTGCAATTAGTCCTAAATTTTTTTCATTGAGATGTTCACTATATCGGTTTATTTCTCTCTCTGTGCTGTCCCCACGTAGCTGCTTCATCCACTGGTGAACCAGATGTGCATCCTTAGATCCTTCAACACCTTTCACCTCAGCAAATCCAATACCCTCATTGGAATTTCCTTGAAATAGTTCTTTTCCATCCGAAACCTTCGTCATCGTCAATTGCATTACCAACTTCTTGTTAGATCTTAGTACAGATGATATTCCATGGATCTGCATAAACGGCACAGTGTCGTACAGTTTTCTCAAAAATGAATTTAGTATGATTCCATTCTGCGTGCCGTGCGAGGGAAGTGTAGATAACTGATCGGACTGATCTGACTGACCTATCCGATCAAATGCATTCACGTAAAAATGATACAAAATGGACAGATCTATAGCATTACTTTGATCCAAAATGTGGTCAATATTTTTAAAAAATAAAAGCAAAAAATTCTCGTTATACTTATCTGTCTTTAGCATACTATTCAAAATTAGACTTATACTCCTAACTGGGATATTTTCAAATATTCTCGAAATTTTATCAATCAGCTTGGAATATATATTAATAATCTCCTTCTTGTAATATTTTCCTTTACAAATTACATTAATTAATTGGGATAATTCTATCGGATTTGCTGCAATAGATAATCCATAATTTAAATTCTTTTCATATTTGTCATATTTTTCGTTCTTTAAATTATCATTTAACAATTCACATAGTTTCGTTATTGTCCTTTTACCTTTTTCTTCTTCCTTCACTTTGTGGTAATCCCTATAACACTCTGTTTTAACATTGTCATGTTTGCTTATTATTCTCTTTTTCTCTTCACATTTATTACTCTTCCTTCTATTATTTCTACTCACATTATCAATGTTCTTTGGCTTACTTCTTTGGTTTTTTACAATCACATTGCTGATCAAGCATCTACATGTTCTTGTCCCATGTACCAGATTAGATAATCTATCCACAAGGGTCCTATATTTTTTTGAAAGCATTTTTTCTGTGCCTCATGAAATTGAAAACGAAGCAGCACTTGGGGCAGTGTAGTTCCGAGAATTTACCAACATTTGACAGATTTTACGCCACGATATCGCGCTAATAATATAACGAGATGAAAAAAAAAAAAAAAAAAAAAAAAAAAAAAAAAAAAACTGTAGCAAATGTTGTATTGTTATTTTTACAAATTTACAACGTTTTCTTCACTGATTCCGGTTAGCATTTTTTTTTTATTTTTTCCCCTTTATGTTAAACTTTTATAATTTGTGGAGGAAAGGTAATAATTTTTATTTAAAAAAAATGTGTATTTTTTTAAGTGAAAATAAGCAATATTAGGAGCTAATATTTGAATGTCCTTTTTCCATTAATATGAAAATATATTGAGACACATATTAAATGACTTTTTTTTTTTTTTTTTTTTTGCATATGAAATTTTAATATATCATAACAAATGATAACTTACTCAAAAAGCGTTAATCTTAAAGAAATCTTTGATTTATAACTCTCTTTAAATGGAGTGTTACACATTATGTAACAAAATGGAAACTTCAGCCTCTCGTTGTTCACTTTTTCTCATCGTCTGAAGGAATGATACCAGCCTTCTTCCATTCATTATAGCTTAAAAAGGAGGGGAAAATAAAAAATTAAGAAAAGTTAAAAAGTAATATATAGGCACAAAATAGCGCACACAATGGATAAGGTCACATGGGGGTAACTGGTGTATATCCCCATGAAGTAGTGCATTTCAACATATAATTTAAAAATGAACGACTTTTCAAAATTACGTAGTATGTCCCAATTCCTTTAGGAGCTTCTTTTCCATAGATTCCTCAGATTCTTGTGCTTCTTTTTTAATGTCTCTCTTGACATTTTTTATGTAACCAAGGGGTGTCTGTAGACCATCACCTGTAACCATTAGCACAAGCATGCTTAGTGATGTGAAGGCCAGAACCTTGACCTGTGCGTTCTGAAGTGTGTGCAAGGGAAAACGAGGTGTCTCACTGACGTTTCAATTGATACCTACTGGTGTTGATATTGTGTATACACATATACAAATACTTACATGTACATGTATACATATTTAAGCACATTTCTACATATTTCCACATCCACGAATAGGGGAAGCAACACACCTACGCATATCGGTATGCTTACAACCCACTTCTATCAACCGGGATATGGTAATAGAAATGACATCATGTATCTCCACTCTGATTTATGAACTCTCTCTCTTTTTACTGCAAATTTAGAATTACCGAAAAATTCCCGTTTTTTACAAAAAGCAGGTTCTTCAATTTATCCATTTCTTCCGGAACAACTTTTAAATTGCAACACTGTGACTCATTTAATCAGATTTTCCTTCTTTTATTTTTTTATTTTTTTTTCTTTTCTTTTTATTTTTTACGAACACATTACAAGAATATGTTTAGCATACTCGAGCAACGGTGCCTCAATGAAGCTTTATTTCAGTTGCCCTATATATGTTTTATGATGCACATATGTAGGAATATGCTAGAGCATATATTTATATATGCTTTTTTTGTGTATGAGTTTTCCGATTATATTTCTGCATTTACAAGTCAATTTCTTTGCTATCCTCCACAGTGCTTAATTTTGCCTGACACAATCAGGTGTTTTTAACGGTATTTTCAAAAAAATATGAACAAAAAAAAAAAAAAAAATAAAATAAAATTAAATCCAATTCAACTCGATTAAATTAAATTAAACTCAGCTAAACATTTAAAGAAAAGAGAACCGCAAAAAATAGGATAGAAAACGTTGAACATATTGAATCATTATGTTATTAACTATATATGAAAAATAACCGCTATATTATTACACATATGACCATATCATCAGACGCCACTTAGATTTTTCCTCTCCGCCTCTTTTTCTTTTTCCTTTTTTACCGAATACATAGGTATGAAAGAGCATATATTGTGTAAAAATGAAAAATGTTTTGCCACAGCTTTTCGAGAAACATTAATGAACTCCTTTTTAACAGATTCAATTGTTACTTTTTGAAAAATGTTCAAGTAAGAAATCACAAAATAGTTAAACCTAGGAATATTATTAAGCTATGGAAAATTAATAAGGGAGATGAAGTTAAGGTGATATCAGGAAAGGATAAGGGCAAAGTAGGAGAGGTATTAAGTTGTGATAAATTTAGAAATATGGTTAAGGTAAAAGGATGTAATTTAAGAAAAATATATCTCGATAATAAATTTGTTTATATTGAAAAAAAAATTCATTATTCAAATGTACAGTTGATAGATGATTTTTTAAAAACAAATACGAAAGTGTGCATTAGGTACACAGATGATAATCAGATTATACGAATATCAAAAAAATCGGGAATTGTCATTCCTTGGCCTTCTAAGACAAATAAAGAGGATGACTTTGAGGACGTCGAGGAAAACCCATTAGACACGCCACCTCAGGAGGCCCTCAAAAAGACGTATGACTACAAAACGGATGTCAAGTTCATGAATATATTAAGACAAACGATTAACAAATACAATAGGGAGTTGTCATAGCCCAGGGTGATACTTGGAATATACAACGTGGTAGTTTGTTGGCTTATATGTACCCTTACTCATTTTATTAGTGCATTTGTAAAGAGTGGAAACGGTGACAGATATAGTAATCCACTAAAACAGATTTTTGCTTAACAGGAACGAGCACCACAACTGTTTACATAATAAACTGCAGACATGTGAAATTGCGTTACTGCGCCTCCTTCTGCATCAACGGATTTTCTTTTAGTTTTTTTTTTTGGAAGTTCCACCATACAGCCCCCATTTTGAAGAACGGAAATGAAAACATTATTTAATTGGTTTAAGCGCCTTAATTAATTTATCATGTTTAATTGATTTGATTAATTTAATTTATTTTATTATTTTTTTTTTTCCCCTTTTTTGCGAAAAATAAAAAGCATTCATGTAACGAAAAACTTAGGAATATTGTAACAGAAATATGTGGGCATGCAATTTTTACGTTTAGAAAAATTGAATAAAAAGAAATAAAAAAAATACACTTGGAATTACCTTTAGCTAACACGTTACAAGAACCTATGCTTCGTTTTATGCTATTGTAGACTCTACATCTTTCTGGGTGCGTATTCAGATTTTACATATGCCCATATATAGTATAGCTATACATACGGATGCATGATAATGATTGCTGAAAATAGGGGGTCAGCTACCATTGTCCAACACTTATATATAATAAACGCGTCCTGTCCAAAACACTTCAGTGACACGTGGCTAACATAAATTTTTAATCGATTTACAAAAAAAAAAAAAAAAAAAAAAAAGGCGAATTAAATAACGAAAACCTTTTGGACTACACTTTCTTTTGTCTCTTACCAAAAAGATCAATTGAATTTTTGCATGTCTACATTTTTACTAGCAAAGAATTTAACAAATAGAGTCAGCATATTGTCTCTGCCTTCATAAAAACAAATCGTTCTTTTTTTTTTTTCCCCCCTTTAAAATTTTATATTCGTTAAATTTTATTTTTTTGCAAATTAAACAGATTTTTTTGTTAATTAAAAATATATTTTAATTTAACCATTGGGTTGTATATCCTATGGTTTATATTTTTTTTTAAAGTGTCTTTTTCATTTTTTTTCTTTTTTAATTTTTCAATAAATGAATATTCATCAAAGGTGAGGTGTGGTAACAAAACGGAAACCTTGCCATGGTATATTAAACTTCACAAATAATAATTGAGCATATATTTAAATGAAAAATTCTGGCAATGAATGTGTTAGTATATAATGTGTCTGTTATGTATATAACACACGTGTAAAGGATAACCATGTTGATTATGCATACTTCTCTGTTTCCTAGCCATAATCTGTGACAGTCACTGTTTTATTCGTTGTATATTGCATTCGCGCATGCATATATCTAATATACATATAATACTTATAATACATATAATATATATAATATTTACATATAATTAAATTTTATTTTTATTTTATTTATTTATTTATTTTTTTTATTTGAAGATATATGTAATTATCTAATGTCTTCTAAAAAGGACGTAAAAAAAAAAAAAAAAAAAAAAAAAAGGTTACAAGTGTACGGAGCACATTAATCATTAACCAGCCATATGTTTGAGTATTATACCCCCATATTGTATATTATTATTTTTACGCACTATGTACAAAAGTGCATAGTGAAAATGAATACGTAATAATCGTGTAATATTTATATATACATATATTATGTGTATATATAATAATATGTATACCCCCCCCACAAGTGCTGCAACAAGCAGAATTTTGCTTCACAAAACTATAGCGCATGGTGGGGTGAAAATTGCGTAAAAAATGGTACATATAAAAAATAAAACATTATATATTATACTCAATCCATGAGTAATATATATATATATATATATATATATATATATATATATATATATATTACAATAAAAATATGTGCACAAAAACGTATGCGCAACAATTGAAGCATCATATATTATTTTACTTTTTCCGTCATGAGCGGGATGTCCCACCTCCCCCCATCATTATATATACACAGTTCTTATTTATTACATATGCTTGCGTGCGAAAACATGCTATACATAAGTACATGTATATATATATACATACATACATACATACATACATACTCTATTCCATATTATGTATAATAAATACGTACTTAAGTGGATGCATTTTTTAATTGCCCCATATTATTTTATTTTTTTTTTTTTTTTGCAATATCATATGCGTGCTTCAACAATTTTGAGAAATCTTGGTGGACGAAAAACAAAAATAAAATAAAAATAAACAATTATAAAAACGAGGCAAAAAAAATAAAATAAATAATGCAATAAAAAAAAAAATAATTACCATTTACATGTATATAATGTATATACATAAGTAAAAAAATACATGGCACGAGTACAGTACATAAATATATGAAATATAGAACTTTTTTTTACGCGCGCAAAAATAAAAATGTAAACGAAAATAAATTAGTTTAAACAAGTTAAACATATGAGGAATGAACCCAACTGTAATTTAATATACATGCAAAGTAAAAAATTTATGAATAAAAAAAAAAAAAAAAAAAAAAAAAAAAAAAAACATACTCAAACGAGGGCGAAAAAACGTATATACATTTTATATACCATTTATTCCTATTTATTATATATGAAACACATATATTTTTTTAATTTTCTTACCTCCCTACCGATTTGACCAATTCAGCATAAAAAAAAAAAAAATAGTTTTATATTAAATTCTCATCTTCATTCTTTATAGTACAATTTTTATCTCATCTCATCTATTCAATTTTTTTTTTTTTTTTTTTTTTTTTTAAGCGTAAATGCTATACCATACAAATACCTCTTCTTTTTATTTTTTTTATAAAACACATAAATTACATAAGTTGAAGTGAAAAACATTATGATTGAGTGAAGCATAAAAAAAAAAATAAAAAAAATAAATAAATTAAAAAAAATATTATGTAATAAACGGCTTTATGAGAATGTGTCATTTTTTATATATTTATCACGTTTTGCTCATGTTCATTTTTCTTTTTATCACATATATTAGTATAATTATTGTTCCCCTTAAAAAAAAGGGACTTTCCAACCCCCCATAATCACGCTGTACATATATATAATACATATATAACATATTTAACATTTATACGTCTGCATTCAAATGGAAGATTTTGTTTATTATTCATTTCAACGAAATAGAACATTTTCCTTTGTATGAAAATCTCGAAGAAAAAAGAAAAAAAAAAAAAATAAATAGTTCCTCCTGTTGTATGTTAGCAAACGCAGTAGAGAGAGAGAAGAGTAGCATGCATTTTTTTTTTTTTTTTTTTTTTTTTTTTTGAGGAAAAGAGAATAAATAATAAATGGGTACATATAAAACTCCACCCCAATGTTAATAAATGTAAGCAATTGATGAAGGACTAAGTGTATTTTCAGGAGATAAATTGAGTACCACGGCATGAATGAATAAATAAGTAAATATATGTATGTATGTATATATATATATATATATATATATGCACATGCATAAGTTTACGAAAACATGAAACAAAACAGCTGTGTGAAATTGTATGTATCAATATATAAAAACAAAAATATAACCTACGCGTACCACACGTATATGTAAAACGCATTTACAAATCACATACATTTGATGAGAGGATTTTAATGTACGTACCGTACCTTTGCTTTGGAGGAATATGCGTATGCATATTTGTTTTTACACTTATATGTGTATATGTGCACACACATATATGCATACATATATATATGTATATATTTTTTCTGAACTCTTATGTAATTAATGTACATCCATTAGGGGTTTAATTGAGGGAATTTGTTTCTTACTTGTTATAAAATTCCCAGTTTTTTCGTCAACTTTTTCATCATCATTACGCCCAATTTTACATAGGCGTTTTCTTATATGTTCTTGTCTATCATATTACGTCTATCTTTTCGCCATCTTTACCCCTTCTTTTTCATGTATGTTCCATTAATTTCGACGCATTTCCCCTTCTGCTTTGATTTTTTTGCATTTCAGCTTTACATTCTTTCCAGCTCAATTTCACCGGTTAGCTACATTTAGAGTAAAATAAAAGGAAAAAGAAAAATAATAAGAAAAATAAAAAGAAAGGAAAGGAGGAGAAAAAGGTGGATAGTGCATACGCCAATCACATGTGCTTCGTTCCCACGAATACACGGCAGCATATTGGTACATGTAACGAATATACGCACGTGCATAACTTTTGTTGTGTTTTTCGTGTATATATATATATATATATATATATATATATATATATACATGCACGCACATCATCATCAAGTAATTTCATGTTTACGCGAATCTACATATATTAAACATCTCTTTTTTTCGACATATTATACTATTGTTCCTGAAAATTTTTGTGCACACATATCAAGGAATTTGTTTTCGAATAAGGGATTTATCATCAAAGGGAATACATGTAGGGAAAAAAAAAAAAAAAAAAAAAAAAGGTATATCATATGAACATATACTTTCGTAGGTATTACAGGAACAAAACAATTGTCAGCGTATAAATGCAAGTGTCGTCGTAAGGATTAGTGCATAATTGTGGTTTAATTCTAATACAAGAATTGGGTATATATATAGCTCCAGGATTGTGTATATATTTATATAAGTGTTTAACAAAATAGGGACACTACTGTTTAATATATCACCTCTCCCCTACCTGTTCGAAGGAAAAATTCCAAAAATTCTCAAGAGAGACCGAACGAGAAACGTTTCTTTAGGCAGCTGTTATTTCATTTCCCGTGTTAGTAGGCAAAAAAAAAATTCCCCAAAAGGTTTGAGTGAGTCGGTTAATTTGCTTTTATCCCAAAATTACGATGCATATGTATCACTCCCCGCCTCCCCCCCTCTAGCCGTACATGCACACAGGCACACTCACCACACCTCCATCTATAGATTTGTATTGTATATATTATTCTGTTTATTCATTCTTACCCTACATTCCTATTTATTATTTTTTATGTTGTTCCTATAATTTTTGTTTTTTTCATTTTTTTTTCCTGCACGAGTATAAGCATTGGAATTATATATGCACACACAAAAATAAAATAATAAAATAAAAAAAAAATCGAAATTTAAGGCACGTTTGGATAGATACTCAAAAATATACACGAATAGACCATTATTCCAATTGTTACACACGATCGAAATAACGTTTTTTTTTTTTTTTTCTTTTTCTTTTTTTTTCCGAGTTGTGTGTGTTGTGTGGGTGGGGGGAACTCATTTCCCAAAAAAAAAAAAATATATATATATATATATATAAAGGCAAAAATGATAAAACAAAAGAGGTCTTACACGCATGCCAACCATGAAGGAGAAATAAGCAACAATAGTGAGGAGGAAAATACATTTAAAAGACCACGAAATGAGAGTGCTAGTAGCAACAGGTCATTCGGAAGTTATAATGATGATGATAATGGTAATTATAACGATAGCTATAACGATGGCTATAACGATAACTATAACGATGGATATAACGACAAGTATAACGACAATGATGATAGAATAAATTATTCTGGTAGTAGTGGGATAACTACAGAAATGAGAATCCCCTACTGCCTTCTCTTACCAAATAGGGCCATCGGATTTGTTATTGGAAAATCGGGAAATAATGTCCGTGAAATTGAAAAAGCTTGCGGGGCTATCATAAAATGTCAAAAAGAATTTGATGTATCAGTTTACCCACCCCCAACTGAAAAAATACTTACCATTTTTGGAAAAAAAGAAAATAAAAAAAAAGCATTAGAATTAGTTTTAGAAAAATCAAAAAATGTTATGGATTTTCATGAAGAAGATGGAAAAGAATCGATTGTTATAATTGTACCTACTAGATCCATACCAATCATTATCGGGCAGAAGGGATCTAAAATTGCTGCTCTATCTGAAAAATCACAATGTGAAATTAACGTTCATAAGGATGATGTTCCAGGAATTAAAGATAAGGCTATATTTATTAAATCAAAAAAAATTGGAAAAATTATTGATTGTATAGGTATCATTTATGATCTACTAGAGGATATTGTTGAAAATGGTATTCTTTCCATGTATGAATTTCCAGGCGTTTCAAAAAATGGTTCCAATGGCCCATCTGGTACTGTAGGTTATAATCCCTTAGTAGATGCACCTGGTGGAAACACTGGAGGAGCAGGAGGAGGTTCTATGAACAACAGTAATGTTCCAATTAGTGCAACAGGAAATATGAACAACAACATGATGAATAATCACAACGGTGGTAGTGGTAGTGGTGGACCTAACAATCACTACGGTCCCACGAATAACCATTTCCACAGTGGAGGGAAATACATGAAAAGAAATGATAATTCGTATGAAAATATAGGCAGTGATGATTATGACAACTTCTCGGTTCCGAAAGAAAAGAATTTGCTATTGCACAAATTTGGAAAAGAAATTAGCGCTTGTGTTATTCGTTTTGTTTTAGATGTGGAAACTACGGCTTGGATTATAGGAAAGTCTGGATGTCATATAAAAGAGATAAGAACCATAACAGGAGCAGGTGCAGTAATAGTGGATGCACCTGATAACATTGAAAATGTAAAAACATGTGATCGTATTTTAACCCTATCCGGGTCGGCGGAAAATAAGTTTAATGCACTAAAATTAATTGTAAGACAAATGGAAGAAAGAGAAAAAAACATTAATCATCCAATGCGTATGTTAGTTCCAGGTAAGGCAGCTAGCTTTTTAATAGGTAGAAAAGGATCAATTATAAAATATATAACTGAAATGTCAGGTTCTCAAATTCAAGTAGCGAAAAATAAAGAAAGTGAAAATGAAAAGCTAGTCTTAATTAGCGGTTCACCAGATTCCAAAATTTTAGCCTCTATCTTGGTTCTACAAAAATTAGAAGAATACGAAAACCCGGCCATAGCAAGGGAAGGGTTATTAATTCCCCTAAATGATACTTATTTTAACCCAAATAATAGTAAATATACAAATAATAAAAAAGGAAATAACAACAACAGTAATGGTAATAACTATAATAATAATAATAACAACAGTAACAATAATGCATTACCCAATAAATCTCTGAATAACAATCATCAAATTGGTATGAACGTCAACGATCGTTACTTCTCTTCAAACTCTATGACAAATAATAACTATGGTAGTTCGGCACATAATGGTAACACTGGTTTTAATTCAACCAACAACCGTCTTGATAGTCGCTCGAACATCCACCCAAATCAGCATTCTAATAATCTTACCAATAATCGGTATGTAAACAATAAAGAGGATGGTATCCATGTTCCTATGAATAATTACCCATACGATGACATTAACATACCTAATAATAATAATAGCACCAATAACAATCATTCAAACATGAATAATCAACAACTTAGTTCACTTAAAAATCCAAATGACATGAAAGATAAAATAGAGAAAATGTTCTTACAACAAATATATAAATCTTTTCCCATTTCTTCACTACCCAAAATATTATCTATCACACAACCATACACCATTGAATTAAACATGCCTGATGTATATTTGGAAACATTTGATTCACAAAATAAAAATGGAAAATCATTAATAGAAGAAATTATTGAAAAGTCTGGTTGTAATATATCTATATGTACAGATTCTAACGATTCTTCTTCTTACACCTTTATTCTCTCCATAACGGGTTCACCCCTTGCCAATTCTATTGCCATTCTTATGATTCAGGCCAAAATATTTCAATTCGATTGGTTTTGAGATTATATTTATGTACTCTCATATATAAAAGTATATATAAACGTCGGTGTGCTTTTTTTTTTTTTTTTTTTTTTTCCCCTTTCTATTAATAAACACACTAGAACACACACACACCTCATCATTCCCAATTTTGGAAAAAAGTTATTTCAATTTTATATCTAAAAATCATTTTTATATCTAATTCCGATGTATGTTTTACTCCTTGACTCATCTCTCCCTCTTTCTTTCGTACCTTACTTATACACATATCCCCATTTTTTTTTTTTTTTTCTTTTATAAAAAGTATTTCCCAAAGGTGTACTGTTTTTTTTTTTTTTTATTATTTATCATTATTTTATTTTTTTTTTTTTTTATCAGTAGTGTTTAACTTTTCTTCAACCCGGAAAATTAGCACAACTTATATTATGTGTAGACGGTTATGCCATTGTGTTACCATTTTTTCAAAAAATATTTTAATCTTAAAATTTCAACTTGTGGGATAAAATGAATCCCTCATTTTGACTGTCTCACGACTTAACTGCTTAATTTTTTTTTTTTTTTTTTTTTTCTCATTTTTATTCCCTCGTGGTACAGATATAAATTTACCACAATAGGAACATTATCTATGTGTATTCTGTCGAGTACTACTTTTTATGCACACAGAGCAGAAATTCATTTAAGAGGCAAAATTTTACAAGTTTTTTCAAAATATTTAAAAAAGCTATAGATATATAATTTAATAAAGCCATAAACATAAGGTAATAAAGTCATAAACATAAGGTAATAAAGCTGTAAGCATAACTTCATAAAGCTACAAACTTAACTTCATAAGGCTGTAAACATAACTTCATAAAACTGTAAACATAATTTAAAAAACCTTTTAACAACTTCTTAACAAATGTTATATGTTCCTTTTCATACTCAACATCCACAAAAATCCAGGTGAAAACATAATGTTATGCAAAGGTGTGCTTCCAAATGAGGAGAGAAAAATATGATACAAAATGGACAGCACAAAATCCGATCTTTACCCAAATGAACTATTCTCCAAATTCCGGTACATACTTTGGTTGTATATAAACTGAGTCTCCACCAAGTCTGTACAAATGTTGAGGAAATGCATTATATGGATGTTCTTCTCCATCTGGCAATTATGTTTACATATTGTATAATGATGCAAATTCTCATTCTTCATTTCAAATTAAACAGTGCCTTCGTTTTTAAAAATTCATGACTCTAATAGTGAAAGAATTGGAATACACAAAAAAAAAAAAAAATAAAATAAATATTTTGAAAAAAAAGACATTTTTCCGCATTCGGGTGTTTAAAAAAATTGAATGGGCACTTGGATTAGTGCGGTTCGAAACGTTCACGCGATTTGTGTGTATCTCGTATGGATTTCATGATCAGTACAGTTGTTGTTGTTCTTCTTCTTATTCTTTTTTTTTCTTTCTTTTTTTTTTTTTTTTTTTTTTGTTTCCATTTCAAAATTTCTACCTGTATGAGGTGCATTTTTTTCTTTGCAGGGCTTCTATAGTCTTTAACCACCGTGATGTTGCTACAAGTTCGGGCAAAAAAGGAGAAAAACGGCAGAAAAAAGGGAGAAAAAAGGGAGAAAAAAAATGTTTTACGTCCCTCTGAAAATGTCAAAAATAAGACTTAAAGTAGGAAGGGAAACGTATTAAAGACAAGTTTATGCAATATCCCCCATTGTGACAACACTTACTAATAATCAAAATTGGATATTCCATGGTTCTCATCGAAAATTCGCAATTTATCAATCTTATTCGTTTGTGATGAGTACATGTCAAACCAATGCCTCAAATATGAAATGGCATATGAATCACCTTGAAACTGAAAAGGAGTGGAGAAAGAATAAAAGTCGTAGATTGTTTATGTGAAAGTAAAACATGTATTTTGAAATGTACATAAATGTGGATATATAGAACTGTGTTTCCATTTTATTGGAACATAAGATAACAGTTCTTTTTTTTTTTTTTTTTTTTCCCTCTCCGTCTCTCTCTCTATCACTCTCTTTCAATATTTCTTTATCTATCTCTCCCTCCTTGGATTCCTTACATGACCCATGGCAAACCTCTTCCTGCATTTAATCCACCCAACTATGAACATGCGCTTGGCAGTTCTGTACAGTTCATCGCAAAAGACGTTTCCTTCATCTGTACACAAAAAAAAAAAAAAATGGAGAAACGGAGAAATCATTGCATTGTCATAACATGACGGGGCCTCGTGTCCATAGTCCTAGATGCAAGTAAAGGCAGCTGATCCATCTGGATCCAAACATTGTCATGACAGGTGCACTTTTTCAAACGAACCTTCAAAAAAACCGTTTATCTCAAATCTGAATTTAGATTTCACTTCATGAAAATTTGTTATGTCATAATTTCTTTTCATTTCTTCCCTTCTCACTACAGGTGGTTTATATTTGCGAAATCCGGTTACCTGTTTGATATATGGGGGAACATGAAAAAAAAATATCAAAGGAAGAAATGTCGAAATGTATATGTTGAATAGGCAAAAAATTCATATTTGCATCTTTCATTTCGATGCTTTGTATGTATGAACTTGTTTTTTTTTTTTTTTTGGCTGCACATGGAGGGAATGTACATTTTTTTCAACTCTCTTCTTGTCATCCCAGACACACAAATTTGGATATGTACATATAAGTAAACAGATTCTTTGTGCCACATTTTTATTTCCAACCTGGCGATTCAGTATATCGAACTGCTTGACGAATTCTGGATGGCCCTTCCTTAGCTTTGGTTCCCATTTTTGTCCTTTATCTAGTAATAAATTTTGCCTGAATAAAAAATGCGGCTTTTTATGGATTGACAAATTAAGCCTACTTCTAATCTTCTTCGAAACTGGGGTTGGGATCATTTAGCCAGTATATATACATGCAGGTCAAATGTGGGATGTACATGTCCGGGTTCATCGAACAAAAATTAAACACACTTTGTTGTTTTGGTGCTTTCTTGGCTGACTGTCTTGGTTGATTCTCTTGGCGAATGCATAACTGGCTCTTTTTCCAACTACTTGAACGATTAATTCCCTCGCTCATTATTTGATGTGTCGACAGGGAAGAATTCCCCAAAACATTACTCCCTTTGGCGACTCGGCAGTCATCAAATTGTTTTTCCCAAGAACTTCTAAATTACTTTTGGGGAAGAAAAAAAAAAATTAAATAAAATAAAATATACGTGAAAAATAATATTCCAAAGATGTTCTACTTTTCTAACAGTTTCTCCTCCACATGCAAAGGTATCTTAAGAATATATGTATATATATAAATGTATTTACATATATATGCACAATACAAATGTGCATCGTGACTGTTGATGGATATTTTTTTTTTTTTTTTTTTTTTTTTTTTTTTCCACACTTTTTTCTCCAACTTTTTTTTTTTTTTTTTTTTCCCCCCTTTTTTTCTCCCATTTTTTTTTTTTTTTTTTTTTTTTTTTTTTTTTCCACATTTATTTTTCCAATTTTTTTTTTTTTTTTTTTTTCCACACTTATTTCTCCAATTTTTTTTTTTTTTTTTTTTTTCCTACACATAGTTCTCAATTTTTTTTTTTTTATTTATGAGTAAGATAATTCGAAAGAAAAGAAAATCTGATAACTAAATTTCACGCATTTTCTTTATTTATTTTTTCCGCCCACCTATAGTAGGAATGTAAAAATAGGTTATCATCTTTTTCTTTTTCCCTCACCTATAGTAGGAATGTGAAAATAGTTTATCTTTTTTTTTTTTTTTTTTTTTTTTTTTTATGTATAAATCACTTGATTAATAAGTCGACATGCTACATTTGGGGTTAATCACCAAGTCGACCAGTCGACTAACCGCTAAATAATAACATACGAGCGTGTCCATTTGATGATCAAACCTGGATATTTGGTGACCCACCCCTTAATATAGATTAAAAGAAATAGGTAAAAAATAAAAATGCCTACATAATGCGCATTCCCCTCCACAGAGACGCACATTATTAGTCATATTATGTCATGTTATGTCATGTTATGTCATGTTATGTCATGTTATGTCATGTTATGTCATGTTATGTCATGTTATGTCATGTTATGCCATGTTATGTCATGTTATGCCATGTTATGTCATGTTATGCCATGTTATGTCATGTTATGTCACGTTATGCCATGTTATGTTTTTTTTTCTTTTTTTAATTTACTCCAATAAAGTGTATATCTCTTGAATGACAAGAAGATTGATTTGTAATTTTTGATGACAAAAGCAGAACATATACGAGATCCATATATGATGAAAAACCATTATGTAAACTTTATGAATGAGGTTATTTGGCACATCCACCGCACCCCAACCCCTTCACTTGACTTGAGCGTGAATAATAATTATAGTCACAATTCCTTGTATATTATAATTACCCACACAACTTTGTATAGACAAAATGAACGATTCAGTTAGTAGCCCGGTCAAGGCCACGTGTCGAGACATGGCCTTAAAAAGTAGTTTGCATTCCTTCACGTTCAGTTTGAAAGATTTCGATATCGCAGGGTTTCTGGTAAAAATGTGAAAGTGAACTGGAGTTAACAAAATGGGACATTTTATCTCGCTTGAAAAAAAGAAAGAAAAAAAAAAAAAAAAAAAAAAGAGATAAAGAGAGACAACTTTTATCTTCTATAAAACGAGAGAAAGTCCTACCCGCTCTACAAAATTGTACTTATAGATAGGCATGCTGCATGGAAGTACTGTATATCAGTACGTAACTGAGTCTCCCTATACATGCATCCTTTTCCTTTATATATATATATTTATACATTTTTCCGCTCCTTTTCAGGGAGATGGGGCCCACGGAAGTGTATTCCTCGCCTGCGAAAGGAGAACAAATTTCATTTGTGTCTTAAAATGTATATCAAAATCACACCTTGTGAAGTAATCTATATAATTTAATACATAGTAAACATGGTAGTATGATCATGCCATTGTTCATTCTTTCAATACACATCCCTTGACCAACTGTTCATACACTGTGCCTCCAAACATTTTTTATCCATTTTTAAAGGAGTACTCAAGAAGCTTTGCTAAGAAAGGAGATAGAATTGCAGGCTCATTTGAAACACCCCCACATAGCATGGTAAGATAGGGGAAGAAAAAAAAAAAAAAATCTCATAAAATTGCTCCAAATTGTGACGAATTATTTCATCTACTTCTGGACCTTATAATATGTCCACGCGGACAAACGATCGAACAAAAATGAACCCAAACCCCATCGTATAAAAAGACAAGAATTACTATATGACCAAATGTATAACTACTACCCCTTCTTACACCTGCAGTATGTATACATGGTTCCACACAAGCAGCCATGTATTTTTCGTAATGGAATATTGTTCTAATGGTGATCTTTTCACTTACCTAAATGAACATGGGCCATTTTCTGAGAAAAGAGTAGCCGAAATGCTCTTCGAAATTATTTGGGCTATAAGAACATGCCATGATAAAAGAATAGCACACTTGGATTTAAAACCAGAAAATGTATTAGTCAATCATGAAGAGAAATGTAAATTAGCTGATTTTGGACTATCCGCACATATAGGATCAAAACACAAAAAAAAAGGAATATCACATTATAGGGGAACACATGATTATTGGTCACCTGAACAATGTGCTAGACATCAAAAAAAAAAACAGAATTTTGGAGAATTTGATCAAAAAACAGACATATGGACATTGGGAATATTAGCATTTGAATTAAAATTTGGAAGACCACCATTTGGATCGACTAATGAAGAAAGAGAAACAATTATTATGAACAGAATTCAGGAATATCACTGGAGTCAATTATTTTGTGAAAAAGTTAAACAAGATTTAATTGATAAGTTATCACCTGAGTTTAAGGATTTCCTAAATTTATGTCTAGATAAAAATCCAAAAAAAAGACCAACAGCAGAATCATTAATTCAACACCCATTTATTTTTACGCACAACAAAAATAGGCCATGTATTAAATCATATGCTACCCAACCAAGGGGTAAACAGGGCCCAAAACTTAATCACAAAGGATTTAATGAGCAGGATGGTTCGTTCCTCACTCCCATTTGGTTCCACAACAAGGGGTAGCTCACACGTGAAGTGAATTTGAGGTGAATAGAAGCTGTGTGTTTGTGTGTGTGTGTGATATAGAATAAAAGGAGGAAATGAAAATGCCAGAGAATATACAAGCAGAAGGAGCAAGGCGGAAACGGAAGACTGGGAGAATAAATCTAGAAAGGATTATTGCTGCATCATTAGAATGGACGCCCGATTCTCTTTTTTTTTTTTTCGTATTTTTTGATTTTTTTTCGTTAATTTGGACATTTTTGCCGTTTTTGCTGTTTTTTCCATTTTCGCCATTTGCACCCGTTCGCCCATTCACTCTTTTCGTTTTGAGCCCTTTTTTTTTTTTTTTACTTCGTTTTTTTCAACTCGCAAAAAAAGATGAAAAACGAAAATCACCTGCACGTTGTTACAACCCGTTACATGTTGAGGAAAATTCGAGGATTGAATTTGGGATTCTTAATGTTGACCCTAAGGGACGTATGATTATATACCAGCTATAACATTCTGTGTAAATGTGTTCATACGGGATTTGTGATCCCTCTGAAATTGAATCTAACGAAAATTGCAAACTTATTATTTTTCTATTTAAAAAAAAAAGAAAAAAAAGAAAAAAAATGTGTGTTAAATCTCATCGTAGAAACTTACACAGAGTTATTAAAAAAATAAATAAATAAATTTACGCACCAAGGGGGTGAAATATGTTGTTCACTACACTGCAAGACGAGGGGATAAAAATGATGTCAATTAGTGGCAGATGAAGGAAAAAAAAAAAAAAAAACGCATACAAGCATACATATATACATACTTACATACGTACGTACTTGCATACACACACATGCACAGCGTCACCTCCTCGGGGCGGAAAACTTTAAAGCGCGAATAGATGAATATGCCATGAAAATGTGAGAAAGAGAAAAATTAAAAATGCTAACATGTCATGATGCTATAATTTTAGACTACCAGAATTTAAGATTTCTAGGCGAAAAAACACCGCGGCCACCACTGGCACTACCACGGACCCATCTCATATATTAGATATGGAATTTTTGAACTCATCGAAATGCATTTCCCCATTATTATTTAAGTCCATAATGCTAAATATACGTTTCAGAGTTTCCTCATTAAACTCGTTTTCAAATTCCTTCGCTGCTTGGATAAAATTTTTATTCGATACATAACCCTTTTTAGTAGTATCAAGTAAATTAAACAAATTTTCCATTTTTTCCGTTGACTTGAACTCATTTATGTCACAATTAAGAGAAGTGAGGAATTCATCTAGACTTATTGCACTGCCATACATATGAAACAAATCTAACAGATTGTCTGCAATGTCTTTGTTATGACTCGTGTGAAGAAATTTCTGCAAATTTTGAATAGTAACATATTCATGTTTATTCTTTTTTATTTTATTAAAAATATATTCAAGGTTACTTATCTCGTCAGAATTCAAAAATTTGTAATTGCTTTCTTTTTTTATCTCTCCTCGTTCTTCTGCTTCCATTTTCCTTTGTCTTATTCATGGAGTAAAAATATTTCTACACACAAGGTTTTGTATTTACAAGATTTAGAACTATGCACCTTTGGGAAAAAAAAAAAAAAAAAAAAAAAAAAATACTTCACTCGATTTAAGAAACATTTATGTGTCATTCACTGTACATTGGAATAATTAGAACATAAATATGCCTCTTCTGAAATGCCATAGACATCCTCAAATTTTAGTTCCTGTTTGGAAAAAAAAAAAAAAAAAAAAAATGAAAATAATATTAGGGGGAAAAAAAAAAAAAAAAAAATGAAAATAATATTAGAGGGATAAAAAAAAAAAAAAAAAGGTCAGCCCTTGTTACTATATATCGCACATATAGTGCTAATGACGTGATGAAAACGACAATCCTATTGATCGTGTTCATGTGCGTATGTGTGCATGCACGCATGCGTGACAAATGTAAGCAGATCCAACAAAATAACATTCATTCAGATATGTCCATTCAATGGAACTGGAGGGGCATCTATGAGATCCCCGCAGGTCTTCAGAAAAGCCCACCTTGGATTCCAAGTACTGGTGTATATGTGGACGAATATCCTCATACGTGTGTTGGAGAGAAAAATCAAGCAATCGATAAACCAGAAATTCTACAGAGAAAATTAAAGAAGGAGTTAAATTCTCCTTCTTATCTAACTTCTGAATGTGTATTAATAGTTTTTCCAAATTTTGCATATCATCGTGTTGATGAAATTTTATAGACAAAATAAGACAAGTAGCGGCATACAATTTCCGATTGGTTTTATGGACATATCCCTTAATAACAAGTCTCTCAAAAAAAACCCATGCACAAGAAATTGTCGAAATATCAATTTCAGGAATATTATGAATTAAATTAAACAAATCAATTTTTAAATTTCGTAGCTTTGATAATGTTAATGATTTATGAATCCAAGGATTTATTTCATTAAATAATTCATTTACTTCTTCTTTTAATTTTCTAGGCTTCACAAATGGTATAATAGACACGTTATACCCCTGTAAACACATAACAGTGTGATGTTTTCCCTGTTTAAAACGTGGATTAAATAAACAAAAAGCATCATATTTATGATTACTTGGAACTAACAAATGTTCATATGATATTCCTTTCTTCCTTTCTTTCTTTCTTTTTCTTTTCATTTCTTTGAAATCTATATTTTCTTTCTTTTCTTCCTCCATACTTTGCACTTTACCATTCCTCATCGAGAGGCTGTTACTACTGTAACCATTGGATATGAAATTTTTATTTATGTTCATATTTTTACCTCCATTTTTATTTTCTTCATCTTCTTTGTGATATTTATTTCTTATATTGTCTTCATCACGCATTTGTTTTCTTTCCTCCTTTGTAAAAAGGAATTTTCCTCCATTTTCTTTATAACTCCAAAAAAATATCAATCTCTTCAAAAAGTGAGTAATTTTATTCTTGTTATCTCTTTCAAATGCATATTTCTCATCTTCAATATCAAAATTTGGTACTTTCTTCTTAAAAATAGATATCGAATAATTCACGTTAGTTGAATCCTGGTAAACATTTTCGTTATAAAATTTATATGATAGACACATGGTGTGTGAATTCTGGTAACAGAGTAAAATCTTCGTTCCTTCATTGTTCACGTTGGATAAAGGATTGTAAATGTTTTTGTTTACTTCCATTTCTGAGTATCTATCCACTGCTCGTGTTTCACTTCTAAACTTGTCATTCCTTCTTGTGGTATTTCTCCCGATAACAATGTCCCCATTGGAATTCTCATCATGACTAATGCTCTTCTGCCATAGTACTTTGTTGCTATGTTCGTTAAGGTAAAAATCAATATGCCTTTCCTTCTCAGAATTATTTACTTCACTATCTTTCTTGTCATCCGAACTGGACTCACTGCTACTACTGACATCGAAAATGTTGCTCTTAGTTTCAATAACTGTATTCAGAAAATTTTTCGCATCTTTGAAAAAATCCTCATAGATGGTAAAATATTGGGGTTCCTTCATTTGTACAGAAGTAAAAAAAAAAAAAAAAAATATCCCCCGATTTTATATCAATTTCATTTGCTGATTAAGACATTAGCTTCGACACCTTAACCCATCTATTCTTCACTCTAAACAACTACGTCCCTAATCAGGTTTCATTGTGCAGAAAAGGAACATTTTTACACAAAAAAGAAGATAAAAAAAATGAGAAATAAAATAAAGTGAAATATAATGAAGAGAAAAAAAAATAAAGTGAAATAAAATAAAGAGGAAAAAAAATAAAGTGAAATACAATGAAGAGAAATGAAATAAAGCAAAATAAAATAAAGAGAAGTAAAATTAAAAATTCACTCCTCACGTGGGAACAAAAATGTGGTACTTTTAATAAGATTAGCTTTCCATAAAAAAAAAAAAAAAAAAAAAAAAAAGAATTATTCAATACACACTTGTTCAGACCTATAGATTTATAAGCACCCCTTCAGCTGTTATAAGAAATATTGTTTAACACATATTAAATGGATAGAAAAAGGGAGGAGGATTGATAATATCCCCGATAAGTCTTTTTTATTTTTTAAGACAATTTCTGTTCTATTTTTTCATATATCTGTTTTCTTATGCTTATTACCATGTTCACCCATTTCTGGGTGTCAATATTACCAGTTTGCACTCATATAAAAAAAAAAAAAAAAAAACGATGATAGAGAAAATACTGCTCAAGAAATAATTCTCGAGAAAATACCGATTAGGAGGGGGGCATGTAAATCACACGCAAAAAAAAAAAAAAAAAAAAAAAGGCAAAATAAAAATTTCCAATACAACACTCTAGAAAACACACCAACTTGATGGACATCCCAAAGTAGCAGAAGATGAACTCTTCACTACACTTTCGATTTTCCTAATTGCTTTGTATGTGTGTGAACGTGTGTTGTCTCGTTAAGCGTATCCAAATTGCAGAAAGGCAGGAGCAAAAAGAGGGGGACAGCGGCGCAGAGTGCAATGAAATAAATTGGAGAAAAAGATGAATGCCAAGAAAAACAATAACAACAACGACAGGAGCACATAAGGTGATGCAAAAGAAAAGTGTAAAAGTGGACTGCACTCGACATATAACCATGATCAACCGAATGGACTAGCGACGCTTCTCATGGCAGCTTTGGAAAAACTCGTGGGGAACATTCAAACAAATTCGAAATAAGCCACAGAAAAAAAAAAAAAAAAAAAAAAAAAAAAAATATAAATACATCCATACATGAATCTTCCCACTAAAGGATAAAAAATATTTTTAGGAAACCTCTTCAGAAAGAAATAAAAACCTTAAGCTCTCCAAGCACACGTTCTAAGTCTCTCTTACTGCCTATTTTGCTAAAATATAATTTATGCGTGGAGCTGAATTCCTTCTTTATTAGTTCAGTTATTTCATCATGTTTGCTGAGGTACATATCATTAGGTACACAGTTAGATTTGGTATGCTTTAAATAGTTCTCATCAAAAGAGAGGGATATAATTCCTTCAATTTTAAATTGTTTAAAAAAACGAAATTGCTCAAAATAATCACTCTTATTATATTTCTTCTGTATAATTGGAAATCCTGTTATAACTACATTATTGTTTACCTTTTTTATTTTATCATTCAAGGATTGAAAAACTCTTTTAACTATTTTTTTATCATCTACAATACTGCCGCTTTTGCTGAATCCATTTTGCAACTGTTCCCCTGCAAAATACATTACACCATTTTTTATCTTTTCCTTTATTACTTCTTCACTCACGAGATGTGAAGTACATATAGATGTAACATTTTTTAAATGTAGACATAGCAAAGAAGACAGATACAATTGTAAGTTCTCATTTTGTGGAACAAACAGAATCATGATTTTGGGACAAAGCAAATTGTCTATATTTCTTGGTATTTTTTTGTTTATATAAATGGTTGTCATTTCCACATCTGTGTATTTTTGTGAAATCAGGCATTGTATCTCTTTCGCCTTTTTGTTATACTCGCGCATTTTCTCCGTATCTTTTGAACTTCCTCTATTTTCGTTATCTGCTCGTGTTTTTTCACTCTCTAGTATATTTTCCCCTTCTCTCTTATCATTTGCCCCCAGACCATTTTCCCCCAATCCATCTGCTTCCAATCCATCTGCTTCCAACCCATCGTTTCCCTGACCCTTCAATAATTTTCCATCTCTTCGGTTTACTGTTCCCCATGTCTCAACAAAGTCTCCCTGTCTGCCCTCTAAGAAATCAACATCCGAATCTCCACTTGTGGTACCCCTCGAAAGGACCTTTTCTCCATTAGAGGCAGAGGTGAAATTATTGATATTCGCAACCGAACCGTTTTGAAACACCTTATTATCATTTAAGGCCATAGAATAATTGGAAGATGCTGTAAACATTTCCTCTGCTTCTGTGAAGTGGATAAACTGAATAACCTTTTTACACTTAATAAAGCGAGAAAATTTGTCAACACCATTTTCATACACATCGTTCCAAAGTGGTACATCACATAATACAATATTCGAAAATAAATACTTACTCGAGTTCTTTGTAACTTCCTCTAAATATGTTGCATAAATATCATTTATCGTTTTTTCTTTTTCTTTTTTTAGACCTTCAACAAGCTTTTTTATATATCTTTCTGATTTTCCTTCGATGATACAACTAAACTCCTTTAAAACATCTTCATAAAACAAACAATGAAATAAATCTCCATATTTATCATCCTCTTCACATTTACTTTTTATAAATTCTTTCATGTCACAAATGTCTGGTGCATAGTAGAAAATTAGCTTGGGCTTAATTCGGTCCTCAATTTTTTTCAAAAATTTTTTTTTTTCATTGTAATTAACTTCTATACATTTTTCTTTACCATTTTCCCATAAAAGGTTCATACCAGAAACCTTATCTTCGCCTAAATTTTTTTTTTCCTCTTCTACTTCATCTTTTTCCATTTTTGTATCTCCATTTTCTTTTTTCACACACTCTCCCCCTTTGATGCCTTTATAAGTCTCTCCTTCGGATACAACTTCGCGTGCGTCCACATCAAGTACCAAGAGATTCCCTCTACTGCCGAAGTAAAATAACATTCCTCGAAGGGGAGACGAATGAACAGAAGAAATGTCAAGCATGTCAAACTTGTCAAGATTGCCCATCTTGCCTTCTCCGTCCTTGTCTGCATCCACCCCTGCTTCTATCCTTGCCGCTATCCCACTTGGCACCACCAACATGCACAGCTTTACGTCAAAAAAGAGTTCCAGTTTTCGGTAGTCTTCAACCTCTAAATAACTTGGAAAACCAGAAAACACAAAATAGAGTGCATTAATTGTGGAAACGAAATTCTGCATTTTATTTATTATTTCATCTAACGTCTTAGAATTATTATAATTCGGTTTATTTTCCATATACACCTCATCAAGCAGGTGTCGCATGGAATGTCGTTCATCACTGGGTGGTGGTGTACCATTTTGATGACTCATAAAATTCAAATCACAAAAAGCAATGCTGGGATATTGATATTGTAAATATAATCCAATAAAATCTACGTTCTTAGGAGTTAAATTAAAAATGAGAATAACTCTCCTCTTTATCACGTTTAACATATCGAATAGACGATGAACATTTGTAGACGGATCTTCTGTTTTATTTTTCATATTAAATTGGTAGAAATATTTCTCTTTAGCCATATTTTTAATTCCTACTATTAAATCTTCACCACTTTTACAACCTGAAGACTTTTCTTTTTTTTTTTTCTGTTTGTTATTCCCAATTTGAAATAAACCCTTTTGTGTCTCCCTCCATTCCACATGTCCTATATTTTTGCCCACCTTAGAATTAAAATAAAAAACTATTACCTTAGAATTTGTCTTAACTTTTAATATTTCCACTTGGTGCTTGTTAAAGGGAAAATTACACAAAATAAACTTTTTATGATCCTTACTAATTAGAGAATTTAATTTTCCAACAAGGAAGGAGAGTAACATAGTCGAGGAAGAAGATGAAGAAGAAGGAGGAGAAAAAGAAGAGCAGAAATTATCTTCGATCTGATTTATTCCTATATTCTTTTTCATTTTCTCCTCATTAAATAATCTAGCATGGTCAACAAAACAATAGTTATAATTTTCTACCAAAAAATCAATCACGTTTGTCATATCATTCCTTTTCACATTAAAAAGGATAAGTATCTCATTTTCAAAATTTTTAACAAATTCTGCAAAGAAGTTTTTCTTGTTTCTATACACCAATATTTTTCCCTTATTCATGAAGTGCTTCAGGAATGCATTAATGCTGCGACTGTTGGAGGTGTTCCCTTTTCCTTCCTTCATCCTGAGCAAGAGTGATAAAAACGAGTTTTCTTCTTCGTCCACTTCTTCCACTTCATCTGCTTCCTTCACTTCTACTACTTCTGCCACTTCTACCACTTCTTTCACTTCTACCACTTCTTTCACTTCTTCCACTTCTTTCACTTCTTTCACTTCTTTCACTTCTACCACTTCTTTCACTTCTACCACTTCTTTCACTTCTTTCACTTCTTTCACTTCTTCCACTTCTACCACTTCTTTCACTTCTTCCACTTCTGCCGCTTTATCTGCAGAAGGCACGCGCGCCACTTCCCCCATAAGGAGTAAGCAAAAGGAAGTTTGCACTATGTCTTCATCTGCCAAATAAGCCGAATCTATGACAGTAGAAAAACCAGTTAGTATGTAATTATTGTAAGATTTATTTTTGTCCAAATTCTCCTTCAAAATTCGTTTTATTAAATCTACCGTTAACATTTTGTATTTCTTTTTAGCGTATTCTATTTTTTTCCCCAGCAAAGAATTTTTTTTCTCTTCCTTTTTACACAATTCGGTAATATTTAAATTAATATAACCTAACTTTTCCAGATGTTTTATAATTTTTAATTTGTCCCTATCATTATCCTCATCAATCAGTGTATTTTCGACTCCATCTTCAATATCTGGTATGATGATAATTTTTTTTTTTTTTCCCTTTCGTTGTATCTTTGCTTCATTATCTGGTCCCCATAATGTTTTACTCAAAGTAATTGCTTCGCTCATTCCTTCTCTTTTATTATTATCTTTTCCATCTTTGGTACTATCATTTTTCAAATTGTTCATGCCACACTGATTATTTTTTCCCTCTTTGTCTTTCTTACCCCCCAGTGCTTGTAGATTTCCTAATTTTCTCTCCATTTGCTCCTTCTTTTTTATGTCTATTTCGATTTCTTCCCTCTTCTGCCTGAACCACTCGGTAAGCCATAATATAGCTGAATCTTCAGTCGGTTTTAATTCACATATGTTGGTTAAGCATTCTAACAAAATATCCCTTAACTTGATATTTTCTTCTTCCTTCTTAAAATGTGTAACATTTTTACAGAATATAAAGTTTTTTACCATATCAACTGTAATCGATTCATTATATTTTTCAAAATTAAAGTACTGTTTAATTAATTCATTCATTTTCTTTTTTTCCTTTACAAATATAATATCATTATCATTATTGCTAAATATACTCCTAATACTATTAGGTCTTTTTATTTTCGATTCCTTAACATTCCTTCCTCCCATTAAATAATGCAAAGAGGTAATACAATTCATTCTTGAAACGATTATAATTATATACTGCGTTTTTTCATTAACATTTATATCTTTTTCATTTCTATCCTCCATTACATTTTTTAAAACAATTTCATTAACCGAAATTAATTTCTCTTCTAACACTTTAAATCCGTAATCTTCTAAGTACACTCTGAAATTATTTAATTTTTCTGGATTAAATATACTCTTCTTTATTAACAGTATACTATTTTCACAGTTAAAGTTTTCTTCTCCAAAAAAGAGGTTTATTTCTTTGTCTATTTTGTCCTCATTAGGCGTATGCTTCATTGCACAAAAAAAAAAAAAAAAAAAAAATACGGGGAAGGAGAAACGTGTATATTGTCGAGATCCCATTTTTATGGAAAACCAGTCAGATGTCATATAAGCACAAATATATTGACAACAGATCGATAAATAGACAGGATGAAGGACAGAAGAAAAGATAAGGATAAACATTGAAAAAGACATAGTGATATGCATGCATGGGGAAAAAAACACTTCTTCCATTGCCACAATTTTCATTAGGTAGATCTTTTTCCATGTTCCTTTTTTTTTTTTTTTTTTTTCTTTTTTCTTTTTCTATTTTTTTTTCAGTACCACGGCATTCCTCATGGCAGAAGTTCCATACTTTTTCTTTAGGCAACCTTCCGGCATGTCATGAAAGCAAACCATAGACGAGCATGGGCCGCATAGAATTTTCGCTAAGTTTATGCAATTCTTTCCCTCTATAATTAGACAAACTAAGAAAAAATAAAAAAAAAAAAAAAAAAATTCAATAATAAACAAAGTTGTGCATTCATATAGACTTGAAATTTTCCTTTTACACATACAATTTAATATTCCTATTCACATATCCACTTGTTGATTAATTCGAGAATTTCGTTTTTTTTCTCCCCTCTTGTCCAACCTATTCCCTTCGCAGAGGTCATAAATTGTATTAGATCATCATAGTAGGGCTATTTGTAAAAGAGGAAAAGAGTAAAAAAAAAAAAAAATAGAAAAAAAAATGATACATATTGTATGCGTATATACAACCATGCGAAAATAGGTTTGAATGTGCTTCATGGAATTCCGGTTCATTCATCCACTCGCGTTACCTTTCCAACAGAAGACTCGTACAATTTATTCGCCCTCTCGACAGATAATATCCCCCTCTTCACAGAAATGATTAACAAATTGAAATTCAAAATATCGTTAATTATGTCGCCTATTTGATTTTGTTCTATTACATCTGGTTTTAATATTATCAATGTTCTTTCCAAAAAATTGTTGTCAGTTGGAGGGAAAAAATAATTCAGATCTCTGCTCAAATACCAATCATTTTTGCTAAAATAGAATGGAATATTTCTGCATTTTAAATTGCACTGGTATTCTAAGCTGTCAAAAGGATGTCGAAAAATGAAAAAAAGAAAAAATGAAAACTAAAATTAATTAAATAACAACCTAGTAATGTGGAGCAGCACAAAACGATACAAATTTTGTGCATGTGTTCATATGTACAAGTGTGCACTCTCCTAAAATACCATCATTAGATCAAATGTGAAATTTCACATTAGTCTAGTATCTAGTCTATGTCACTACTGCAACTCCCAATGTAAAGTAATACATCCACCGGTGTGTTCTAGAGGTACTGGGAGCTAACGCTAATGTAGGCCTACACGCGACCATATGCATATAAGGCATATATGTACATGTACATATATATATATATATAACCATTCGAAGTAGTTCTCATCCTTTATCAAGATAGACGTGCTTTTAATTAGAGAATTTATCTTCGCTCGTGTATCTCCGTCGATATGCTCTACCAAAGAGATAACTGATAGCCCACTTTCTACATATTCATAAAACTCGTTTATATTGCTATACTGATCAGGCTTATCGTTTAATATTGTTTTTATTTCATTCTTTTGTAGTAAAAATCCGGGTATGTGAGGGAGGTTTGGAGAGAAAAAAAAAAAAAAAATTAGAAGTATAATTAGAAGTATAATTAGAAATAAAATGGATCCTTATAATGTTTTTTATTCTTTTTAATAGATGTAGAAAAAACAAAGGTTGTCTTTTCTATTTTATGAACTATTTTTAGTTGTGTCTTCTATTTTTTATCCATTTGGTATACACAATATTAGGTTATTTTCCTAGCATTCATAAATAAATCTTTTGTTCCGTTTACATGTTTTGTCTATTCGATTCGTCCCACTGCCTAATATATGTATAAGCGCATAAGCGCTATAGTTAATTTTTTTTTTTTTTTTTTTTTTTTTTTGCATTAGTTTACTTCTGTTAAGTGTACTTTCTTCTTTTTTAAAATGATAAAATTTTTATCTTCCAGTTTTTCTAGCACTTCTTCGTCCTACATCGCCGTAATATATGAACATGGAGGAGAACGTATATATACATACATGAACATATCTTTATTTGATAATAGGGGAAGTTAACACTAAGCATATTTAGCCGATACACATATGATTGAATATGCACACATGCATGCATATACATGTTTTTTTTCCGTAAGCCATTCATATATTGCATACAAAAACTACATCAATTTGCCTCATAATTGCTTCTTGTATTTGTTACTTTAAAATTACTGGTAACATCTGGTAATATAATGAAAATGCATCTTTCGTCTTTCATTATGATTCAGCACTTATAACGGTAAAATAGGCGAAATGTGTATAAAAGTATTGTCATTAGACTATGTACACTACTATGAAAATATGTATCCTCTTCTTAAATAACATTATTTAACACAGTTCTTTTTCATGAATATGCGTTTAAGAAAAAAATTATAAATAACGCTACTTAATTTTTTTTTTTTTTTTTTTTTTCTATTATTCATTTGCTTTTTTTATTATAGAAAAACATTTTAACAGTATTTTAGACATTCCTCAAAATTTTATTAAATACAAAGTGTTTCACCAAATAATTAAAAAATTTTTATCTGAATGAGGAAAAAAAAAAAAAAAAGGTTTAATTTATATTTAAAACAAAAAGACTGCTCTTGGAGAATGCTTATTAGTGATGTTCTTCTTCATATCGAAATTTCCTTCTCTTAATTTGTTAAAAAATTATGCCCTAAAAAAAAAAAAACATATAAATATATCAAATAAGATATAATAAAATAAGGTAAACTAACTTTTATTTCCCAATTATTATCCCTTTTTTACTAGAAATTTCGATAAAAATCTGGTTCGTTTTTGCTGAGGATGTCAAATGTATGATTTTCTAGCATTTCATATATATGTAGCATGTGTATATATTTCTCTAGAATGTGCATATATTTCTCTAGAATATGCATATATTTCTCTAGAATGTGCATATATTTCTCTAGAATGTGCATATACTTCTCTAGCATGCTAAATGTCCGCTATCTGATGTAATACAAAAATTCTCATTTGCTAAATCTAATAGGGACAAATGCCATACAAGTTTTGTTCTTCCAAATAACGAAATTTTTGAATCCGAGGTAACTCCTTAAAAAGTTTCCCTATATTTGCAATATGAAAAAGGGACAGTCATACATATATATATATACATATATGTGTACATGCGTGCATATCTACTCCCTCTTAAAACCACATTTAAAATAAATGATTACATGCTCATGCACCGTTTACACGGTCTAATCCAAAACATCTGCAGTGGTTCCATGATTAATATGTCTACTCAGTTGGGTAAATTATAAAAGTCATGCCTTTCAAGTACATATAATATTTTGACAAGTTATCAAAAGAAAAAAAAAAAAAAATTCAAGTAAAAGCCTCATATTTTAACATGTTCTCTATGTTTCTCATTTATTTTAATAAATACACAGTTATAAATACATCTTAAATTTTTGCATTTCCCTGCTCAGAAAAAATAAAGAAACTGCGGGTATAAATAAAAAAGTTCATTAAAAAATAGCTTTATTCCCATATCTAAATTTCTTATGTTTTTATGTATAAAAATTATCAATGTATTCTTTGTTTTTCTACAACTTGAGAGCAAAAGAAAATGGGTGCATTTTTTTTTTTTTTTTTTTTTCTAGCTATTTTGTTGTGATCTCCTAACTATAATTAGCTAAAATATAGAGTAGGGTAACATTTTACCTGCACAACTGTTTAAATATGTCAATGGATATTTTTTCTTTTTTAATTCTCATGTACAGCTAAATTTTTGTTACATTGGTTATATATTGTACCAGTAAATAGACACGGTTATATAGCAAATACCTGTTTTTATGTAGAGTTGTAAGCTGAATGTTCATAAAAAAAAAAAAAAAAAAAAAGTGTACATATATGAACACGCACGCATGCACATAAGCACATTCACATATGCTTGTTTGCTTAATTTTTTTTTTTTTTTTTTTTTTTTTTTGCACACATTTAGCCCAGAATGCATTTCTCAAATGTGGAATGCACACAATATGCACATACAATGTAGGCTACTTAAATAAATTACCCATTTACGAAACAAAGAGTCTTTTTTTTTTTTTTTTTTTTTTCATTTTTTTGAATATAAAAACAATGATGTGAAATGAAACTGGTGGTAGTTACTTTTTCATATTGTTTAGCATATGTACACTTTTCAATCTACACAAATCAAGGCTAAAAAAAGGATTAGTTCTAAGTCTCATTTTAAATTAGTTTATGAAAATGCTCAAACTTCAGTGTACAGCATTAGCAACTCCTTTTTTGGTTCTTAGCACATGTGCCAAGTGTTGTCATTAATTTTACCCGTTTATAAGTTAATTTTGTTCTATTATTTTATTTTTGTTATTTTGTGGTTTTTCTTTCCCTTAAATTTGTTGTGGTTCCCCATTTTCGTTGCAGAAATGTTGTAATAGCAGTTTGTTGAATACGAACAGTTCCTATTACTTTACTAAAAAAAAAAAAAAAAAAAAAAAAAGAGTTAGGATTAAGCTAGTGTGCGCATGTTGTGCATATAAGTACACATGTATACAGGTGCATATATATACACACATTTTTATTTCCTTTTTTATTCCCCCCTTTTGTATCCAATTTTCCCGAATAATCATAAATACAAAGCAACGGATAATAGCGCATTCAAAAAGCTTGTTAAAGTAGGTGGACTTGTCATCTTGTCCCATTAAATGAATAAAAAAGTTTAGCATTGCAACGGTTCCACATTTGTTAATTACATGCACATGTACACATACCCATGCTCATCGATTCCAATACACATCCAGGAATTACGTATGTATATTTTAATTAAGCTCTTCGAATAAAGCCCCTTTCCACTCCATTCGAAGTGACAACTACTCTCATTTTATTTTTCACATACATAACAAACTGGCATCAATATGGATAACTCCTCTATTATAGCTTCGAATGAAAATTTCCAATTTCAAAAACCCGTTATTTATAAAAACAGGGCCAGAAGTCTCATACAACAAAGTAATATGATCGGTTCAGAAAACCAAAATAAGGAACAAGGTAATGGAACAAGCATTAGAGACAAAATTAAAAGACTCTTTTCAAGTAAGCATGATCAATCAATAAGAGATTTTCAGAAAACGAAACTTACAATGAATAAATGCCTGCAGAAACAGGAGCCAAATGATACAAGTATAAATGAATTTACTCCTACTCATAATCAGAACATAGAATGGCAACCAGTTTATCATGAAAGTTGTAAAATAAAACTACCAGTAGATGAATATAAAACGAAAATATCTATGCCAGATGAAGTACTTGATGAATGGGTCCTTAATCAAAATAAAATTTCTCAACATTTATTGGCTTCTAAAATGAACAGTACGGAAAAAGGTTGTAACGATGATTATGAGACTTCTGACGATGATAGTTATATCGATGGTGAAGGTCATCACAGTGATTCGAAAAAAAGTTCGAGTGGTAATTGTATTTTCAATAAAAGTGCTTCAAAAAAATCATGCATGCTTAACAACGAAAAGGAACCATACTCCAAGTTTAAGTATTACTACAACTATTATTTGGTAGATGAATATTTAGAATCCTTGGCAGAGTCTCAAAATAAGAACCTCGAAGCCACTGGACTCGATGAGCATGGTCAACTCTATGACAATGTGAGTTTGAATGTGAAGCCGATAATTGTATCCAAGGAGAGGCTAGAAAATGGAGTCCCATATGACCCCTCCAAATTGCTCAAGTAATTTAAGCGAATACATGAAGTGGTTAGGAAATCAGGAATCATTCGCACACTCTGGATTAGTTGAAGTTACAGTGGAGAAGTTTTGCAGTTGAAAAGTCTTACAACTGATTACCATTGCAGATGTCCCCATACACTCGAATCGCCACTCATCCTGAGGGGACAATATACAGAATGTTGCAATCATGTAGAAGAGCAAAAAATGATATGTTTTTGTTCTTTATTTCTTGTATACCTTTGAATACAACTTTACAAAAAAGGAAAAAAAAAAAAAAAAAAAAAAAAAAAAAAAAAAAAAGGTGTTAACACCTCGATGCACTCTATATGTTTGGTCTAAAAAGTGAAAATTTTAATTTCATAATTATTATGATACTTGCATATGAGCAAGTTATTTACATTTGTGCGTACTGAGAAAAGTTTTTTTTTTTTTTTTTTTTTTTTTTTCTTGCACGTGTCTATTTTTTCTCTATCTTCAAATATACTGTTCCGCAACCTACGTAACCAATATTACGTAAATATTTCAGTTATCTCATTTTGTGTTAGAAATGTATTCACATGTGAACATTTTAAAACTTTTTCCATGCATCCGATTGGAAAGATATCACATATGAAAATTGTTAGAATATTCACTAAATTAATTTATTTGAATGATATCTGTCTAATTGCATTTGTCAATTTGATCTACTTAACACTTTTGCATGCACATGAATGTTGTTACTATATGTTGCTCTTTTTTTAACGTGTAATCATTAATATGATCCCATTGTTTCATTTTATACATAACTTTTAATCAAAATTTCATCATTCGTTAGATGATGATTTCGTTTCGGCTATTCTTTTGCATATGGTTAAGTACTTATGCAATGTGTTAAGAGTAAATTTTGTTCATTTTTAATAGGGATAGACGTGGTTCTTTTCACTGGATGAATCATTTAAAAGGTGTTATTTTTGCTACAGTGGACGTGCAGAGGTTTAGATAAAAAGAAATAGGGGAAAATATATATATATATATGTAGCAAGCACTAAAAAAGAGAGGTACACTTAAAAAAAAAAAAAAAAAAAACTCCCTTTGCATGTGTTCCTGTACATACACATCAGATTAACTGTATAAAATAAAACTTCTGCATATGTTCCTTCTTCTTTTTTTTTTTTTTTTTCTTGCATAGAAGAAAATTTCTGTTGCAGCACAAAATATATCGACTTGCTATGGAAAAAATAAAATGAGAAATAATGGGTGTTGATAATGGTGGTGCACAAGCATCTACCTTTGTGACAACACAATTGTGGAGATTATACCAAAGGAGTGGTAAAAAAAAAAAAAAAAAAAAAAAAAAAAAAAAAAAAAAAAAAAAAAAAAAAAAAAAAAAAAAAAAAAAAAAAAAAAAAAAAAAAAAAAAAAAAAAAAAAAAAAAAAAAAACAAAAGAGTGGTAAAAAAAAAAAAAAAAAAAAAAAAAGTAAAACAAAATAGAACAAAATAAAGCAAAATAAAGCAAAATAAAGCAAAATAAAACAAAATAAAACAAATAAAACAAAATAAAGCAAAATAAAGCAAAATAAAGCAAAATAAAACAAATAAAACAAAATAAATCAAAATAAAACAAAATGAAATACTTTTGCTAATTCCTTATTTTGATTATTTTTGAATATCCCATATTGTCTTTCCTAATTTTGTAAAAACAATTGGTTAATCCATATTGGGATAATATATCCACAAAATAAGTGTCATGTGTTATTAAAATAAGTTGAAAGGAGGAACTTTCCTTTCTGATATCTACAATATTTGCAATTAAACTAGCTAAATTTTTAGAGTTTGATTTATCAAGATTGGTTGTTGGTTCGTCTAGGGCTAATATTCCACATTTAATGGAAAATGATTCTGCTAAAGCAAGTCTAATAATGATGGATGATAGCACTTTTTGTCCTGATGAGCATCTGCCTTTCATATCCAATTCGCAATTGTCTTTGACCATTACAACTCGATAATTATAGGATCTTCTTTGTTGTATTTTCCCATTATTTTCTGTTTGTATATCCGATTTTATATATATATAATCAATATCAGCGCTGTTATATACTCGTCTCCATAAATTTTTTATAGAAATATTAATTTCTTGCATTTTTAAAGAGTGAAATTTTATAATTGCTTGGTCAAAAGAGTTGTAAAAGTTACATATGTCTTTGATTACATTTTTGTATACAAATATTTCTATAATTTTTTTTTTATATTTTTTTTCTATATTAGTATATGAATCAGAGTTCCTATCACTTATTAATTTTTCTACATATTCTTTTCTCAACTCTATTTTCCCTTTCATTTCTGCTTCTTTCATTTTCAAATCGGTAACCGATTTTGTATGTCGTTCTATTTTCTCTCTTAAATTATCTTCTTCTCTATATGCTAATTCAAGTAATTCATTTTTATAATTTAAAAAGGTAAAACTTTCGTTTATGAATTTGTAAATATCACAATCTGTTTCATACATTTCATCAAGTTGTTTAATCATAGAATTTATTTCATTCAGTTGCTTTTCCTGTTTATCATGTAAAAAAAATGTATTTTTAAACTCATTCAATGATGAAATGAAATTTTTTTGATGATTTAAAAAATTTTCGTGCATTTTTTTTAAATTCGTATTCATAACAACATTGTGATGCATTTTTTCAATATTTATCTTTTCCTCTTGTAGACATAAAATTTGTTCTTTTTTTTTATTGATTTTGTTAACAAGTTCATTTGATTCATTTTTTATAACTTGATTATTTTGTATTTTTTCAATCACTCTTCTCAACTGGTTTCCTTTTACTTCCTTTTCTGTATTAATTTCTGTCAAAAGATTATTCAGCTGTTTAATTATATTTATTTTTATATAGTACAATTTATTTAGAAATAATATATCATTTCTTTTTCTTCTGATATTTCTTCTCATATTTTTTTCTTCTAATTGAACCCTTTTCATCAATGTCAAAATTGTCTCTTCTTTTTTTTGTATACATATCTTTTTTCCCAAATAGTATGCAATATATTTTTCTGATTTATTAATCGATTCTCTAATTTGTTTTTCTCTTTCTAGATTATTTTGTAATTCATCTATCTTTTTTTTTACATATTCTTTTCTGTCCTTTATGACCGATTTCATTCTATGTATCATGTCTATTTCTTGTTTCTTCTTCATTTCCTCCAAATTTATACATAACAACAGTTTATCATATAAACTAAGGAATTCTTTATTCTTCAAATTTACCGATTTTAGCATATGCATTACATTAATGTTGTTCATTATAATGGATTCACACTTTTCACTTCTCTTTATTGTCTTTTCTTTCACCCATTCAGCATGAAGATTTTTAATTAATATAATCGATTTTTCACCTCCATTTGTGCAATTTGACAACAAATCCTTATTTTCCAAAAGGGAACCTTCTAAATGAGATTTTGAGTACCTCATGATAAGATCCTCTTCTCCTTCATCGTGTGATGATGTATCTCTTGAATTTTCTATCGTGCTATCACATTCGGTCTGAGAGGTAAGCGTTTTTCCTACTTCATCCAAATTTGAGTTCTCAAAAGCATCTACATACTTCTTATTTTTTTTCATCACATGATTTTCCGATTCCTCCTCGACGATATCGTTTGATTCATGCTCAATAAACTGCCTCACTAAATGACTCTCCACATGTTCACTTACTTTCTGAAAAAAAAAATTCATGATTTCTTTGTTGTCATACAGATTGATATATTGGGGAAGGGACTTAAGCAGAAATTGTTTCACTTCCATTATTAAGCCCACGTCTTCCACTTGTGCTGCTACAACTTCTGCTGCCTCCACTTCAGCCGTTCCAACTTCTAGTTCGTCCAGGAAAGAACGAAAGAATTGAACACATTCCTTCCCCTGTGAGAATATGTCTCTATAGTTTCTAAGCGCTAGCTTCACCTTCCTGTGTCGTGCATATAATTGTTGCTGCATGGAAATGACGTTAGTTTCTCTTTCAACAAGATGATTACATCTCTTTTTCAATCGCATCAGTAATTCATAATTTTCATTAATATTATTTATTTTCATGGAACAGTTATGTATACCATTTTGTACATTTACCAATTCATTTTTCATAAAATGTAAATAATCACTTAATACATTGTTATCTCTGCATATGGGTTCTACATTATGGTAATAGTACACTAACAAATTTTTCATTTCCTTTTTTTCGCTTTTTAAATTTGTAAGAAGTTTTTGTTTCTCTTCTAACTCTTGGTTTATTTCTTCTCTTTGCTTCTCGGCATTTAATATAGAAAAACTGCTGAGTTCAGATGTACTAATAGAACTTTTGCAAAAATGACACGAATTCAAATTTTGTGCATCTTGTAAGAAAAATTTCAGTGATTCTTCCTTAGATCGTAAGGTTATCAAATCCATTTTGATTTTCTTTATATTTATCTTGAAATGACAAAAATGATTAATAAAATCATTCATATTTTTAAAATTTATTTTTTCAAGCATTCTTCTGAACTGAGATAGTACCTCGGGATATTTTTCTGTCTGATTATTAACAATATCTAATTCTCTACAAATTAGGATTAATTTTTCCTTTAACTTAAGTGTTTTGCTTTCTATATTATTTGTTTTCTTCTCATATTTATTTACATATACGTTTAGCAAATCATTCAATATTTTCATGTAGTTTTTATTTTTTCCATACTGAGGAAAAAATTCGATTATTTTCTTCTTCCTTTTCAGTCTACTACAACAGGATTCATCCCGAAATTCGTTCATCCTTTTCTTATTCTTTATGTTTACTATTCTTTTTGGATATTCTTTATATTCACATTTGCTTGAATTGACCTCACAGGGATTTTCCAACGAGGTGCACTTTTTCAGTTTTGCAATTTTATCCCTTTTTGTTATTTCTCCCACTTGGTTGTGTACAATACTCACACGGATTTCATTCCCTTTTGGCATATCTCCTCCGTTTGCTTCGTCTATTTCATTTTCGTTTATTTCTCTTTCGTCAATTTCATTTTCGTCAATTTCTCTTTCGTCAATTTCATTTTCGTCAATTTCATTTTCGTCAATTTCATTTTCGTCTATTTCATTTTCGTCTATTTCATTTTCGTCTATTTCATTTTCGTTTATTTCTCTTTCGTCTATTTCTCCTTCGCCCATCTTTCCTTCGCCCCTCGCACCTTCGCTTGTTACCTTTTCGATCGCTCTCTCTCCCTTTGTCCAGAGCACTCCCGCGAGTGCATCACTGCACCACTTATATCCTTCGTGCTTTTCTTCTACTAATCCAGAGTTGGTCACATCAGAATAGAGCACCAGATTTTCTATGTAAGCGTACAAATCACTGTTGTCTACTCTTATGGAGTTATATATTTCACTAAATTTGGCTAGCTCTGAAAAAAGGGCCCACTGTTCGTGGAAAAAGGATATAATATTCATGTTCATACTCTGAATTATTAAAAAGTGTTTATATGTTGTATTAAAACTGGTAGCAATGTGAAACATTTTTTCGAGTTTCTTTTTCAAGTTTTGTATTTTTTTTAGTTGTTCCTTTTTTCTCTCAATTCCATTATCGGTATAGGTATGTATGTCGCACCCCATTTCTATCAAATTGAAATTCAGTTCACTCAATTCAATGCTATCATAGATGCATCCAATCTGATTCATTTTTTCCAGATTATTGATATTGCTCTCGTACAATTTGTCCTTCCATTTTAATTGGGTTAATTTCTCTTGATACCTTTTCATCTTTGCAATTTTTTTATCCACTTTGGAATTTCGTCTTTTCCACTTTTCTAGTTTTCTAATAAGATTTTTTTTCTTTTTCAGAATTTTCTTTCTCTCTCGAATGTTCTCATATACCTCAGTTCTTATCAGTGCTAATTTATGTACATGCTTCCTAACCATTTTTCTTACTTCCATTATTAGAAACATATTCGTAAGATTATCACTAATGGAAGTTTCATTAGTGATTTCCCCCTCATCAAGGGTTCTACTGTGCAACAAACTGGTTATATCCCCTCTGGAATTTTCTCCCTGATTCTTCTCATCTTTTGCAATTCTACTGGAATGGCTGCTCCTCTCATAGCCCACGTTAAACTTAAAATTGGGAGGCTTTTTTGAAAAAACAAACCTCCATTTTTCCAGTTCATACACAAAAATTGGTTCATTGGATTTCATAAAATGGCATAGCTGGATATATTCCTCGGAAAGCATTTTTCTCTTGATATTTCTCCTTTTCAGCATTGAAAAGGTAGAAGAATCGATGTCAAAAATTAATTTCGTTAAATTTTTTAAATTTGTTTTCCGCCTTTCCAATTGGGATAAACTTTCCTGTATAACATCTCGTTCTTTGATGTCAAATTCATCACATGAGTAGACATCTAAATTTGACTGTTTCTCCAACTCTACTATATCGAGATGCACATTTTCAATTAAAGTTTCACATCTTATTAAATCTTTTTGTAAAAGTTCCGCATATTGTTGTAACTCTTTTGAATCCTCTTCATATATCTCTTTCATATTTTTGTAATTTTCCATATCGAATTGAAATTTTTCATACAAAACAAAATACATATCCATATGAGAAATTAATTTACTAAGAATTGAATTATTCTTTTTTAATTTTTGTAACATGTTTAAACTTTGATCAATTTCTTCCTTATGTAACTGCATAAGTGTTTCAGAATTTTCAATTTCTTTTTCATTTTTTTGAATTTCTAAAGTGATATTATTCTTTTTCTCATAAAAATCCTTGAGTGTTCCTAATTCATATTCCTTCCTTTTCAACATATCATTCATTGTCTTTTTGCATTTTATAAGTTCATCTAAAATTTTAGAAAAATTATCATCTCCAAATAATTCATCAAATTTCTTTTTTATTTTTACTGATTCGCTAAATGGCCAAAGACTTTCTTCATGATGACATAAAATAACATTTTCAAGAAGGGCTTTTGAAACACCCATTAATTTAGGTATATGATTATTTATATCTACACATTTATTTGTAATTATAACATCTTCTTGTCCTTTACCTTTTTTTATTATAATGTTATTATCTAATGCTCTAAATGTATGCTTTATTTTTTTATTTTTATCTTTACAATAAAATAAATTAAATGATCTGGATATCCCAACCCTTTTATTGTTATAATTTTTTAAAAGTAAATTTATCTTCCCTCTTATATTCATCTTATTTGATACTAATGGGTCATGTATAAATGATTTCCCTTTCTCTGCATTTGGAGGAAAATCTCCAGTGCAACTAACTTTCAAACATTCAATGATTGTTGATTTCCCGCTCCCATTATTTCCATATATCACTGTGATTGGTGAGGCAAACTCCAGTTCTTGTGCCTCTTCATCCCCATAACTTCGTATACCCTGAATGCCGATTTTTTCAAGAGTTGTCATTATGACATAGAGGCTTGTGCGTCTGATAAATGCCAACGCATTTTGTACGGGTCAGTTTTTTTCTCTTTCTCTCTCTCTATCTCTCTTTCTTTCTTTCTTTTTTTTTTTTTTTTTTTATGTTTATCTAGGGCATATCCTTATCTAGCCTTAGGCTGGGGGTTGATTAGCCTTATAATAATGCACGCATTAGACACCCTAGTCATAAATCTATGACCATACGGTTCATACCTTAACTGAAGTAAAATACATACACATGTACAGCGGTGTACATACACGCTTCTACGTGTGCGATTCTTATGTACACATGTCAATAGCAAACCACGAGGTTGTATAAAGTTGGACATAATATAAGTCATTCGCTTGACACATCATCACCCTCAACTGTGTACCCAACTGAAGAAACTTTTCCTAAATTGATCTCCTTAATAGATGATAAAGTTTTCTCTTAATTATATTAACATGAACATGTACATGGAAAAATGGAACACTACGGGATATCCGTCAACCCTATCAGTTAGCTCGTCTGTGCCAAGCAGGACGAGGAGAGGGGGGGGGGGGGTGACTAGTTACAACTCATTAGCTGCAATTCATAAGTTACAACTCATTAGCTGCAATTCATAAGTTACAACTCATTAGCTGCAATTCATAAGTTACAACTCATTAGCTGCAATTCATAAGTTGCTTCTCATTAGCTGGAATTCATTAGCTGCGACTCATAAGCTATGATTCTCCAGCTGTCCGCTTTAGTTCAATCACGTGGAATAATTTAAGCATGTTCTTTACAATGGCAAATAAAAATAAAAAAAAAATAGAAAAAAAAATGCTCACATATTTGTATATATGCTGAGGCATAAGTATACTCTCTTAGAAAAGAAAAAAAGGCGCAACATTTCTCAAATGGAAATGCCAAAAATGCGGATTATGCTTCCTAATTTATCTGAATGATCATAAAAAAAAAAAAAAAAAAAAAAAAAAAAAGTGAAATGGTAAAGTCCTATGGAAACATAAAAAGTTTAAATGAAACAGCAACACAAAATGTTAAGGCCAAATAGAAACAAAAAAATGGTTCATATGAGAAGAAGTACGTGGGAATGGAAATGGAAATGATGTTCCCATGACACCAAGGTGTAAAGGTACAGAAAGCTCTTAAATAAAAAAAAAAAAAAAAAAAAAAAAAAAATTAATGGAATAAATTAGTGAAATAAATTAGTGGAATAAATTAGTGAAATAAATTAATGAAATAAATTAGTGTAATAAATTAGTGAAATAAATTAGTGAAATAAGTTAGTGAAATAAGTTAGTGAAATAAATTAGTGAAATAAATTAGTGAAATAAATTAGTGTAATAAATTAGTGAAATAAATTAGTGAAATAAGTTAGTGAAATAAGTTAGTGAAATAAATTAGTGAAATAAATTAGTGAAATAAATTAGTGAAATAAATTAGTGTAATAAATTAGTGAAATAAATTAGTAGAAAAAATATCAGCAGGTTTTTTGTCTGAAAAAAAATATTTTCCAAGATATGTGAAAATTGTTATTTAATTACTGGGCTATTTATTTTCCTTTATTTTGTTTATCCTTTATCTATTTTATTTTTTTATCGTCTAATTGGGTTATGATGTAGAGAGGAATCAGCTTAAGCTCCTTTCTCAGTTGCGACGTGTATATCGCCTTTTATATATATGCTCCACTGCCATATTGAATAAGGTACACACATACAAGACATATGAGTGAGAAAGGGTCCTTGAGAATCCCGCAAAATAATCTTAAGCCTGCACAAGGACTTAAGCCATGTATAGTAGGTTAACCACACATTGAAGCTGGTGAATATCTATTGAAAAATATCACTAGCAACAACTTTTGCACTAAAAAAAAATGTGTTAGAACTGTTTATGAATTTTTTCACTTTAACCATTTTGTTTTTCTTTCAAATTTTATTTTGTAACAAAATTTTTATTCATAGTTTGGTACTCCTTTTTGCCTGACCTTGTTTTCTTCTGGTAGCGCATTATTTATTTTTTTATACGCAATAATCTTAGAAGAATAGTCGGAAAAACAAAAGAGAAATATGGCTGCGAATTTTGCTATGCAGAGGGAGAGATCTATCGATTCGAAAAAAAAAAAAAAAAGAAACAAAGAAAAGCAGAAAAAAAAGAAAAATTAAAAGAAAACATTATTTTCTGTTTCGATTTGACCATATAAGGGAGGCCCCCCACCCCCATAACTATTTTCTTTACTATATTTCTCCATAGCAAATTTTTATAATAACCTTCATATTTTCATAGCTTCAGGTGATAAGGGATAAATGTTATGACAATAGGGTAAATTTATTTTAGCCATTTCTCATGGCATGTAATGAGATGATGGCGTTTCACAGATGATAGACCTTTTTTTTTTTTTTTATAGCTAGTTTAAATTTTCTCATCTCCTTTGATACTGCACGCACAAAAAGTAGGGAATATATTTTTTTTTTTGATTTCTTCAAAGGGTTTACCTCATGAAGGAACAGCCCTTTATTTTGAACATGTGTTGTTGATGTGTAAAGCAAGACTAAATTAAATAGGGTTCATCAGAAGTTTACATTTATGATACCTTTATCTCATAATGATAATATTCACTTTACACCCCCATAGATACAAAAACAACAATGTGTTTTTTACGTCATGCGCAAAAGGCACTTTTTTTGGACAAATAGGTCATAACATTGTTTAATCGTGCATGTAGTGGTAAATTACTAATGGAAAAATTATGCGATAAAGTTTTAACCCTTCCATGAAACAGAATTCCTCGTTACAGCTTTAACGTGACATTAACACATACTATAAACTGTGTAGAAGTAATCATACAAATGTGGTCTTCATCACTTAATGCATTTTTCCTCTACCTCTCATGGATACTTAAAAGGATGGAAATGTGTAGCACACAAGATGGGGGAGGGGTGTTAAAAATGTAAAAAAAAAAATCCAAGATGCAAAGAGAAAAATGTAAACAGGAGAAAGCAGGGGAAAGAAAAATGAACGCAAGAATAATCAAAAAGGTCACTATTTTTTCATCTTATTTTTTTGTTCTAATATAACAGTGCGTTTCTTTTTTTTTTTTTTTTTTTTAAAAAATGAGGAATGGACGAACTGAAAACGATTTCCTTCCCCCCCCCCCCCCTCCCCCCTCCTTTATGTTTTAACAGTTTCAAAATTTTTTTTTATCCATCACTTCCCATTTGGAGAATTGGCAATTCATGTCACTATGTGGCAAGAAAATCATCAGAATCGCATGAATTTTCTTTCAATTACTGAATTAGTCACTTCCACACACATTTTAGTGTTTTCAATTTCTTGCTCAGCAGTTTGTAAGTTTGTTCCTCGAGGAAATTTCCCTACCTCCAATCTTTTTAGAAAATTCTCCCATTTCACTTTATTCATATTCCATTTGCAAATAATCAAAAACTAAAATTAAAAAGAAAAAAAAAAAAATTCTATCTTTCCCCCCCCCCCCCCCCCAACCCCTCAAAATAGCTCCCAGTAAGATATATATTAAATATACAACCTCTATATACCTACAATCCAATATATATACCAAAATGTGCAAATAATCACATCCAAATAATTGAAAATAACCAAAAGTAAGAGAGAGCTGAGAGGTTTTTATTATATTATATCATCCCACCCTTCTAACCCCTACTTATAAAGGGGAAAACATATAACAAGTAACATGCATATTTTCGAAGCACATTTGCTATCGTCACTAGAAGCGAGAGAGGTTGGGAAAAAAACGCTTTTCTCACAATTCCTGTGGGGGTAAGGGTAAAATAAAACAGTTTTAAAATTTTTTGCTCCTCGTAACTTTGTTCAGCCTTTAAAGTTTTGCACAAGAGAAAAAAAAAAGAAAAAAACAGAAAAAAAAAGTGAAAAAAAGTAAAATTATTTATTCCCCCTCAACCGCATTTTGCAATTTCGCAATTTTGCGGTTTCGCGGTTTTGCCATTTTACGATTTTATTTTTATATATATCATCTTTTGCCACGGTTGCGCGAAGTTGGACATATGTGCATGTAAAAAATTATGATTATATATACACATAAAAATACATGGCGTGTATTTTATACACTTAAGTGTATTGTAAATATATAACACATCATTGTGCATATATAAAAATATGTATATAATAGCGTGTGTTACAAATGTATTTTATGTATATGTATGTATATATACACCCCCGGGACAAGCATCGCACGTAAATGATGTACCACTAAAATGGCTTGGGAAAAATTGTTATGAAAATTCTCTGTTACATTGAAAAAGTGCCCTGCGATTTTTTTTTTTTCTTTTTGTGTTATTTGCAGAAAAATAAAAAATTCGGTTAAAATTTCATTCGTCCCGTTCCTCATAGTTTTGCGCGCGAATGTGCTATTATATATATATTACATATTACATATATATATAATATTATATACACAGTTTTGAACAATTTTTTACTTATTTAATCTCTCATAAATTTTGTATATTCGTTCTTTGACTATATTTTATTTATTCACCGCTTTACACAGTTTTATTTATGCTTATTCCATAGCTTGTACAGTTTTTATTCCTTAATTCATCGCTTGTGCAGTGTTATTTAGTCATTTATTTTGTAATTTTATATCCCCCATTTTTAGTAGCAAAACTTTTTTTTTCTTTTTTTTTTTTTTTTTTTAGAGAGAGAAAATCATAATAAAAATCGTATATAAAATAACCCCGCAACCTTAAATTCATTTTATCATAGATTAAAGAACGAAAATAATATTAAATTGTATTTATATATTATACTATACACGATTACGAGTTTCTCAATCTAATTAAATACTTTTAGAATAAGGGGGATGAGTAAGGCGCATTAAAAAAATCTTTGATTTTAGAACCATCGAAAAAAAAAAAAAAAAAAAAAAAATTGCTAGCTATATATATATTTTGCGGGTTTTCATTTTCGCCCTGGTTCACGAAACGAGCATCTGATTTGTGTCGTATCATAAGTTACGTATACTCGTACATATACTTATGGTATACATTCAAGCATTAGGCATCTTTATACCTTGGATTACATTGTAGATATATACATATCAAATAAAATCCACATCTATTACCACCACCACAATTGCTTGAACAGTATACGTATCACATGTATTATAAGAAGAATATATCTTGCATTTCTGTTTTTTTTTTTTTTTTTTTTTAATTTTTTAATTTTTTTTTTTTGTACTGCGGATTTATTGCACTATTTATTTAATGACATATAATTTGTTCACAATTATTATTAGAAACAGGTATATATCATGCATGCCTTTTAAAACCCTAAAACCAACTGGGCGAACACCGAAAATATCGAAAAAACCGAGAAGTGCGCATATGAAAAAATAATCAACGGGATGCTAGCCTAATCATTTTTATTTTTTATTTACCTTTGCTGTGGCTAGTCTGATGCAGATTTAACTTGCCTATAGGAGAATCCACAAGTTGCATTATATTTTTTGCAAATGTAGAGTTGATAGTTTATTTTCGTAAAGTTTTGCCATTAAATTGTACATAATAAATTAGATTATTCCAAAGGGGGAAAAAACCTACCTTACAAGTTGGTTATATAGTAGACTAATATATATATATGCATGTTTATATATATATATATATATATATATTACTTATACAACTTTAGATAGAATTTTTTTTTTTTTTTTTTCTGTTTATTTACCTTTTCATTTAACCATTGATTCTCTAAATACAACAATCAAATAGTTAAATATAAAAATAGCTTTTTGCTTTCTGCCAAGATGGCCTTCAATATACCATTATTAAACAATTTTGGAGAAAATGTTTTGAAATTTTTCAATCCCAAGCTGAAATATGGAAGAAGAATAACGAAGAACTGGTTTTTAATGAATCCTACTCATTTTTTTATGGCCTTTCTTTTTTACATTCTGTTCGTTTTGGCCACATATGCATATAATGCCTACTATGCTGCAAAATTAAAAACAGATAAAAGTTTATCAAAAATTAAATCTTCTTCAAGCTCCAAATCGAAGAATTCTCGTTGTGATTTGATCCTAGGAAAAGCAATCCCACTCTACAATTTACTACAAGTATGTGCTCTTCACTGAATTGGAATAACCATATAACAGAACCAGAACTCGTCCCAATCGCAGAAGCATTTGCGATCATTTTCAAAGCGCATATACCTAGTGCATATGTATATATGTATGCGTACATATATACGCACATATATATATATATATATATATATATATATATATATACACTAGCAGAGTTGTAAACATATATACCTTGTGTCCACTTCTGTATCTTCCATTTAGGTTCTTCTGAGTCTAGTTATCACCATATTAACAATATTTGAAGCACGAAAGAGAAAATTTTCTGTACTTCACAATTATGCCGATTTTTCCAAGACGAACATTGCTCTTTGTTGCTGGCTCTTTTATTTGTAAGTTAATTTTGAAACAAAAAAAAAACTCAAAAGAATTTTTTTTTTTTTTTTTTTTGAGGACTGAAGAGGGTGAAAAATCCTACATAAAGTGCAACGTTTTGTCATATTAAACATAAGGCAAATTTTGATAAAACATCATTACTTTTGTATGTACAAAAAAAGTTCTTCCCCCCATCTGCACATTATTATTAACTCTATTTTATATTCACTTATATATTTTATTATTATTTTTTTTTTTTTTTTTTTTTTTTTTTTTTTTGCTTCTCTCCTGTTTAGGAACAAGTTATTTGATTTTATGGACACCATTTTAATTGTTCTGAGAAAGAAATGGAATCAGTTCACCTTTTTACACGTATATCACCACATATCGGTTTTCCTAATCATGTGGATTAACACCAGCGTTGGATATGATGGAGACATATACTATGTTATAACTGTCAAGTAAGAAAAAAGTGCATGTATGATCACATTTTTGAACTTCTTCAGATGAGAGTGTGTACATATGCAAGTGGAATGAGAATAGAGAAAAATAAAAATAAAAATAGCATGTTCTCCTTGTATATGGGGGTCGGAAGATAGAGACAAAGACAAATGGCAAACAAAAAAAAAAAAAAAAAAAAACGCATAATTTTGTTTCTCGCCACGATTGAATGATTTTATGAACACATGAATATTTGTACCAATTTTTGGATTGTACATTTATATATATATATTTTATATACCCCTTTAAATTTGTTATTCTTATTTCCCATTAAAATGTCCTTATCACATGTGTCCTTTTTTTTTTTTTTTTTTAATTCCCACTAACAGCTCCATTGTACATTTCATCATGTACTTATACTACTTCCTTGCAAGCATGAAATTTAACGTGCCTGTATTTGCAAAGGCCTGTGTGACATATATCCAAATGATACAAGTAAGTTTGCTTGAATAGCGAGATGGATCCCTTCATGCACCACCTTATATGTATACGTGCATATGTGCATGTTTGTTAGACTTTTTTCTTTGCATGCTTGTTAGACTATTTTTTCCCGATGCTTGCTTTTTTGTTTAAAACATGTCCTGGTTGATAATGCCAAATTATAGTTCTTATGTCACTTATGTGCATGTGTTCGCGAATCCATCCATATCATCTGTAATTATAATATTACACATCATTACACATGAACTATTCCCCCCACCTCCCCTCACCTTTTTTTTTTTTTTTTTTTTTTTTTTTTGCAGTTTGTCTCCATAATTCTCCCAGCATTTTGCGTTTTGTTTTTAAAATACAACACCACGTATCCCATAAGACTTATAGGATTGAGCTTCTACTATTGTATCTCATTGTTGATTTTGTTTGTACATTTTACCTACAATACTTATATACGACCGAAAAAAAAAGTCGCTTAATTTTCCTTCCCCTTTTTGTTCTGATCTTTTCTGCTCTTTCATAATTTCTGTTTTCATCCGCTTCTGTTCTCTCATTTTTTCTGTGTTTTCATCTTTTCTTTTCTTATCTTATCTATATATCTTATGATATTTTTTTTTTTTTTTTTTTTTTTTTTTTTTCTTACTCCCTAAAATTTTTGTTACGAAGAAACTTGCAAAAATGTTAGTTAAACACATGTAAAAATTTCAGGAAAATTGTTTGTCCATAATAATTATTGTAATAATATAAATTACAATGGATTCAAGTGATTGCTACTTTTTTTTTTTTTTTTTTTTTTTTTTTTTTTTTAATTTTGTGAGGATTATACACTCTTTTGATGTCATTTTTAAGTAATTCTTTTTGAATTCATTTATTTTGCATGCTACCCATATAAATCCACGCACTTGTTGTGTGTAAATACATGGTGTGCATAAAAAAATGGATATTCAAATAAAACTGTGCTTGTGTAATTCATAGCTTGAAAAGAGAGCGCAAAGCGTGTAACACTCATTTGCACTGAATCGATGATGTAAAGCGAATAAAAAATTAAAAAAAAAACAAATCAAAGTAGAGCAAAGCAAAGCAAAACTTACATCCATAACCCTAACATTTACTTTATTTCATCCGTGCATTTGTGTGCGCACAACACCAGATAGAATTTAACTTACGCATGCACCATGTACAATTGAGAGGAGGAAGAGGTAGGAGGAGGGTCGTTTCTACATATACGTTTTTTTCCATTTGTTGCATGCCATTTGCCATGTACCACATGCCCTACAAGCTATAATCACAATCGAAACCCCGAAACAATAGAAGCCCACTATATCCTTTTTTTATGCACTCTCAGGTATGTATATAATACCCAACATTACAAAAATGTCAAACATTTAAGTGTTTTTTTTTTTTGTAATGTATTTTAACATAATTGTTGTTCTAAAACCGTGTGCAGCATTTCACATAACAATTGAAATGTTACTAAATTGGGACAATTTTCAGGAAGTTGATTCATACTTGGTTTTGTATAATCAAAAAATAAATAAAAAAAAAAAAAAAAAAAAAAAAGGGAAATCCTTTCTGATAGCACATATGCGTATGCGTAGGAAGGTGGCGCGACAAATGCCTACGCAAACGAGCACAGAAGTACAAAAAAGTACACAGTTGTTTTAGGAATGTTTTATCAAATAATATATATATTATATATATAGGTTTGTCCACGCGCACGCGCGAAAAAGCGACAAAATTGCACACACACACACAGGCATATACATATATATATGAGACAAGCCGGTGTTAGTATTTGTCAAATTTTTTTCTTGTTGTTCTTAAGAAATGTTCGATTTCTTAAAAAATAAATAAGAAATTGGAACTTGAGCTTACAGGGGAGTGGGAGCATAACGTCAGGGGAATGGAGGTTTTTTATACAAACAAAAATAAATACAATGACACACAAACGTTTCGCTTGATCGATTGCTCATTTAACAGACACAAATTCTAACTAATATAACAACGCGCGTGGGCAAAAAACGCATAGATGATCAAAAAATTGAAATGTATATATATATATATATATATATATATATATATATATAAATGTTAACATACAATGGTGTTTTTTTTTCTCTCTCCTTTTTCTGCATGTTCATATCTTTTAGCTTTTCCTATTAAAAGTTTTACTTTTCTCTCGCTATTGCAAAACTGGCACACTGAAGCGCAATACCGCTCAGTCGCTCATGAAAATCCGCAACTGCTCCTGCAAGTCGCTGTTCTGCGTTTGGTACATTTTCACCTGAACGAGCAACTCCTGAATTCTTTCCTCGTAACACTTAATGGTACCACCGTTGTTGTCAATACTACTTGCATGATCAAGGTTATTCAAAATGGAGCATGTATTTCTATTTGATAAAAGTTTGCAACTCTCAGCTGTGTCATCACTGTAGACACTTTTACCATTTCTTCCAAAATTTTGGTGTGTGGTAAAACTGGTAAGGGGAGAATAATGAGTGTTTCCATTATTATTTATGCGTTTCATCAAATTCATCTCAAGTTCTTCTTTCTGTTTCTTTAAGATTTTTATTTCTGCATCCTTTTCTTTCAATGCATAACTTAAATTGTTGTTATAACTTAATAGTGATTTTATCTCAACATTTAATTTCATGTTTTCTATTTTGCTTTTCTGTATAAGAATTTTTCGTTTTTCACATAAATCTTGTAAAAAATTCTTTTCTCGAAATAATCGCTTCACATCATTTGAATGCTTAATCATGTCGTAACATTCATCTAATGCCTTTTGTTGGCCATCACTTATTTTCATTTCTTCTTCATAGGGTACTTTTTCTTTTTTCTCATAACTGTACTTTTCAACAAAATCTGGATGCATAATAAATTTACGTAAGTTCACGTGGTTTTTTCCAATATAATTGCCATCTACTCCTCCCCCATCCGTCTTTGGAACTTCCTCCTTATGTACAGATTTATTTTTCATGATGCACACTTCGACATCTTCTCCATCTCGATCGTCTAAGTGGGACACTTTACCATTCTTGCAGCTAATACTGCCTCTAGCACTGCCTCTAACACTACCTCTAACACTGTCCCCTCCCCTGATGCTCTCGCTATTGACAAGTTCTTCCTCTCCCTTTGGTACCTCGTAATTATAAAAAACCTTTTTTGCACTCGCACAGCTACGCTCAAATGAGGCTGATGGATCGTGAGACATACACGTTGGGCGTTGTTCATTTGCAGCACTGTTGCCATCAACGTCGATTGACAAATCGCCTTCATCATTGTTCTCTGGATATTTTGTATTTTTTGATTTGGACTTAGAAACCAAACTATAAAATTCGCCTTCTTCTCCTTCTTCTTCTCCTTCTTCTTCTCCTGCTTCTTCTCCTGCTTCTGCTATGTTTTCATCGAAATTTAATTTCCTCTTCTCTGCCACGTCAGTCATGTTGTCCATATCGTTCGTTTGTTTTGTTTTTATTTCTGTTTTTGTTTTCTTGGGATTTGTTTTCACTTGTTCATCTAACACCATCGAGTTTTTTTCGCGCAAAATTGCACTACCCCAATTATTGTATTCTTTTGTCAAAGCATCTGAATTATTTCCAGATAACATGTTTAAATTGTAATCCTTTACTACACTACTACTTTCAGCCCTTTCATTTTTGCAATTTCGGTATTCTTCATTTTTTTCTCTACAACCATTATTATTTGGTGTCATACAACTGGTTTCACCTTTGCACTCCTTATTTGCAACAATGTTCTTATCATTCTCCAAAATGTTGCCGCTGCTGCTGCCACTTCTGTCGATGCTGTTCTTCTTCTTTTCCATGCAAATAAACTCTACGTCTGTACCCTCTTGACGGGGAACATTATTCCCCATGCTTATGTTCACATCTGATATTTTTTCCTTGTCATATGCCTCAAACAGGTTATTAACACTTTTGCTATTCTGTTGTTCGTTCATTTCTGCCGTTTCTCCTTCACATGTGGTACTCCCCATTTTTCCACTCCTGCTGCACGTATTTTCTTTCGTCTGTTCCGACTTAACTCTTGCTCCTCCTCCTTTTCCCGTTTTCCCATAGGAATGATCGCACAACACTTGTTCATCATAATGACCTTCTATCTCATTGACAAAATTATATTCAAGATTATATTTACTACGTGTTGCAACATTTTCGTTTCTCTTCTTTGATTCCATGAGGAGAGGGGGAAATGCGTATTCGACTAAGTCATTAGAAATATTATACATTTTAATGATATTGTTATGATTGCCATGCTGCTCAGTTTTATCCATTTTTGGATAGGAAGAAGAATCATCGAAGGCATATTTATCATGTCCTTCAGAATATGTACCCAAACATTTTTTACTTCTTTCAATTAGTTCTTTGGATCTGCTTATCAATTGGTTATGATTACTAATTTCATCCATTTGTTCTGACATGGGAGATGATTCACTCTTATCCAATTCAGTTGTTCTATTAAGCGTTTCTGAAATGACAGAATCTATTTTGTAATTATCACAACTCATAAAGGACTTTTTAAAGCTGTCATTTTTTAATTTATTTTGTTTCCGAAAAAAGAAATCAATTTCACTCAAGCTACTGTTCATGTATTTGCACTTGTTTTTTAACAACTGATCTAATTTCTCTAATGAGTTGTAACTCACCATTCTTTGTTTCTCATCATGATGGATTTCATGATTATGATTAAATGGGTCGTCATATTTGTAACTATCATTTTCACTATTCATGTCTAGTCCGATATCGATTCCAATTTCGCTTCTACAAGTAAAATTTACATCAGACTTTAGATCAGACTTTACACACGATTTTTGATCTAACTTTACATTAAAATTTCTATACTTTTTCATTTTATTAAATATACTCTTCGTCTTCAGCATATTAACACCACCACCATTTCCACCTGTATAATTATGAAACACATTTAATGCTGAATAGTCGTTACTGTATTCTCTCCAGAGCATTCCTCTTCCATCATCTTCAACATTGTCATAAATTTTTTTGTTATTTAAAAGATACGTAAAGTCTTCTTCCCTTTTTTTAAATAATTCCTTGCTATTATTAAAATTATATTTGCTTAAACTAATGCTTCGGTGATGAACTTCTTCGTCTCTCTTAGAAAAAGGATTTTTCTCCCCACCATTGTTCACATGATTATGTATATTGTTATTACTACTACATTCAATATCCTTGGTATTATTCCACGTTTCTAATCTTTTATCAATGCCAAGCCCTTTTAGAGCTAATTTGTACTTCATCAGATTGAACATGCTGTTGTTGCGTGCGTGAGAATAAACAGGTTTACTACCACCACCACCACTACCACCACTATTGCTACTATTACTATGCTTCACCCATTTACCCTTGTCAATAATAGTTTCTTTTTTATTCTGTTCATCGAAATGTGAATTATAATTTGTTAACTTTGAAATACTTCCTCTACTAGTAGTAGTAGTAGTAGGAGAGTTTTTATTATTGTTACTGTTAAGATATTCTGAACTTCTCGTCTTATCACTATTTATAATATCATTGCTAGTGACATACGTTTCATTCTTCAAATAATCATTTTCAAATTGAAGATAATTATTCTTCACATAATCTCCATCGTAATATTTATTATTCAGTAAATATGTCGAATGATGTTTCTTTAGTAGATCACTTTTTTTTATTTCAAAATCTTTTAACATTTGACGGTTGCGTCTGGAATTCTCATTATTTAGATATCCTTCATCTTCATCTTCTTCTGCTTCTACTTCTACTTCCTTTTCTAGTTTTTCCTCTAACTCTTCTTTCTCCACATTTTTTTTATTCAACATCAATTGACTGTTTAAATGGTTCCATTTGACACTTCTTAACCCTAACATTTCTCTGTTCATATTACCACTATCTGTTTCTCCAGTATCCCCCTCCCTCCCTTCTCCTCTTCCTCCTGTAGGTACTGTTGGCACTTCTTTTCCATAGTTAAAAAATAACGATTCATTGTTCGTTCTCTTTTTTAAATTGTAACTTAAATTATTCGATGAACTTACCCCTTTACAAAAATTATACAAACTGTTTTCGATATTGTTGCAGTGTTTTTTATTTGTGTTGGTAATTTCATTGAAGTCGTTATATAACGACTCCCACAAAATGTCATTGTTTTTTGAATCATTTTCTTCGATGCTCAGTTTCATTTTTACTTACATTAACATGAGCTCCTAGTAATAAAGCGCTTGTGCTGTTGTTACTGGATGAACGAATCGATGGTGAGTCAGTTTGTCTGACATGAATGAAAAATACTTCCACACAAAAAGGGGAAAAAAAAAAAAAAAATTTGACTAAATAAATGGATCAGTAAATAGCTAAATAAATAGTACACTAATTTCTAAACAAATAAATAATACTTAAAAAAAAAAAAAAAAATAATAAAACAAAAAGAGCGAGAGAAAGGGAGACTCCTCTGTGGGATACATGAAAAAAAGTTTGTCTTGTTGAATGATTCGATTGGCTAAAATCGATCGTCTGAATTTAAACTGGGTCATGAAGATCGTAAAAAAAAAAAATAAATAAATAAAAAATAAAATAAAAAAATAAAAAATAAAATAAAAAAATAAAAAATAAAATAAAAAAATAAAAAAAAATATGCTACCTTTTTATTTTGGTACATATCCTCACGACGGAGTAATATATATCAAAAGTAATATTTCAAGAATGTGTAACATATCGTAAGGTGTCTATAATACAGAAGGTATTCTAAATGTTGCAACAAATGGGATTCAAATGTATACACATTATTTATGTACATAAATATAAGTGCACATGCAAACAGCAATATTCATTTGAATACGGCTTTTTGTTACAAGGTTGCATATTATATTACATAATATTTTGTTCTCTTTTTTATTTTTTATTCTTTTAATTTTTGTACCTCTTCTCATTTGTAATGTCTCAAAATACATACACAAAATCAGCGTCGCTAATAGTGTAAGCATCACCTAACGCATAAAGAAGCTACATTTACTAATTTATAAGTAAAAACAAAAAATTAAAACTTAAAAAAATTATTAAAATGAGGAAGAAAAGAAAAAAAAAAAAAAAAAAAAACAGACACACACTCATAAATAGTGCGGAAAAGGAAAATATAACAATAAGAATGTAGCAAATATAAAATAAATACGCAAACTTCTTTGCGAAAATAGAAAAGGGATAAAAATAATAATAATAAATAAAAAAAACATGCTGTGGCTTGGCTTATTTGTCCCCTCGTTAATGATACAATTAAAGATAGAAAGTAAAAGGTATGCTGATATGTAAAAAAATAAAACGCAAAAGGTGAAGTGAAAAGGGCTTAACGCAAAAACTTTTCTCTATTCTCTAATTTGGCAAAATGAAAAAGGAAAAAATATAACTAACCATACGTAGAAGGGGAAGAAAATGGCGCAAAACACAACAAAAAACGGGAGAACTTTAAAAAAAAAAAAAAAAAAAAGGGGAAACGCAAGCAGAAATGCAAGCGGAATGCAAGCGGAATGCAAGCGGAAATACAAACAGAAATGCAGTTTTAAATGTAATGTATAAATGGTCGGATGGAAATTCTAAAAAAAAATAAGCGTATAGGTTTTCTCTTCTTGGCGTAAAAGAAGAGCTGCAAATTAATTGAGTTTGTGAATCAATCAGTATTGGTTTTGATTTGTTCTTTGTTTCGTTTTGTGTTTTTTTTTTTTTTTTTTTTTTTTTTTTTTTTTTTTTTTTTTTTTTTTTGTTTTGTTTTTATTTTTTCTGATAAGATAAATATTTTACTACAGTTAACGGAAATTTATATTCATCCTTGCATTTCGACATTATATACATGCAAATATTTTACATTCATATATATCACGTACAAATTTTTTGGGTAATTAAACAAAGGTAGTAAATATAAGGAAAAAATGCATTTATATATTTTTTTTTTTTTGTTATGCATTTATTATTACCACGTATAATTATTATATAAATAAATATTTTTTTATATTACATACATAATAAATGCATATTTTCCTTTTTTTAATTTTTTGCAATTTCGGCGTTCAATGAATTTTCGTTTCATAGGGTTTCGAAGGAGTAGTAAAGTATAGAAACGGGGAAAAAAAAGAAAAATAAAGAAAAAAAAAAAAAAAAAAAGGCAAATTTTTCGAATCTTATAAAAAGTTTGTGCACTTCTTCTCTTTGTTGTCCCATTTTCTTTCTTTTCTTCTTTTTTTTTTTTTTTCTCATTCTACAATCTACCATTCGCGCGCTGGGAATTTTTTTATACAATAAAATATTGTCGCCCCCCTAACCGCATTAACTTTTAACCACATTAAATATTCGTCCACAAAAATTTATCTGCATTTAAAAAATACAAGATGAAATGAACTTAACCTAAACTGTATAATATATAATATTTAGATACGTGTATTGTATATATACAAAATTATAACGACATTCAGACAGAACATATGCATGCGATATTCATGTAGCTATATTATGCGTTTATATTTTGCTATATCCATTTTACTACGTATAATTTTTATCATATATATTTTCTCACTAATCCTACCACGCGCTTGACAAAATATAAATATATACTTATTTTTCCATCTTATACCCCCATATAAAAATGTTTAAATAGCAAACTTTATTTTACTACAAATGGAAATATTACCCCCATTTTTTTTTTTTTTTTTTTTTTTTTTTTTTTTTTTTTTTTGCTTTTCCCAAATTATTCTGACAATTACACTTTTACGTGTCAGTTTTACCTTACTGTTCATATCTTTTTCTTCAACCAGCATTCTTAACGAAAATAGAAAAAAGTTAATGCATAAAGAAAAAGGAAATGTGAGAAAATCCTTCCCCTACTTTTCCCCCCCCCCAAAAAAAAACAAAAAGTATGCAGAATTTTTAAACATAAGAAATTGTCCAACATTAATATGTAGAAATGGAATTTACAGTTTTAAAATTATTGTATATACATGGACAAGTAGAATTTTTTTTTTTTTTTTTTTTTTTTTTTTTTTTTTTTTTTTGCGTCAATTTTGCAGCCCCGTGGCGCATTAACAAAAATTTAACAACACTAATTGAACAGTATAATATATATACCCCCCAAGTATCTGATAACATATATCCCACTTGACCAAAAACAATTCTTGTAACAAAGAGATTAAATTTTTACCAATTTAAAGGACATAGAAGGGGCAATGGGGGGGAGAATTACAATGTTTTATTGCATATAACCGTTACGAGATGTATTAAAAAAAAAAAAAAAAAAAAAAAAGTATGATCACTCAGATAAAAATATTTTACGGATATTATGTATAAGGCACCTCTAAAGAAAGCCATTTGGTATGCCCTTTTTTGTACCACCCCCAAAAGTTGGGAGGGAGTACTTTTCTGTGAATTATTTTCAACGTTTTGAAATTATTTTTCCTTAACAGCAATGATAAGAGACGATATGTAAAATTGTGTCTACGTATATATACATGTGCATGTACCTAGGTGTACAGGTACATATGAATAAATCTGGAAAGAGTTTAGGTATCTGTCGTATGTGTCACATCTCCCTTTCCCTCTCCCCATACTGCAGTGCGCAGAAAAGGGCTTGTTAAAATTCACAACATTAGCACTGGACAGAAAAAAGACATTTTCTCACATTTACAAATTTTAACGTGAAAAATCATAAAATGGCCTTTTTCACGAACCATTTAGTAGTTGTGCACATCCAACACACCGTCATAAAAAAATGGTCAGATAATAATTAACGTTAAAGCTTAGAAATAGCCAAATTTTTTATATTTTCTTTCTTCCCTTTTCCGAATTTTTTGATATTCGCATTTATGCAACAAGTAACGAATAATTATGCGAATTCATGAATTCGTAATGTTCCTTCCAAACGAATGTTCTCATAATTTGTCGAGTCTAGACAAGACATCCTAAGTAGAATATTTTCATCAATGAGTGCACTTATGCTTCAGGTACATGCTTTGCTGAGATGGTCTACACGATGAGTTGTCATGGGTTATATCTTTTTTCCCAAGCGCGAAAGGAATATTAAAAAAAAAAAAAAAAAAAAAAAAATGTACAATAAACCCATATATGTACAAAAAAAAGGTAGAACTATAGTAATGGTTATTATTTGGAAAAGCAAATTTTACGTATGTCATTCAGGAAGCCCTGTTTCACCAACAATATTACACTTTCTTCCTTCTTAATTTACACTTCTGGCTTCTATTTTCAATTTATGGTTCTTTTTCGAAATGCATTATTTGCTAGTTATTTTTGGCTTAACTCCCAAAAAATTTTTAAAAATAATACGAAAATTCGAACCACCAAAAATTATGAACCCCAAATCATCCCCTGTGCAAATTCCAAAACAGTATGAACAGTAAAAAAAAAAAAAAAAAAAAAAAATGAGAATCTCATTTGTACAATTTTATAAATGTGCGCCTCTCCTTTTCCATCGTTTCCCCTATGTACATGTTCTTGAACATTGTTAGTACCTTTCATACGGTGCTTGTAGAATATACAACTTCAAATTTGATTACATGCATTTATATATAAAATATGGGCACATGTATATCTTCCTGTGTAGTTAAAGCACCTTAACATGCAAGTTTTGTTTTTTTTTAAATTTTTGACGTTCATGCAAATAGAAAAATGAACTTCTCTTTCTCCTTACTGCTTCTTTGGTTTGGTTTGGCTTTTTTTTATTTTTTTTTTTTTTTTCATCACCTATCAGTATATACAACCCCCCCCTTTAGGGGGTTTCCATATATAACTTATAGAATCGTGAATCTCATGATTTATAGACACCTGGAACTAGCAGTATGCAAAATATTAAAAATATAGGCCCTTATTTTATATGGTGAGTTGCATATAAAAAATTACATATTATCAAACTTTGTGTGCTAAGAAATATTTTGTATTTCATTTGCAACGAAATTTGCTACTTTTTTGTGCATTTTAAATAATTTCTTGTTATTTCCCGCGCGGAATATTTTCAAGTCATCAATACCACATTCCTGCTTATTTATGTTTATACCAAAATTTGAAAAGCTTCTTTTCAGTGTCATTTTTCACAATTCACCTGAACCGTTCATGTATTTTTTTCAATTTTTTTTCAATTCTTTTCTTTTTGTTTTCAGTTTTTTTCCATTTTTTTTAACTCTTTCTTTTCTTACCAGAATATGTGTTCACGATTGTGGTGGCCCATATGTGATGTTAATTCAATACAGCTTGGTGTCACCGATGTGAATCCAGTGTCACAAATATATATCCTAACATATATTCTTTTAATTTCTTACATACAATATAGAAACGCATGGTGTTGGGTGGGGAGACATGTTCTCGCATAATTTCCCTCATTTTTGAAAGTTTGCATAATTCTTAGTTTTTTCACAACTTAATTAAACATCTAAACTTTTAATCTCCACTTTTACGTTACAACCGTGGCTAACATAGTATTTATTTGAGGTGGGATCAGGAGATCACGCATACAAACCGAAAGAAAAATTAATAACAAGGAAGAAAAAAAAAAAAAAAAAAAAAAAAGCTGTTCATAAATGCATAAGTTTAAAAATGTACCTTTGTTAGTACTTTTTTTTTTTTTTTTCCCCCACCTATATATATATATATATACATAGATACTTATTTTCGTGCCACGCTCTAATTATATATTATGCATATTATGGAAGATAAATCAATATTTTTTTTTTTTATTTATTTATTTATTTTTTTTTTTTTTCATAACTAGTTTATGAAATTTGTCACACTTAAATATCAAATTTTCAATCTATTTATTCGATTTAGAAAAAATAGGGGGGAAAGAAAATATGTCACACCTTTCACCAACATAATGTGCAGAAAATGTTTGAGAACCTTTGAAAATGTAAGGATCGTGTAGAAGGATAATTTTAAAAGGTTCTTTTTACTTTTTTCTTTTTTCTTTTTTTTTTTTTTTTTCATCAAAAAAGAATGCTAGAATTTATTTGTAGTTCTTCACATTTCAACATACATATGCATAACATATGCACATATATATATATATATATATATATATATATTTGTATAACATGTAAATGAAACTGCATACACATATTTATATGTGTATTCACATGTATGTTTATCCTTTCTGAGGATACCAAGGTCGTGCCCCTCCCAAAAAAAAAAAAAAAAAAAAAAAAAAAAGAACAGAATAACAAATACATAAAAATCAAGTTCAATTAATATGAGTTTAAATTTCAGCATAGCCAATGTAGTATATGTAAAGAACCTTTCAACAGATGTATCAGAGAAGGATATAAAAGAAAAATTTGAATCATGTGATGAAATAATAAGTGTGGTTTTTAAGAAGTAAGATATTTTGAAAAGCATTCATGTTTTCCCATTTTTTCAATTTACCCCTTTTTTTTCAGTCTTTCTTATTTTTTCAGTTTACCCCATTTTTTTCTATTTTTCCAGTTTTTTAGTTTACCCCATTTTTTTCTATTTTTCTCATTTTTTTCTGTTTTCTTTTTATTTTTCTCTCTCTTTCCCCCTCGCTCCTTCACACTTCAGCTTCCCCGGGAAAAACCAAAAGTACTGTCAAATCGAGTTCAAGAGCTCAGAGGGCATAACTAAAGCATCACGATTAAATGGCGAACCATTACTGAACGTTCCTATGGTTGTAACTGTGATAGAACCGATTGCACAGAACCCATGTTTTACCGAAGTTGTTAATAGCAATAATAATGAAAATGAAAAAAATTTAAGTAACAATGTAAATATTAGAAACAGTTCTCGTATTAATAACATTACTTTGCAGAATAATTTACAGAATCAGGTAATATGAAAAATACATGAAGGATCACTTGAGAATTTGTTCATACAACAAGCGCGTTTATATCGTGTGGAGTTTTACTTTCATCAAAAGTACTCTTTCCAGGCTTGTCTACATGAAGTTGTGAATACAAATTATACGAGTATCACAATTTGTGCTTAAGTGTTTTTCATTTATGCTTTGATTAACTGCAATTAATCCATGTCGAACCTGTTATATTGAGCGCGAGCCAACAAAATTTTCCACCACCACCATTCCAAATGCACTATGTCCCGTGTGTTGACATTTAGAAGCCAACAAAACAATTTAAGTTACAATTTTAACATTTTTTTTTTTTTTTTTTTTTTTTTTTTTTTTTCTTTCTCTTTTCAGAATCTGCAAAATATTCTAATACATCAGCAAACTGTATCGGAGAATAAGAAAGGACTCGTAGATTTTCAAAATTCATTAAATGAAAAGAATAACAAATTGGATGTATTTTCTAAAATTATTTATATGGAAAATGTACCTGAGAATGTAAGTTTTCTACATGTTTTAATGAAATAATTTCGATTTCACAAAAAACTTGTATCATATATGTGCATATGATTAAGAACTGCATCATTATACAAACATGTTTTTTCTCATGCTTTATTGTGAAGAGACACACTCTATATAGACACCCGTGCTTGAATTATTATGGGCTAATGGGCTAAGCGTTTTCTCCATTTTTGTCGCTTTTTCCGCCTCCTCCATTTTTGTCGCTTTTTCCACCATCTCCATTTTTGTCGCTTTTTCCACCATCTCCATTTTTACCACTTTTGCTCCTCCATTTACAGTACTGTGAAGATGATATAAAAAACTTTTTCAAGAGTGTTGGAAACACCACTAGTTACAAGCTCCAGTACAATGAACAGAAAAAAGTGCACACTGCATTTGTAGAATTTACAAGTGAAGAACATGCAAAAGCCGCATTAAATTTAAATGGAGTAAAAGTTGGAATGAATGAAATAATCATAAGAGATGCACTCAGTTTAATTGTTGAAAAAGACCATCTTAAAAACAATTATTCCTGTAATAATAGTAATAATACAAACACCACTATATCAACGAAAGGGGAGGTAGCAATTGCTACTATTGCAACAACTACAACTGGTGCAACTATTGCTACTACTGCTGCTAGTGGTACGATCCAGACCAATAATATTGAAGGTACAAATAAACAATTTGTAGTTAACGAGAAAGTAGAAAAAGTTTTAGCTTTACGAGATAAATTGAGTCAAAAATTATGTGCAATGTACAATCCAAATGCTGTTCTTGTCAATAATCTCGTATCAGTTAATCAGCATTTGTTGAATGCATCTGCAGAAAGTGGTGTTGTTAATAATTCTACTAGTGCTACTTCTGCAAGTACAGGGAAATTAAAAACAATAGACGAAGGTGACAAAGAACCTTTAAATAATAGTGGAAATTCTAAAACTGACGAAACAGATGAGAAAGTAGAAAAGAAAAAGTCTAATGGAAGTAAAAGGTGTGATGAGAATAAGAGGAATGATGAGAATAAAAAGAGTGATGAGAATAAGAAGAGTGATGAGAATAAGAGGAATGATGAGAATAAAAAGAGTGATGAGAATAAAAAGAGTGAGGAAAGTAAAACACACCACGAAACAGACGAGGAAGATGCAGAAGATGAAGAGAATGAGGAGAGAAAAAATAAAAACAATGAAAAGAAAAAAAAAAAATCCAAAAGTGATAAATATAGGAGTGAATCACGCTCCACTAAGAAGAAAAGTTCCTCACGAAGTAGCGATTCTCGCTCTTCAGCGAGTCATGGAAACAGAACTTCAAGTAGCAGAAGTGGATACAGAAAACATAGAAGCAAAACATATTCGAGACGTAAACATATCTATAAAAAACATAGTAGTAGTACGCGAAAAAGGAAGAGATATAATAATAGCTATTCTAGGAGCTCAGAGCACACGAAAAGTAACAACTCGTTAAGTTCATACGGATCAGAAAAAAAGAATAGACACTATTATCATAAAGAAAAGAAAATACATAAACTGATAAAAAAAGACCAAAGTACATCTTCTTATTCCAGTTATAGCCATTCATCACATTCTCCAAGACGAAGGTGTAGAAAATCAAGCAGTAATAAACCATGGTGGATCAAAGAGTCGGAGAAAATGCAAATGAGGCAAAGGATGAAGGAGAGGCAAAGACGTGAAATGGCTTATAGGGAAAGATACAGAAGGTAAGATGGATATATTAATATACTGCAGAGGACAGATACCCATGAATTATATATATGTAGGATATTCTCCCAAGGAACTATTCCAAAGTCTTATGCATCTACCCAGTGCTTGCATACAACCCTGTGTTTATAAGTACAATGGGACCGAGTGAATGAGAGGGGCAAAGGGGTGGGGGAGGGAGGGAGGGGTGGAAATAAAACGAACAAGCAAATAAACAGACAAACAGAGGGGTAGATAGATATACAGAAAAAGAAGCAAGCAAAAAAGCAAGCAAAAAAGCAAGCAAAAAAGCAGGCAAACAAACAAATAAATGAAGAAGGGACACTGCAAATTTGGCATCACACCTGTATGCGACACATCTTGTACCATTTACCTCTTATCATTTTTTTAACGAAAAAAGGGAAATGGTATATACAGGACAGCTCCACAGGGCAGCTATATATATATATATGTTCACACATTGACCGTGGAAAAAAAAAAAAAAAAAAAAAATAGAATAAAAAATGCCGTATTCCGAGATTTTATCGAGCCCATATAACCTTATTCTCTTTTGTGCATATCCTCTCGACAGCATTATAAGAACTCTAAAAGGTTTGGGATGCATTTGAATTTTCTGCATCACACACGAAATTGAAATGCATAAATTTGTAAAAGTTTCTCCCTATCGGAATAATATGTACACATTGGGCATTCCAGAATTTCCCTCTTTTAGTTACTACCGTTATATACATCATGTGTAAAAATTCATCCATTTCACGCCATTATCTTCATAGACCAAAGAAAAAGACAAATCCGTTTCCCTATATATTGCATGGAAAAACAAACCAGAGCTGTTTAATAACAACCATTTTACAGTAAAAAATTGGGTTATCAAGTTGCATACATCTAATACAGTTATGTTGTGTACATTTAACACAGTTATGCTGTATATATATTTTCATTCATCTCATCATTTCATATTAAAAGAAAACGTCTCCTTTTTTTTTTCTTCTTTTTCTTCTAACCGCCCTCTCTCCAATTTGCTTTTCTTAATTTTTTTGTATAACATTTTTATTCCTCACCGCATACACACACACACACCTCCTCCTCCTCCTTTGTATAAGCTTAAATTTTAAGCTGTTGCATTATGTTACGTTCACTTTCGTGCGTATAATAAATTAAAGACTGTTCTCTTTTGCTAAACACCATAATTCCCGTTTGTCCAAATCACAAATTAGAAGCCGTGTAAACATAAGTTTTTGTCGTGCATTCAATCGTATGCATATTCTGTAAATACATATGCACCTTTTTTGGTCTGTTACAAGTGTAACTTTCCCATAGTAAAGAAATCTCATTGATACACCAGCATATATATGCACAAACGGCATGTTAACTTTGGATACTAATTTTGGATACTAATTTTGGACACTAATTTTGGACACTAATTTTGCATGTTAAGTTTGGATACTAATTTTGGATACTAATTTTGGACACTAATTTTGGACACTAATTTTGCATGTTAAGTTTGGATACTAATTTTGGATGTTAAGTTTTATTTTTATATAAAGTATTTTCATGTGATCGTGCAGTAGTAAAAAATATGGTGCACACACACATAAGTTAAATGGCCCATTTCATATAAAAAAATGCACAAATTTTTTCGGAAAAAAAAAACAAAAAATACGTACGCGATAAAAATAGAGGCAAAAATTGTTTCAATTTCTATTGCCCCTTTTTTCTTGTCATCTTTTCATTTCTGTTATGCGGACAAGTTATCCTTTTTTACCCAGGTGCAAAAAAAAAAAAAAAAAAAAAAAAAACAGATAAGCAAAAAGTGTGCTAATTTTATTTCCTTCCACATTTGAACAACAATCAGATCAATCATTCTGCATGGCAAATTCATATGTGTACATTCTGGCCATGGATTGAAACCCTTTAACGTCTCCAGATCGCAGTAAATTCCCTGTGAAGAGGGGGGAGTAAATAAATTTTGTACTATGAAAAATATTATTCACATTATTATATTCCATTATACTGTATTATATCCCACTTTATTTTATTCATTTCTTAACTTTAAAGTCGTTATCAGTGTCAACAATATGAACACGTGTGATGAATGAACAAAAGAGAGAAGAATGGCACATATATATGTACTTATTTTCAGCTTATCATTTAACCATTTGACTTTCAAAGGGGAATGCATTATATGCATTGCAAAAGACACACGTATAAAAATCTGTAACAAAATATGCATACTATGTACGATATACACATGTTCAAATACAAACCTGCATCACAATTTAGTGGACTGTCTGCGTTGGGTTCCGTAAATAAAAAAAGAATGGCTCGACAAAGGGATTGAATAGTCCAAGCAGGGCTCCAGTTGGTCTTCAAAATATCCATACATAATTCTCCTACAAATGTATGGAAATAACAGACAGGGCAGGGAAGGGAGGAAAAAATGGATGTACTTGATATATACATGTGTATGTGCATATGTGCTTATGCATGTGTGTGTATTGAGGTGATACAAACAGGTTGAGATGTCCTTCCCATATGTGTGAACGAGTCTAGGATGTCCCCCAGCGTCCACTCCAAAAAAAAAAAAAAAAAAAAAAAAAAAAAAATTGTGCTGTCAGGTAAAATTTCATTTGTGATGATCTATCAATTAAGACAAGTCCAAACCCTACCTGTTACAAAATTAACGTTTGGATGAAAAAACTTAGTTATAAAAGTTATCACTGGTGGGTCTATTGGATAGGTGCTCTTGCATTTTATGCTCAGTTTCCACTTTCCTCCCTACAAGATATGGATCCTCATTGTGCAAGTGAAAGAGGGGTGGATGAATGCACAATTGGGGGCAAATCTACTTATCTTTTCATTCGTGTGTAGTCCTACATACACACGAATACAGATAAACAAATAGGTGTACACATAATAAACACTACAATTTTATCTAAAGGAACACATAAAGTTATGCCTTCACACAAGACATATAATCCTCCAAAAAGAATAAATAATATTTGTTCCACGAAAATTTGAGATTTTACCTCATACGGAGAATCCTTAGGTCCCCTAATGATGGCTTGCCACTCGTATAAATTGTAATCACTAAAAAATGAAAGAGAGAGAGGCGTGCGAAATGGTAGAATTTACTAGACATTGCAAAAAAAACATCCATGTAAAGATGTGTCAATTTTTTATTAAGTACTTAAATGATTGGTATGCAAAAAATAACCAATTTACACAAACATATACAGATAGATAGATAAATAGACAGAATACCCCCAAAAAAAAAAAAAAAAAAAAAAAAAGAAAAAAATATATATATCCCATCCTTAGTATTCACATATGGTATATATGTGTATGAACATTCAGAACAAATTGATATGATCGGTAAATGCTCACAGAGATACCACTCATATAAGTAGGAATTAGGGGTAAACAAAAATCCTAAAAAATATATTTTCATACCGCTGCAGAGAATTTATACATACCTGTGAGTAAGCGTTATGTCTGGGTCATTCTGCCTTCTGGCTTCACGGGATTCTATTAAAAGTCTATTTTTTGTCATGCTTTTCATGTGAATTAAAAAAAAAAAAAAAAAAAAAAAAAAAAAATTCTACTAATGATACTTTGGCATAAAAGGGAAAAAACAAAACGAAGAAAAAAAAATAAATAATTATTTTTACTTCATTTTTATTGTACTATTATCTCATTTTCATTAAATTATTATTACATTATCACTGCATTATTATTACATTATCATTGCATTATCATTGCATTATTATTACATTATTATTACATTATTATTACATTATTATTACATTATTATTACATTATTATTACATTATTATTACATTATTATTATATTATCATTTCATTATTACTTCATTTTCATTTCATTGTTACTTTATTGTTGTTTTAATTTCGCTTTAATTTTATTCGTTTTTTACATGTTCTTTGCGATAGATGAGCTGAGGTTGTGCAAGGCTATGCATTTATTTTTTAATTCTACAGATGAGAGTATGTATACTTTTTTTTTAGCAAATAATTGTGTTTCGCTCCCTATCTCACTTTAACATGCATTCCTCTTTTTGCGTTCTTGCACTTATTCATGTGTTCGCTCTTTTATGATCTCCCAGTTTGCCTTTGGCTAATTTTCTTGCTTTTTCATGTTTTACTTGTTTTTATTGCTTTTCTTGTTTTTCTTCTTCTTTTTTTTTTTTTTTTTTCTTTATGATATAGCCACCTGTGCACACATAAAAATGTTTTAAAGTTTTACGTTTTTAATTTTATTCACAATTCACATTCCACTTAAAAGGATAAAGCCATAACGCAAGTTTTTTTTCCCTTTTTTTCCCCCCTTATTCACTAAAGTATATTTAATGCCCTTATTATCCTTTTTTTTTCCACTTTTTTTTTGTTTTGTTTTTTTTTTTTTTCCCTTCCCCCCTTTGTTTATCCCTTTTTCTTCTTTCGTGAAAAAGAGACGAATTAAAACCAGATCAGCCCTATCCTATAAAATTTTGTAACATAAGTTTTTACTTATTCCTGCATGTGTGCATGTTCGCATGTGTATATGTAAAATGTACTTTTATAAGCTGAGTAGAAAACATTATAAAGTATAGATAATTATATTTTGTCCAAAAAAAAAAAAAAAAAAAGCACATAATTTGTTCAACGGGAAATTCATAATATACGTCATTGGTATATATATATATATATATGTATAAACGGATCGTATGTGTTATTATACATACGAGAACGCCTAATATATGTTCATGCAAATCTCGCATATATTCTACCTAAATGCGATCATAATGAATTTCGAGAAAAAGGAAAAATTTTACAAAAATGTAATCATACAAAGGGAAGAAGAAGAAAATGCAAGGTTTAAAAAGGTGGTACATTTTCAAAAAAACATTGTTGATATTAAAAATGAATTCGCTAAAAGGAATGAATATTATAAATTAAAAGAGGAAATAAAAAATTATAAACTAAAAATCGGACAACTGCAAAACGAAAATAACCTTTTAAAAAATAAAGTTCAATTATACCAAGCGGAAATGAAAAATTTCCGTGATGAAATAGAGATGAAAAACGAACGCATTAATCACTTGTTAGCCGAAAATGACATAACGAATAAATTGTACAAAGACATTTACCACATTACGCGCCTGCAAAAATAAACGAACGCGAATACCTATATCTAGGCTACGTATGTGCATGTGTGGAAGTATTTATATGTATAGACTTATTTGTATATATATATGTGGACGTATGTGTATGCATTTATTTGCCCTCTTGTTCGTTCAGAGATAGTTTATGTGCCATACTCTCCCACCCTCCTCCTAAGGCATGCTTCAATTTTTTAATCCGTCTTATTGCAAAAGGGCAAAAGAGTGATCGAACTTTTGACAAAAGAATGAATGATATAAAATTTTACTTTTGCATCATCAAAATTTGCACCTTCTTATTCCTTTTTTTGCAGCAATGATTATGTTTTATTGTAAAGTGCTGCATGATTAGTTAATTCGTGATTTTACATTATTTTACATTAAAATACTTTTTTTTTTTTTTTTTTGTTATTTAATACCGATTAATACAGCTTTTCTTTTGTTATGGTTTGTTTTGTTTTTTCATCTCTTGTTTTGTTTTGTTTTTGTTCACCCGTCTAGGTAAAACAGTACGCTCACTGATGACACGCAGTGAATATGTGAAGCGGTTTAAAAAAAAAAAAAAAAAAAAAAAAGTATTGCAAGGAGGGTAAATGGAATAGGAAAAGGAAAATTCCCCTCTACATGCCCATACCTCAGGTGTGCCTTTTTACAAATCAGCAATACTCTTTTTAATGGATTCAAAGGTTTTGTATGAACCCGAGACAATTTCTCCACTTTCCTAAAATTACGTAAAAGGAGGAAGAAAGATCGTGAGGGAATTACATTTTTTATATAAACAAACACAGGGAATAATAATATTTTGTAAAAAGAATGTTGATGAACCTTTTTCTCTAAATATTTCTCGGCCTTTTTAATGGATTTTTTTACATTTTTAAGCTGCAAAGCTGTGAAGGATATGACACACGCGGGGAATACATATTGTGTATGTACATGTACATATATATATATATCTATGCACGCACATATATTAGCAACTTCCTCCTATTAGACACGCACAAGTACGGGTACACATAAATGTAAACATATATATATATATATATATATATGTATAAGTTAGAAATACTATACAAAAATTCTGTTTTTCAAACCAATAGTTTGAAAAGTTTCCTTCATTTTATCCATTTCGGTATGTCGCCGCAGCCCTTCTTCTTCTACCGAGTTTAATAGGTTTTCGATTTTGTAACTGAATTGATCGATTTCTCTTCTCTCTAATTCGTTCTGATTGCTCTTCAAGAAGGTTGCAAATGTAAAGTGGATAGATGAAAAAAAAAAAAAAAAAAACAGGTTAACACATGTGTGGGTATATGTATATTGCCCCAATTTCGAAACGAACGCCTGAACAGTTCATATCTTTTTTTCCCATTCTGCTTGCACACACCTTTAACAGAAAATTTAGGTTATCGTTGTAAACATCATCCAATACTTTGCTAAAAGAATATTTTCGTGAAAATGAGTGGTTACCTTGTCTAAATTAATGTATTTTTTTTTTTTTTTTTTTTCTTCTGTTTTTCCCAATTTTTTGCTTTTCTGCTTACTTTATTCCATTTAAGGATAAACTTTTATCATTCTCAAAAACAGCCAAATTCATTATGTGCTCCAAACAGAAAAAAAAAAAAAAATTACTTAATTCTGACGAGGTCAGACAAAAGTTATGTCGTAAATGCAGTAACAGCCAATTAATATTCAAATTGAATGTGTGTGAAACAAACAAGGTAAATAACTTAAAACATAACAAATTCCTAAGCATACATCGCAATGTATACTTGTGTATATATATGCATGTATTCTTAAGTACATACATACATGCATTCACAAGTGCAGTTTGAAGTAAAAAAATATGAAGCCAGGTAAACTAAAAATTTAATTTAAATAATGTGTCACTAAAACAAATTTGATTTTTAGTAGTACAAATTGGTACACCGGAATTATTCCCTGAGGAATGAAAGTAGCTCAAAAAAGAAAAAAAAAGAAGAAAAAAAAAAAAAAAGATTATTATTATGATTAGGAATATGATTAGAACTATGATTAGGGCTATAAATTAGGACTATGATTAAGATCAAGATCATGCGGGTAATATAATGATGGTGTTTTGATGATGAGGCTTTAGGTAAGAGCAAGTTATTGTGTTCAGAATTTATTTATTATTTTTCTTTTCATCCAAAAAGAAAAAATAAATAAATAAAAGGAATTAAAAATCTAGATACGGCTTAGCAGAAAAAAAAAAAGAAAAAAAAAAAAAAGACAGTTTAAAACAAAATTAATTGTCAAGATGAGGTGGACGGAGGGTATTAAATAATATAGGAGAAATTGAAAAGATTGGGATAAAGTAAAATGTGGTGAGTAAAAAGGATGGAGGATGAAGGAATGGGATAAAATGTACATATATTGACAAACAGATATGATATCGCGCAAATCTTGCATGCATGCTTGTGTATATATAAATATATATATATATATATTTATAATAAATTAGAGGGGACGTGAAAAACGTACAATGTGAACTTTGATATATACATGTATACATTATATGTGCGTACATATACATATATGTGTACATGAATAAAATTAATACACTGACATATATGCACAATGTTGTCACTGAAACTTAAAATTGATATGAACGAACGCATAATAAGTCACACTCAAAAGGAACTCGCTTCGAGGTCCCATACATTATTTAATAAGATGAAAAATTATTAAAAAAGTAAAGTGGAAAAATGGCAAATGGACAAATGGCAAAATGGGGAAATAAAATAGTAAAAAAAAAAAATAAAATAAATAAAAATAAAATAATGCCATGTTTCTCTACCGAAGCTTGCGTTAGAGTAACAAAACATGGGGATAGTACACTGTCTTTAAGCCATTTAACTTGGTTTTCATTATTTTTTTAATTATAAACGAGTTTTCGTATAGGATACTTTTATGAAGCGATCTTTCAGATAAAAATTGTGGAGATCCATTAAAGCCCTTGTTGCCTGAAAAGAATCGAGGGGAAAAAATATATATATGTAATTTTTTTTTTTTTTTTTCATTTTTGGCATGAACAGGTACAGTGATATACTATATGGAGGGTATATCTTTCTTTCGTCGTTCTTCCTTCTCTCGACTTCCCCTTTTTTGACACTTACAGTATCTTCTGAACTTAACTCCACGGTGATGGTTATATGTTTCTTTCCCTCCTTTATTGGTTGTATTTTTAATTTTTTGATTTCTCCATATTTCATAAATAAGTTCATTATACACTCCTCGGTTACTTCTTCGCTCACGTTTGATATGAATAATGTTTTCGTAGGTTTGCATGCTCCTTTTATGTATTTTGCTTGATCTGCTATCTGCATCGGGGGAGAGGATAAATGTGACATGAATAAAATATTTTTTCGAATTAACAAAGAAGCAGTTGTAAAAGCGTGTGATACATATATTGGGGTGTAATGAAATATACACGGAGAGAAAGATCGAATGTTAAAATGTATAAATACACGACGAGACAGAGCTAATACTACGATGTATAAATACACGGTTGATGGTGCAATCCCACGTTTTTGCATGTGCATTTGGCAATGCATTTTTCTCGTCACGCGTATTTATTATGAATCGAACCAAATATCTCTGATCGTAGCTACTAAATGATTTGGCCTTGTAGGATTCTATTTTCTTTTGTTGAGGGGCAATGCGTATATCGAGGATTTTTGAGAAATGTAATTCCAAAATTTGATCTCCAACTTTTGCGTGCTGTAAACATTCCTGCGCCACAGAAGCGAATAAATAGCCTGAGTATTGGATGAGAGCAGAATCCGGTTTCTCTCTCAGAATTTTTATTCTCGACACAAATCCGTAAACACTGAATAAGTTAAATAGCTATTTTGTATAATGGTAGAAAGGAATAGGAAAATAAGGATGAGTCTACATGTAAATTGAAAGTGTAGTTTAACGTCGAAATAAATTGTATAAACTGCTATACTGAGTTTTGTTCATTAGAAAATCGAGAATGAGATTGTAACATATCTCGTGTCATAATTATTCATGCACGACCAGAAACGCACCTTATGAACGTCCGTGTAATCCTTTGGGATATTGTAGCAAATTAAAACTGGTGTTTTGGATGCATTTTTTGCGTCAAAATCTACTAGCTTGAATTTCCTTTCTAATAACAAATACAACTCAGGATCATTTCCTTTCCCTTTAAAATGAGAAACAAAAAAAAAAAAAAAAAAAAATAGAGTGGTAAAATTAGATGTGGAAATTATGCATAATATAGTTTACGTGAATGATAATGGAAATGATTAATAGGGGAAGGGGGGGAGGAAGGGGACAACTCAAAAATGTTGATACATTTTATTATTATTATTTTATATTTTTTTAATTTTTCCATTTTGTCTTATGTTCTATTACAAAATCCATCACCATCACAACCCCCCTTACGCACCACACAGACACACACAAACGGAGGACACATGTTTGTTATTTGTATATGCCTCAGTGTTGCAACGTCTGAGACATATACATATATATATATATATATATATATATATATATATATATGTATATATAAACACATGTGAAAAATTCGCATCTTACGAGTCGGGGTGGGGAGGACACCATGGGAAGTTTGTAAATTGGGGAGATTTTTGTTTTTGTTCATGTTGGACGTGGTGTAATCCCGTGAGCTTGAATTATTTGCCTTTACAACAAGTTCCTTTAAAAAGGAGTACTGTATCTGAATTGTGTTGCAACCATCATAAATATTTCTATTATGTAACGTTTTTATAGCCTCCTGTGCTGTTTCGATGTTTTGAAATTGTACTAAGGCTTGATAAACTAGAGGATTTCTAGAAAAGGTGATAATTTTTTCAACAGTTCCACACTTACTAAATAGGTAATATATTAATTCAATATCAACAGGGTAATGTAAATTCAGAACGGATACTAGTATAACTCTTGATGACTCCTGTTTATTGTATTTCCCGGTTTTTTTATTCAGACCATCCGGTGCTTCTTTCGCATTTGCTCCGACATGTGCGCTAACATTTGCGCTAACATTTGCACCGTTTTCATATTCATCCAAGTTTTCTTTATTAATCGAACCATCAGTTGTGTCATTCAGTTTTGACAATTTTACACTCACAAATGAACCCTTTATTTGCGTTGGATGTTCATTAAAATAATTATAAATATTTTTGTTCAGGTCATCATCATACAACTTAACTATAATACAATCTCGATCAAACAAAATTTCTGGATTACTGTTTTTTATAAATGGTCTCATAAATGATTTTATGTCTTCTTCTTCTGCATCTCTCGGTACATTTTTTAAAATCAGGAATGTATTTACACAATTTTTTTCTTTTTTCAAAAATGGCATTCCACTGTATTTACTTCCTTTTCTCTTTTTGCTATCACTTTGGAAATAAATATTTGCTGCTTGATTATTCGATCCTCCTTCACTGTTCATTACACAACTTCCTGCCCCCATTACATTACTATATCCAAATTCACCCATACTATTAACACCACCATATTTCGTATTCTCTCTGTCATGATCCATATTTCCATCTATCAGAGATGTACCTCGTCCAATAGCACAATTAGGATCCCCATCATTGTCATTCCCGTTGAGATTATTGTTCATGTCTGAAAGAACATATTCATCTTCTTTGATTTCAATTAATGTACTTGTGTTCATTTTTGAAGCGCAATTTTTTTCATGGTACATTTTTTGACTCTCGAAATGATCATCATTGCTCATTAAGTATCTTTTGACTCCTGTTTTGTTTTTTTCATTTTCGTTTTCATCACTCGACAGAGTTCTCTTATTCATTTTTGTCTTCTTCCCCCCCTTTTGGGTTTTTCGCTAATTCGATGAATCTGTGCTTTGGTCAGGTACTACTTTGGTCTGATGGTGATTTGGTCTGATTCTGCTTTGGTCAGGTGCCACTTTGGTATGATGGTAATTTGGTCAGGTGCCACTTTGGTATGATGGTAATTTGGTCAGGAGCCACTTTGGTATGATGGTAATTTGGTCAGGTGCCACTTTGGTCTGATGCTTCTTTGGTCTGATGCTTCTTTGGTATGATGCTCCTTTGGTATGATGCTCCTTTGGTATGATGCTCCTTTGATCTGATGGTGCCTCTCTCCTTCGTACCTTTCGAGTCACTTTCACGATAATCGAAGAGTCACACGCTCAAAATTTTTGTAGAATATGTGCAACGTCCTTTTGGATCTTTTCTACATATAGAAGGAGGGAAATATGCATGCAATGGTGTGATCATAAAATGGTGTGATCATGCAATGGTGTTGTCATGCAATAGTGTTGTCATGGATGTAGACAGGAAAGTTACAACAGGGTGAGATATCACGATCTCATACAAATTGTCATTGTTGGAATGTTCCTATGGGATATTCCAGTAGACCGTTTGGTTTAACACTGATGACTTTGAGTCTTCCCCACAGGGCAAACAAATTAGCGATCAATTAAAAAAAAAAAAAAAAGAAAAGAAAAGGAAAGGAAAGAAAAGAAAAGAAACTGAATATGTAGACCTATGCTAATGCGTTATGAATTTCTTACAAGGGGGGGGTTAATTTCAAAGTGGGTGCATACTAATAGTGAAGTTCATATGGGTGCACACGAATCAGCAATATCAAAATGAATATGAACGAATGCGCCTTTATGTTTTGTAAGAAAAAGTGGAATCCGCCAATGAAATGCAAAAGGCGAATCATATACTACTTAGCTTTCAAAAGTAGGAAAAAGTACGTACATATATATATACATACATATATATATACATACATATATATATACATACATATATATATATACATACATATATATATATATATATTTAGAAACATATTTACAAACGTATAATTACATGCATATATTCACATGCATATGTGTGTAAACACGTCGATGCGTGAACTTTATAGATATTCGCCTTCTTACATAAACTGTGAGCATGTACTATTTCACTTCAGTTCGCGAGTATGAGAAAGTTGCCAACTTAAAAAAAAATTGAAGTAACGGAAAAGAATATGTCAGATAAGTAGGGTCAACTATTTTTTCTCATTTTTTATATATCTGCTCATTTAGCAATTCTGATATTCGTTTTCATGTACGACTCTATCCATTTATGCGTTTATATAACCCTTCGTTTGTAAGTGCTGACTTTGCTGTTTCATTTAACCGTTTTTGTTAGCCTTTTTTCTTTTCTTTTTTTCTTTTTTGCTTTTTTTTCTTTTTTCCCCTTTTTATTATATCTTATTTATTTTTATTTTCATTTTTGTTTTATTATATTTTTTATATATTTATTTTATTATTTTTTGTAAATGTTTTTTTTTTTTTATTTTTATTTCTATTTTTTTTTTTTTTTTTAACCCAGTGAGGTAGGAAAAAAGGTATATAGGTTAAGGGAGCTTATTATATATAAAATTGTATGATAAATTGTAACTCTGCAACTGAATATATTTGCTTTTGTAGAATAAGTGCAATTTCCAAATATATATATATATATATATATATTGTATGACATTTTGATATAATACATTCCTTACTTTCATGTATAAACACCTTTGTAAGAATTATATTTTATATTCCTCTAATAGTTACCTCGAAATATAAAAGAAAATTATAAGTCGCATGAAGAGTCTTTTCCCAAGTTTTTACCCCAGTATAACAATCATTTGGGTGGGTAAGGATAAAATGGCAGCGGTGGTGGGAAGGCAAAAATTATATATGTATGTTTGGGTGTTGGGTAGTATAAATAATTTGTATATTTTTCCACCATTTACTTCAGTGCTAAGCTTAAGAATATATATTTACATTATACATACTATACCCATGTGGGGGGGGGGAGTGCATTTTTTTTTTTTTTTTTTTTTTATCATATGAGCCTCATCCTAGCAACTTTTACGCAGCAAACCAGTTTGACCGACATGTAAATAATGTATATTTTGCATATATAGCACTCCTCCCACACTTATAAAGTGTACATGCTATACTGCCCTACATTTGTAGTGTTACATATATAACACCGTACAACATTTATAATATATATATATATATATATATATATATATATATATATATATATATATATATATATATATATATATATATATATATATACAAACAGGCATGGGTGTAAAAACATATGAACTTATTATCTCAGATAAGAAGGTGTTACGTAACTTTTCAATTGACCTCTTTAAAATTATAAAATAAAATATTATGGAGGGGGAGGAGAAAAAAAAAAAAAAAAAAAAAAAATTCAAAAGTGATAAGGATTTTTTCACACCATCGTATAAAACAATTATTGCTTAAAAGAGAAAAAAAGATAGGTACACAATTATTGAGACTATTGTTGAATTTTGTACCTACATAATATAACGTTGATTTTTTTGTGGCATATGCCACAATCCATAAGTACAAAAGGGAAAAAGAAAAAAAAAAAAGAAAAATGTTCTTACAAGTACAGTAAGTGTATTATAGTAACTTCATCATAGTATTCACATCACAGTAACCGTGCTGCAGTTTCGTTGAACTCTGAAAAATGTGTTTCCTTTTTGAAAAAAAGACGAATATATATAATTTTTGCACTCATCTTCAAGGATGCATATTTAAGATTACAGGCTGGAGAATAATTGATTGAGTGCTTTAAAACAGAGTCTGCACATTCTTCTTCCTATGTTTTATAGATTTACACAAAAATGACTAATAAGTGAGTAAAAAAGAATAAAATCGGTTACTGAAATATTTTTCCAAGGAGCACCCTCTTCAGTGTGTTCATCCATGTGTTCGTTTACGCGTTCTTCCCATGTGTTCCCTTTTGAGTACAAATATTTTTTTTTTTTTTTTCCAATATAAGTGGTGTGTGGGGGAGATGAATTCATATATTCTTCGTCTTAAATAGCTTGGAAAGCCAAATGAAACGTTTCAACATATTTTCAACAGAGTAACTATATCTATCATGCTACACTTTGTTCTGTTTCCTCCCCCCACTTCTTACTCTTTTTTTTTTTTTTTTTTTTTCTTTTCACCTTTTCGTCTGAAAATACAAGACAGAAACAAAAATGGGTCACAAAAATTAACCAATGTGCATGGATTTGAAAAATTTGCTAAAATAGGTTGAACAAAAATATGCACACATATGAAATAGGAACATATCAACAAACGATGGGATGTATATATATATATATGTATATGTAAATGTAAGCCGGTGCATGCACAAAACTATAAAAATAATGCATACTAAGAAACGTTAAAAAAAAAAAAAAAAAAAAAAAAAAATCAAACAATTCTTGGTCCTCCACAAATCGGGGAAGAGGGACGCAGGCAAAAACAAAACTGCATACAGACTCGCATACAGATGTGCATACATACGTGCATAAAGATGTGCAGACTGAAAATGCGAATGGCACGAGAACATAGGCAGGTACACGCTGGGGCAACCTGAATCTTTCTATTAAGGATCGCGTACGCTCGACAGAATGCAATTTGGAGCATCTCGGCTTCTGAATTTGTGACTCATCAACTTGTATGTTGTCAATTTTTCGATTTCCCAACTTGTGAACTTCTTCACTTCTTGGCACCTTTACATTGGACAGGAGTTAACTTTTCTCCTACCCATTACATATACATGCAGCTTCACAAACCCTTTTCTGAACACTGAGAAAATCTCGGGATAGATATACTCTACCTATTTAACATTGTGATGTCTTCACTATTGTTCATGCTATTAATAATCCTGCAAAAGTAGAGATGAAGAAAAGAAAAGAAAAGAGTGATGGGGAAAAACATGCTACTGGCACTGCTGTGGACAGTCTTGCTGTGTGATGGAATGGAAAATGAGACGCAATGGGGGGAGAGGAAGCAAAAGTGGCAAGAAAAACAAACGTGGCAAACGAAAGAAATTCTCGCCTAACCCCGAGTATGCGTCTGAGGCATGAAATCAATTTAGTACCTCTTGAGAAGATTCCTAATGTGTATCAACTTTTCCTGCAAGGTAACTAGCATGCTTTTGTTGTGAAGGTAATACTTCTGTGGTGAATGAAACGAAAAATTCTCACTATCAAGATCTTCATCTTGATTACTGCAAAATAACATATTGGACGTCTTCTTCTGCTGCCCAGATGGAGAATCTTCATTTAGAAGTATCTTTTTTTTCAAATCCAAATTTGCAAGGTTTATTACGTTTTCATTCAACTTTCCAATTTTCCAATCTACATGATAACTAAATGTACTTATGTTATTATGCATATTCTTTATAAATATAAAAGAATTTGTTTTTACTAAATCAGGATGGTTCATATTTAACAGTTTCAAACATTCTTGAATCCATTTCAAACGAAAAGCTGCTTCTTCCATAGTCAAGTTGCATGTTTTTATTAAAGATTCACATAATATTTTACTTATACCTAAAAGAACTGGTTGTGTTATAGACAAATAATTATTAAGCAGAAGGTTAGCATTAAATCTACGACACAAATGAAGTAACCAATAACCATTTGTGTTCCTTTCAATGTCTATGGATATGGCTAAGGTAAAGGCCTCATTAAATTCACGTTCACTTAACAGGTGATTAATTCTTCCTTTCGTCAGAATGTCCGATGTATCGTTATGTGTTTTCATGCTGTAATTGTTATTTTCTTTTAATTCAACAATAGATCGGTTGCTTTCCTTTTTTATACTGTTCAAGCTTCTTTCATTTTGACATCCGTATTGAATATCTCCCACTACAACTCTTTCAGTATTTGTGTGTTCACTGTTATCATTCTGGTTGTCATTTGTGTATTCATTCGTGTATTCATTTGTGTACTCATTCGTGTATTCATTTGCATCCTCCACATTTGCATCCTCCTCATTTGCATAGGGATGCTTACCTCCATGCAGCTTTTCTTCTGTAGCTGACTCTGCATCTACACAACTTTTTCTCAGAAGGTCATGGTTGTCATCCACGGCTTCTCCATCAACCAACTGCATTGGGGCATTGCTCAGTCCATTAATATCATCGTGCAAGTATGCAATTTGTTGATTCATATTCAATGTAAAAAGTTTCATTTCACTTTGTAATTGCTCCAGTTTATCACTAATAGAGTTGAATAAATCATCTCTATTTTTTCGTTCTTCCTTTTCACACAATATTGCCTTTTCTATTGCATACAATTCTTTGCTTATCCATTTTGTATTTTCCATCAATAATGAATTTAACGATTCTTTAATAGAATGAAATCCTGTATTATAAGCTTCCTTCATCCCTGGTACTACACTTTTTGCAAATTGAATTTGTATTTCAGATGAAATCACTCCAGGCATTATTTTTTTCAATGCATTTTGATGTGCATTATTAAAGAACTCAGTCATTTCCTTGTTATATGTACCCATACTTTGGTTCATCCCTTCTTCTTCTTCTTCTTCTCCTTCTCCATGTGCAGTATGTCTATCGATGTCTATGTAGGCTCTTTCCTCTTCGTGCACCACTTTCCACTTCTCCGTTTGTTTCTGCCCCGTTTGTTTCTGCCCCGTTTGTTTCTGCCCCGACTGTTTCTGCCCCGACTGTTTCTGCCCCGACTGTTTCAGCCCCTGGTTCTGCTCTTGGCCATCTGGACCCCCTGGGTGCCTCACATCTTGCAAAACCCACCTTTTCAGCTGATCATTACTTCCCTTTAACATGTTGGCAAAACTGACTTTCAAATCGTCTGAAATTACTGACAACCCTTCCGAAAATGTATTCGTCATATTGTTCATACTTTTTTTAAGACTGTTTATTTCGTTTATCAGTTTTTCTATCTTCCCTCCTTGTCCAATCAACGCAAGCGACCCATTAACGTGCGCATTCTTACTTCCGCTGTTATTGTTACTACTGGCAGTGGGGCCATTAGAATTACTTTTAAGAGATTCATAAATTTTCGCAACAGTATTACTGATGGAAGTAATTTTCCCATTCATGCTTTTGCTCCCATTCTTTAGAATAATTATTTCCTCCTTCATTTCGGTCATCTTCTTGTTAAAACTATTAAACGTCTTTTCCATTTCTTTGTGCATTTTTTCATTAACACGTTTATTATTTTCTTCTTCCATATTGTATTCCTCCTTCATTTTGCTATGTATATCTGAACCCCTCATTTCCGATACCACTTTGCAACTTTTAATTTCTTCATATATCATAACTGCCATTTTGGAGCTCATCTTTTTGCATATTTCTGTACACAAATGTTTAAGGATATCATGGTCATGTGTGTTATTCAATTCATTTAAATGATAGTTTTCACACTGTTGTGTGTTATTTGTAACTTCTCTGTTTCCCACTCCTTCCTCTTCTTTCATCCCAGATGTTTTCACAATATCAGTTTTTACACATACGGTTAAAAAACCGTTTGTTTCCTTCGATTGATTTATTTTAATCATATCTGAATTTTTCTCTCCATCTACCTTAGACATATCTCTTTCTGTGGGTTTACTTACCAACTGGTTTTGCTTACTTTCCTCATCAACTTGGTTATACACATCTAGTTTTTTCTTACATGTTCCTATATCATGCATTTGTTTATTATCCCTTTCAGTTTCATCATTTCGATTTTTCGAATCGTCACCTTGATTTGTAATGTTTCCCTTCATGTCATTTTTTGAAAACACAGGTTCGACTGGATTCTGCGTTTCCAAAGTTATGGTCTCTTCAACTACTGCTGAACTATGCTTAAAAAATCCTAATTTGTGAAGAAAGGAGTTCATGCTTTTCTCCTTTTTCACAAAAATTTCGTTATCTTTCTTTAGATTAGTATGTCTAGATTCTTTACCTTTTTCTCCCATTGTGTATTCAGAGGTTACCACCTTTGTTTCATCCACTTGTTCTATCTCGTTATTCAAAGTGTTAACCACTTTTTGTGAATTCTTTTCATCCATTTGTTCTATCTCGTTATTCAAAGTGTTATCCACTTTTTGTAAATTCTTTTCATCCACTTCTATCTCGTTATCCAAAGTGTTAACCACTTTTTGCGAATTTTCCTCATCCATTTGTTCTACTTCGTTGAGTTCTCCTCCTCCATCTTCACATTCCATGAACCTCCTCAAAGCATCTTCATGTGTTGACATGATTATATCAATATTGCTGTTATGTTCAACTATTTTTTTTTTTTTTTCTTCTTCTTCTTCTTCTTCCTCATTCTCTGGATTCATTCCATCACCTTCAGAAAGAGCTGAATTATCACCTACACCTTTTCTTTCTTTCAATTGAACAGCGGTCATTTCTGTATTCCTCCTTGTTTTATGCAAATTTTCCAATGAACTGTGTGTTTTTAGATTGTTCACGTCTTTGGCGTGGCTAAGATGCGTGGTTTCATCACATGTCTTTTTCCCACTTACCTTTCCTCCCACTTCCGCACCTTCCACATGTCCCAAAAATTGCTTTCTTTCCACTTCACAAGCGGAATCATTGGTGAAACTCCCTTCTTGTTTCACTCCCCTTGCAGTATTATCCAAGTGCAAAAACAGATGCGTATTTTTCATCTTCTGTTCTGTGCATATATTATTATTCATGTCAATTTTTTCTTCCACGTACGAGTTTTTACATGCATATTCAGGATAATATTCCATTATGTCACTTTCATTTTTTATTTCTTCACATAATATGCGATTCATTTGATATTCGTTTTTCACGTTCCTTTTTCTCAATGGAACATTTCCTACTGGTTCAATTTCTGAATAATTCGTGGTATCATTGTTTTGTTTTAATTGTGTACTAACATCCGTTGTGTTTTTCATCAATTCATCTCTGTTACTCTTATTTAGCAACTCCCTTAACCTCTCTGTCATGCTAATGCATACTTCATTATTGGTTCCATCCTTATCAGTCTTATGGTTTGACAATCCATTGAGGAGAAAATTTGAATACGTGTTAACATTCCGGGTTAACGAGACTGAAGTAGCAATAATCGTGTCATGTTCTTTCTTTTTTAGAGATTTTAAAAATTCTCTTTCCTCCTCACCCATAGGATGAGTAGAAAACTTATCACTCTTATTTGGTGTATTACCTATAACACTCTGATGCTCCTGATTAATGTTTTTTTTTTTTGGATGATCATCTGAACTGCTTATTCTTTCTGTCAGCTGATCCGATGTCTGTTGTTCATGTACCCCAGTGGTCATTATGGCTTTTAGAAATTCCTCGTAGTGGGCTATATTATTCTGTATGTTCATATTTTCTTCCATTTTTTTCTTTGTATGATCGATTTCCTCCTCCTCCTCCTTCTTCTTCTTCTTCTTCTTCTCCTCATTTGGTTGCACCAGAGAGCAAGTTTCATTGTGAGTCGTATTCATATGGTTATTTACATTACCTTTCATCACAATGCTGCTATTAGTAGAGTGCATTTCATTCATCTTTGATTCCTCCCTCGGCTTCGATTCCTGCCTCTGTTTGTTGCTATCATGAGAACCCGATTTCACAATAACCCGCTCTGCACCATTTGTATTGCACACATCCCCCATGAGTAAGGGAATAGGAGCAGAAAAAGACTGAACACTTACGCTCTTTTTCGAAGAATTAAAAATGATGGAGAACATAAAAAGGTTAATAATATTTAAAGAAGATGAAGAAACAGACACGTTTAAAACTTTTGAAAATTTAAGACAAGAGTTTATTTTCACTAATCTGATAGAACACAGCGGTAGTATGGTTTTATTCGGAAGGTTAACATATTTTGGATGAATTTTAAAATCCAACCTTTTCTTATTAAATATTTCTAAGATGAAAATTAGGCTCCCACTTGAATCTGTGGCAGACTTGGACATTGAACTTACACCACTTCTGTAGGAGATATTAAAAAAAACAAAAAACTCTGATGGATCCACAAATAATTCAATGTTTTCAATATTCACATGATCCCTTTCAACAAATATATTTTGCACGCTATGCTCGCTTAGCATATCAATACGTTCCTTTATTTCAACTTCACTAGACTCATAATCATTATTAAATGGAAAAATGGATATACAACATGAGCTATGAAAAACAATTAGATAGTATGTACTTTGGTTCGCATTCCCATTATTTTCATTCGATTCAAAAAAAGTGTTCAAAATGTGTACTGATGATATTTTCATGTCGGTGCAATCATACCCATCTTTGTCTACCCAACCGTTTTTTTCCTTGCTCTTTTTCACCCCTATCCTGAGTTCCGAAGTTTCTCCATTTTTGTGACGATTTCCTCCGTCTGCACCATTCGCTTCTTCCACTTCTCCAACTTCTTCCACTTCTCCAACTTCTTCCACTTCTCCAACTTCTCCCGCTTCTACAACTTCTCCCGCTTCTCCAACTTCTCCATCTCCAACTGCCACCTGGTGAGCTTTTCTCATAAGTAACATTCTTTTAACCTTTTTTAATTCTCCCTTGAGGAAACTAAATCCAACAAGGGTAAATATTAAGCCCTGATTACTTCTCTGTATTTTCCAGATAATTGAGTAGTAGTTATTTATCAGTGCGTGGATATATTTTCCATTGAGACTCATGCAATATGTGTTTAAAAATGTATTCTTTACAGTAGTGTCCATTTCTTCATGCACATGCCTATCCGTAGAGTCATCTGAACGGTCTTTTATCTGGCTATTCGCCTGATCAGGAGTCACCTGACTAGCCATCGCATTATTGCCATATTGCGCGTTTTCTGCCTGACCATTCATATTACTATACTTGCACAGGATAGGCTCAAATGACAATGTGACGGCACACATAGCTACCAGTTGGTCCGTAACATTAATTTCATCCTTGGACTTGTTTGCTGCCATTGCATTTGTAAGCAAAGAAATATTCCATACGTATAAACAATTATTATGACCAGTCAGAAAAATTTTATCACTTTTAGGTAGCCAGCTAGCTTTTTTCGGAATTCCACTTTTTAAAACATTTTTTATACTGACACTATTAGATGAAGAAGACGATGATTTTTTCTGATATGGGGGAAAATTTATACAAAAAGTCAACTCTACCTTGTATTCATTAATTTTGTAAACATATAAATGTCCTTTATTGTCCAAGAGGAGTAAATAATTTCCATTTTCTTTATTAAAAGAAACATATAAAACCTCATTTTCGTATGGCAATTTAATTCTAGTTGTGTTTATACCATTCTGATTTATTAAGCGGAATTTTCCATTTTTCAAAGCATAACAAACATTACGTGAATTAACGTCCAAAATTTCTCCTTCTTTTTTTAAGATCTCTAATCCATCACTTCTTATTTTTGAAATCAAATTTTCATTTAAAGTTAAAAAGTTACTTTTTTTTTCTTCTTCTATACATTCGATACTGTTCAAAATATTTTTCGTTCTTATCTTCGTGTTGCTTGCGTGTAACGCATTGCGAATATAATTTCCATTTGTAATTATACCACTGTCTATTTCTTGTGTCTTCATCTTGTGCGTCCGATTGGCATGAGGGTTCTTCTTGTTCCTGGAAGTAGGTAGTGTGCCAAATCAACAGAAAATGGGACGTTCAGCATATAGGTATGTATATATATGCACACATACATACGGGCATATATACGGACATACATACGGACATACATACGGACATACATACGGGCATACATACGGACATACATACGGACATACATACATACATACATACATACATACGTACATACACACATAAGAGTTTTTTCTTCGATGTCTTCACGTGATTCAAAGTGCATACGAAAAAATCATTCTCTTTTATGTGGTACTATGTCCACTGCCGCCCCCCCAAAAAAAATAAAATAATAATAAAATAATATAATTAAATATAATATAATTAAATATAATATAATTAAATATAATAGAATTAAATATAATAGAATTAAATATAATAGAATTAAATATAATAGAATAAAACAAAACAATATATAATACAATCGAATAGAATAAAATAATGTATAACAGAGTAAAATAAAATCAAATAACTTAACCAACGGGGAACTCATACATATCCCTTGCTATGCCTACAGCTGCATACATACGCACATGCACATGTGCAAAATATATAAACAATCATATATGTATCTACTCAGATGAGCTATGCAGCAGAATGAGGAAATGTTTAAACTTTCACTTTAATTAAAAATGCTAAGAATTGTTCTTCACGTGTCATATCAAACAGGTTTGGTGGATTTCAAGAACACCACTTGTAAGTTAATATTGGCCAAAATTCGGTGTTCTACTTGAACCTCTATCATCCTAATGAATTCGTAAGTCCACAACAGTCAAGCGAAGGTTCTTATCAGATGGTAAATATTTTGAAACACCCCCTCCAACAAACACTTATTAATCAGGAATACACATATATTCGTGTACCTCCTATGTGCAGGGGCGAGACGTGTATCTAATTACTTAGATATAAGCTCATATAGTTTAGCTCTCGATCCCACAAATAGGGATATGAAACAAATGGGTAAAGTTTAAAAAAAAAAAAAAAAACACAGACTTACAAATCTTTCATATTAAGACACAATTATTCTAAAAAAGGAAATTAATATACATACAGTTCGGTCACATAGGTATGTGTTATATGTATGTGTATATGTGTATATATATATGCATATATATATATATTTATATACAGTCACGTATATAGTACTTGTAGGGAAACACTTACGTAAACAAGAATATGCTAAAACATTCGAACGACATACATATAATGCTTTTTCTTAACTTCAAATTAATTTCTTCTCTTTTTTTTTTTTTTTTTTTTTGTTTTTAAAATTCATTTGGACCTTAAATATTTCATTATCATTTGAAACGCAAAAAAATAAAAAATATAAAAATAAAATAAAAAAAATTCTATTGCAATTCTGATTTTTTACAATTTTTCTTTTCTTTTTCGTGCCCCCATTGTTTGTGCTATATACCGCCCCTTTTTTTTTTTACGCTTTTTCTTCCCTTTTTTACACGCTTTTTTTTTTTTTTTTTTTTTTTTTTTTTCGTGTCATAATTTTTTTTTTTTTTTTTTTTTTCCTCTTTTTCCTTTTTAACAAAAAAGAACAACTCATTAAGCCAAGCGGCCAGTTGGTTTTGTTACCTCCTATTCTTTCACAATTTCATTTTAAAAAATATTTTAATAAAGTTAGTTCGCTAAAGAACATTTCCCTGGAAAAAACGTGCTGAAACCGAATACGGTTGGTCAAAATGTTGCATAGGAGTGTGTTCATATACGTGCGTAACTAAAATATGCATGAATATGGCTCATAAATATGAATCATAAATATGAATCATAAATATGAATCATAAATATGAATCATAAATATGAATCATAAATATGAATCATAAATATGCATAAATATGCATAAATATGTATAAATATGTATAAATATATATGTAACATGTTATACCTATATTTACATATACGCAATGCATGCATATACATGAAATATGTAAAACTGTATTCTAATGCCTCTGAGCGAGCGTTCCTTTGCGAACGCCCAATTATAACAGAATTGACATGAGGAAATGTAACACATATACGCCGTCCCCTCAGCACATACATACAAGTGTGTACATATATATACCCCTGAACACACGCATATGTTAGGGCACGCCCACATTCGTACTTAGGAACATTCGTGATTTGCTTTTCTATGACCGTTCAGGCATTCGTGAAAAAAAAACTTATAGCATGTTTTTGATCGTTGTGAAAACAAAAATATATCTAACCATCACCACAACCCTGGTGAGAAAAGTACTCAATTGAATTTCCCATTTGTGTAAAAAAAATGGCTGTCATCACTCACCCTGAATTACTTTTTTTTTTTTTTTTCTCTCCAAACGGTATTATTCTGTTTCTTCATAGAAGAACTTCAATGTAGGATTGTAAAACTGTATATGCATTTTCCATTATCATACACATACACACACTTTGAACTCTGATATGGTTATGTATTAACGAATTTTTTCATTTACTTAAAATTGGGCAAAACATAAAATAAAAGAAAGATTACATATTTGGCCTTAAAATATAATAATTATAGTTAGAACAAAGTTAAAAAAAAAAAAAAATTGTAACAAAGATGAATCTGAAAAAAAAGTGCTTGTACTTATATTTTAACGAATTATTTTTTGTAAATGGATCTATACCAACCTTTGTCATAACATCATCTTATTTGCATTTCATTTGATTCATAGTAATATGTGTATTATATGTTCGTTTCTCTTTAACTAGTTTATATAATAGGTATGCAAACTTGCATAAACCTCGATACAGTTACAAAGACATAGGGACACATAAGAGGTGTTTGTAAAAAAAAAAAAAAAAAATATATGTAAAATAAAAAAAAATAAATATATAAAATAATAATACATATAGCATTGTGTATTAGCTGAATAGTTGAGGAGAATCCGTGGGGAATAAAATTCCCCCTGAATAATAACTCTTCGTTTTTCATTTGATGGTATGTCAAAATACGGACATGAGAAAAGGATGTTAAAACAGAGGTGAAAATGGAAGCAAAGGCAAAAGAGAATTATTTCCTACCGGCACCAATGTGTGTAACATTTTGATTACCTTTTTTTCTTTTTTTTCTTTTGAGAATTTTGAGAATTTTAAGAATTTTGAGGATTTTGAGGATATACAATCAACAAGTTAAAATTTTTAATGTATCATTTTCTTTTAACATTGACTTCTGTTCTTATACCTTTTCATTATAACTCTTTTTTTTTTTTTTTTTTTTGGCCTTTTTTATTTTTACTCCTTTTTTCTTCACGTATTATGGGAACATTTGCCACGTTCTGCTTGAGCACTTACTCTCCTTCATTTGTTCAGAGGAGAAATGCACATTTTTACCTATGCAAGTTGCCTCATATAAATACATGCTTATATATTATAACACCGTAAACGTTTTGCACATTTATTTACACATCAACATGTGAAAATATATATATGTATTTCCATTTGTGTACACATATGGGGTTAACATTCTCCTCATTCGAATAATTCGCCTCTTTTTTTTTTCTTTTTTATCACTGGAAAAAGGAAAAAAAAAAAAAAAAAAAAAAAGAAACATTTTAAGTAGCACCTTTCTTATCATATATACACTCATTTAACGTGCACTCATTTAACATCCACATATTTATGCATACACCTCAGTTTGATGATTACAAGGAGGGGAATCTCCCACGTAGGGCGTTTTAGGTTAATTTATAAAAATACACTCAAGTGAAATGAGCGCCCTCTATTGTGTATATATATATATATATCACATAAATAAAGTGCACATATACGTGTACACATACAAGTGCTTATATATAAGAAACCTTTACGAGAAAAGGGCGAACGCAGTGTAACATGCTTAACCCTGTTGCGAATATTTGGCACTCAAGGAAAAAGAACATATACATATATATATATATATATATATATGTATAAATATATACATATGTAAAAGAATGTTTAACTCCTGCCAATGCCATATACGTACATATGTCGACATGTACTAATACATATCCCCATGCACTTGAGTGTTTTTTTTTTTTTTTTTTTTTTTTTAATTTTCTCTTCCAAAAAAGTAACCACCCTCCGAAATAGAATGCTTCATCCTTTACTCCATACTTAAAAAAAGGAATTTTTTTTTTTTTTTTATAAAGTTGAGCACAAAAAATTCAGTTTCTCAATTTTCGATTTAATTTTTTTTGTTCTTCATTGTGCAACACTTGACATATAAACATTTGTCCTTAGTGAAGTTTATAGAGTGGGTTTATCTTGTGCTTACAGTTTTTGTATACATCTATTATTTTGCATGAGTTGAGAAAATACCTCATATAGCCAATTATACATTTCCCAAATTGCGAATCCTTGTCTCTGTTACGAACGGATGTGGAACTAGCAGGAAAGGCGGGGGGGCCAAATTTCATTGAACCATAAATGTGAACCGTGCTTTGTAAGATATATAAAACAGCGATAGAATATGTATACATGTATATACATATATATATGTGCATATGTGTATATGTGGAACCCGCAAGAGTATCACTTCACTGGGAGAACGTTTCTGCATTGAAATCGACAGAGGAGAAAGGAGACTGAAAAGAGATTCTATAAAAAGAAGTGCTTCAAACCGCTACCTATTTGAAGTGCTACCCATTTGAAGTGCTACCCATTTGAAGTGCTACCCATTTGAATTGTCACCCATTTGAAGTGCTACCCATTTGAACTACTACCCCTCCCAATCGGCACTCGAAAAATGTTAGTAAAATGCGAAACAAAGAGCCAGAGAGTGAAAAGCATCTCATTTCATCCCAAAATAAACATGATCCTGGCCGGATTACACAATGGAATAATTCAGCTATGGGATTACAGAATTGGAATTTTAATTGACAAATTTGAAGAACACGAAGGTCCAGTAAGAGGTATAGATTTTCATACAGTGCAGCCTCTTTTTGTTAGTGGTGCAGACGATTATTTAATAAAAGTGTGGAATATACATTTAAAAAAATGTGTTTTCAATTTGGTTGGTCATTTAGATTATATTAGAAAAGTACAGTTTCATTTGAATTATCCATGGATTTTATCTGCATCTGATGACCAAACAATTCGGATTTGGAATTGGCAAAGTAGAGTCTGTATAGCAATATTAACTGGTCATAACCATTATGTAATGTGTGCAGAATTTCACCCCACCCAGGATTTAATAATTTCAAGTAGTTTAGATAAAACTTTACGAGTCTGGGATATCAAATTGTTGAGAGAAAAAAATGTCATTTCCAAAAATGAAAACATTTTGAATGATTTTCCATACGGATTGGGAAAAACTGCACAAAATTTAGACTTGTTCAATTCCAGCACTGAAAATGTGATGAGTATGTATTCATTCATTTCGAATGCGCAGAGTATGCAGCAGCAGTTTCAGGAGCAACTACATCAGCAACTACATCAGCAATTACATCAGCAGCAACACCTGCAACAACACCAGCAGCAACAGAATAATAACAATATGTTCGGAGCTTCTGATGCCATTTGCAAATTTGTGCTTGAGGGGCACGAAAAGGGAGTGAACTGTTGCACATTTCACCACAATTTACCAATCATCGCATCTGGTTCAGATGACAAGCTTGTCAAATTATGGAGATATAACGACAACAAATGTTGGGAATTAGACACGCTAAGAGGTCATTTCAACAATGTGTCAAGTTTAATTTTTCATCCAAATAATGATGATTTGCTATTATCAAATAGTGAAGATAGAACTATTCGAATTTGGGACATAAGCAAAAGAACGTGCATTCATACTTTTAGAAGAGAAAATGATCGTTTTTGGATTTTGTCTTTTAAACCAAATTCAAATTTAATTGCATCTGGTCATGATTCAGGTATGGTTATATTCAAATTTGAAAAAGAAAAATGCCCATTTGATAAATTCGAAAATTTTCTCTATTATGTTAAAGAAAAACGTATATGTGCATATGATGTGAAGAAAAATATACACATTAATATATGCCAAGTAAGGAAAAATGGAAATGCAATGATCTCTGGATATCACAAGTTAGTATACAATCATTTCTGTACCACACATATTATGATTTTGTTTATTTATAAAGAAGAGGAAAATTTCTCTTTTGATCTCATTATATGTGACAGAATTGGTTCTGGTGTATTATCTAGGGAATCTATGATGGGAGGAATCATTTCTTCTTCTTCTTCTTCGTGTACAACTCCTGCTGCTATGTTTTCTGCTTCCACCGCACCAACATCTGCTCAACCATCTTTGAATTTTTTTAAACCGTGGATAAAAGGCTCAAGTGGGTCTAAATCTGGAGTAACAAAAAATGTAAATGGCACTCCTCTTCCGAATAATATTCCAAATGCTAGAAATGGAGAATTTAATCCTGAGAGCGTAAAGTATTTAATAAAAAATAAACACTGTTGTAATGTGGCATTTTATACACGAAATAAATATATCATTGTAGAGAAAAGAAATAATAATTACATTTTGAGTGTACACAATTTACCAGATGACAATGTAACAAAACGAATAGAAGTACCGTTTAGAGTAGAAAGTTTGTATCCACTTAGCAATAACAAAATTATTATTTTTTCAGAGAATAAAATATATCTATATGATATTAATATGAAGAAAATTTTGAATGAAATGAATCACACAGATACAATAATTTCAGTGGAAGTACTTAAGGAGCACTACATTGCCTTTGTATTCAAGTATAATATAGTTGTTACAACAATCGATTTGACTCATTTATCCACTGTTCATGAATATATTCGTGTTAAAAGTGGAGTTTGGGATGAAGAAAATAAAAGCGTCTTCATATACAACACACTCAGTCATTTAAAATACATACTCGTAAATGGAGAAAAAGGGTTAATCAAATGCATGGAAGAACCAGTTTATCTATTTAAAATTTACAAAAGTATGTTATATTACATAAATAGAAAACAACAAGTACTTAGCGAACTTCTCAACAACACGGAATACATGTTCAAGTACTCCCTTGCAAATAATGACGAGAAAAGTGCATATCATTACCTGAACATGCACCATCAGGAAGACAACACTGTTATCACCACTACTGGCACTGACACTACTGCTACTTCCGGGAATGCAATCCAAAATGAAGAACAGGAAAAGAAGAGAAATAAAAAAAGGCTTTACTTTAGCTACAATTTGATAGGATACATTAAAAAAAAAGGATATGCGAATTTAGCTGTTCAAATGGTCAACAATAATCACACCCTTTTTAATCTATCCATTCAATTAGGGCACTTATATAATGCTTTAACAGCAGCAATAAAAATTGATAAAAAACATATATGGAACATACTCAGTACACATGCATTATTACTAGGGAATTATGAAATTGCAGAATATTCATTACAAAGAATTAAAGCATACGATAAATTATCTTTTCTTTATTTTTTTAGTGGAAATATAGAAAAGTTAAAAAAAATGTTAAATATATCCATCATAAGAAATGACTTTACATCCATCTTCTTAAATTCCTTGTACTTAGGAGATATTCAACAAAGAATAAATATATTTATTCAGCAAAATCAAGTGAACTTAGCTCTCATATGTTCTCGTCTCTATAACATATCCATAAACGTGTCTGAAAAGCAGTTTGATTTTGACATAAATGAGTGTACCTATTGCCCAGAAAAATCTTACTACCTTTCACCACCCATACCGATTGTTAAAATTGACCCCAATTCAATCACAACACAGAAGAACCATTCCTCTGTTACACCTAACTGCACTGAGAAGGCACAATTGGGAAAAGATGTCGAAGCTGATACTCCATCCATCATTACAAACACACAAAAATCAGTGAAACAGCGGAAGCAGCAATTGAAGCAACAATGCAGATGGGGAACGACTACTGCATGGAATGCATCCTACAACTGGCCCGTTATCAACCTCGAAAAAAAAAATCAATATATTGCTGAACCGAGTAACACGTCATCTCAGGTGGCAAAAAAAAGAGATATGACCAAGTCAGGTAAGGAAGCTAGAGCAGGGCAGGCTATCCAAGTGATACTACCAAAAAAAAAAAAAAAAAAGAGAGAGAGAGAGATAGAAAAGAAGCAGTATGGGTGGGCATGTGCAGTAAGAGAGGAGATATCGTTTTGCATGCCACTTGCACTAGTCTCTTCGCATGTTCCGTTTTTATCACCCGTTCTGTACACAAAGACAACCAATTTAATTCCTTTTTATATCAGATGAAAAAAGCAACCCCTCAGAAGAAAATGACGATGCATGGAAAGATGAAGTAAATGATGAAGACATTATAAATATCGATTTAGATTTGGATGAACATAAAAATATACTTAACAAAAATATGAGCAGTTCGACAATATCCACGAAAATAGAGAGAGCAGAAAATGTGTATGAAAAATTGGCAAAAAAATACGGGCGAATTATAGACCATATAAGGACAGGAAACATCACAAATGCATTAACATTAATATCAAAAAAATATGGAATTGTTGATATGAAGCCATTAAAAACAATTATAAAAAATGTATACATTTCAACATATGCTTATATAACACCTATTCCAAATTTTGTTCATTTAAAAATTCCAATAAATACTAATGAACAAACTATGAATAATAATATGTACGTGAATCAGCATTTCCTTTTTAATCAAATTAAAAAAGCACACAAATTAGTAACTTTGGGAAAATTCCCCGCTGCATTAAATCTCTTTAGAAATACACTATATCATATGATATTTATAATTACTAATAATAACGAAAAAGAAATGAATGAATATTTACACATTTGTACGAGCTACATTTTAGCCATGCGTTTAGAAGAGGAAAGAATTTCTACGTCTAATCAGGACCCACGTAGGAGCTTAGAATTAATGGCATATTTCACGTGCTGTTCTCTGCAAAATTCTCATTTATATCTAGTCCTAAGAAGAGGGATGGGCCTCGCCTGGAAGGCACAGAACTATGTCACGGCTGGATCGGTAAGAACTCCCGCATGTCATTTCTACCACGCCCATTAGAGAATCCATCGCCCTATTGTGACAGTGTGAGAGTGTGACAGTGTGAGAGTGTGACAGTGTGAGAGTGTGACAGTGTGAGAGTGTAACAGTGTGAGAGTGTGACATTGCAACACGGTGACATTACTTGACCGCACTACTTCCCCCTTGTGCAGTTCGCTAAACGACTAATAAATGGAAACTATGAAAACATCAAAGGATCAGAAGAAGAAATAGTTAAAGCCAAAAAAATTCTGCTAATGTGTGAACAGAAAAGCACGGAACAGTACAACATTGATTATGATCCCAACGACTACAGTAATGAAAAAATTAAAAAAAAAAAAAAATATATATATATATGTGCCTTTTCGAATATGCATTCCAACTTTACGCAAGGATGTGTGCGTGTTTGTGTGTATTCCTTTAGTAAAGGTTGAAGCCACTTATACTTGTAGACACGTTAACTGCCACTCAATCGTCACCCAAGCACCCGTGCACACTACATACAATATATGCAATATACACACTTTGTACACGTTGCACCTTACACTTTGGCTCCTCCCGCTAAACAGGCAACATGAAAATATGCAGTGTTAGCTTAGCGAAAATCAAACCAAATGAAGAAATTGTAACTTGTCCATTTTGCCAATCCATTTCCAAACGAGAATATACTTCTCAATTATGCCCAAACTGTGTAATTGCCCAGTTAGGAATAAAGGTAAACGCATTTTCACATATTGGTATCAGAGAAAAAAGAAACCTTTTTTTTTTTTATTTTTTACTATTTTGTGTAGATAATTGATATGGGTATATCATATCTTAGTCCATACCTCCGGCATTCTATGTATGTTTCCAATCTCAAGTTGGGTGCACACTCGTTCGTTTTTCCTTTTTTTTTTTTTTTTTTTTTCTAGGCACTTGGATTTGACTTCTTAAACAAGAACATATGATAAATATATTGAATTTTTTTTTTTTTTTTTTTTTTTTTTTTTTTTTACTTCATCTTAGAAGTTTCATCAGTTTAAACATCAGAAGTCAAGCATTCCATGCGTGCACTTTATTTCCGTATTTTTCCATTTTAGTGTTATTTTGATGAACATGAAGAATGATTCCCTTCGCTCAGGAATTTGGATAGGATAAGAAGAGGTATAATATGTACCTTTTTTTTTTTTTTTTCCTTTTTTTAATGGAAAACACGCAAACTTTTATCCCTTAGTAATTTTATGCACGTGTCCCGTAATGAAATATTAGAAAGGGAGAAGCACCCCTGAAAAGTACATTTTTTTGTGATCTGAAACGGGCAAGGCTGGTTGGTTAAAATATGCATACATATATATATATATATATATATATTAATCAACCTCCGCGGGGATGGAAAATAGGCAAGGGAAAAAATGGGAAACGATTAAATTTTGCTATGGGTAGATTTTAAAACTTTCCAATTTTAACATGTCCAAAATTCGGGTGGACACATTTGAAAAGTACCTCAAATTTACAAACGAATTTTAGTTGCAAAATAAAATGCCGCACGCTGGGGGGGAGGAGGAGGGAGATGATTTTAAAAAGTCTCGTAAAATCGAAAACAGGGACAAATGTTGTTCGCAGATAATGCACCGATTTCATTTAATAAAAGAAAAAGAGAAAAAAAAAAAAAAAAAAAAAGTTGTTGTTTATATAAGACTTTGAGATTATTACACTAACTTATGGTCTTAAGTACCTATAAGATGGTAAATGAACTTAACGTAATGATGCAAAAAAAAAAAAAAAAAAAAAAAAAAAAAAAAAAAAAAATTCTTCCTTTTATCCTTCGCGCACTGTTCGTGTGCTGCATTTTGACCTCTTTGATAACGATTGGTTCTTTTGTTAACACTTCTTTTTTAAAAAAAAAAAAAAAAAACACATAATAAAATTGTGCATTAAAAACACAAAAGTATAAATCCATTAATTATGCAAAAGAGAGGAGGACCCCTTTACGTGTTGACATTTATCCATATTGATCCATACTCTTGTCGCGATGTCTACAAAATTAGGATGCCACACACAAACACATAGCTTTATCTTTCCAAAAATGGTTTCACATACGTTAAGTATTATCCTCTTTAGATATAACATGGTGGCGAGTTATACATGCACAAAAAAGGGAAAAAAGGGAGGGGGAGAGATGACTTTTGAAATTATTCCTCAAAACAATCCTCTGGTATTATTTGCTTCAATTCATTACTATCATACATACTTTTAATAATATCGTGTCCACCTATTAATTCAGTGTTAATATAAAGCTGAGGGTATGTTGGCCAATTCGAGTAAATTTTTAATTGATTTCGAATTTCTTGGTCTTTCAAAATATCATATGTTGTATATTTTATTTTAAGACTGTTTAGCATAAAAACAACAGCATTGCTAAATTTGCACTGAGGGTATATTTTGCTTCCCTTCATAAACAGGATAATTTTATTACTTCTTATCAAATGTTCTATTTTTTTAATTGTATCCGATTCGGCATAAGTTTCATTAATGTCTTTTTCATCTTCTTTTTCCTTACCCCCTCCGCTGATTTTATTTCCTTCCTGCATTTGCTTTCTTATGAACGAAGTCATCATGGAAATATTGCAGTTGACAAATTTTTTTTTCAGCTCACCATTTGAGTAAAATTCAAATTCGCCTGCACCACTGCCAGTGCCACTACCGCTCATATTGCTTATGCCGCTAGTGCCGCTAGTACCGTTAGCACCATTAGCACCGTTAGCACCATTAGCACCGTTAGCACCGCTAGCACCATCAGTGGTTCCTTCCGCTCTTCCAACAACGTAAACTTCAATCCCATCATAATCCTCAACTATTGCTTTCAAAATATCTATGTGCAGCTCGTACTCCTTTTCTTTGATCGATTTTAGGTAAAATAGCTTCATCCCATGTCCCTCTAAACATTTTGATTTTTCTTCTTCCTTTATAAAATTCATTATTTTTTTCAACATACAGACTTTTTGAATGTGAGCTGATATTTTTCACCTTATGAGAAAACACAGTGGTTATGGATTTCCTGTGGATTAAATAAAAATGAACAATCTGGAAAAGGAGGCGAGAATGGGGAAAGAAAAAAAAAATAAATAACATAAAATAACATAAAATAACATAAAATAATATAAAATAATATAAAATAAAATAGTGAAATTCCAAATCAAGATTGAGTTATACTAGGGTTCAGATGATTGCACCCTCTATGATTTAGTGTGCTCGGTCGTTATATTACAAAACGTGGAGATGTTTCTACATGTTGCAAATCAGATTCCTTTTTTGGTTCTCCTCAAATTGGGAAGATAGATAAAAGTGTAGATATTTCAATTTAAGCAAAAATAAAGAAAAAATGACACGGAGAGAGAGTTAAATTCTTTTTCAAAATATATATATGCACAAAAAATATACATGGGGGAATTTTTTTTTTTTTTTTTTTTTTTTTGACGGAACCTATGAGATGGTGTTATTTATTTGGGAGGTTGGCATAAAAATTTTTCAAAATTGAATTGTAGGTGCATGTGGAAAATGCAACATGTTTAGTGGGTAGGGGCATATTCCTCCATCGGAATGTCGCACATATATATACCCACACTTATCTGTAGTCGAAATAAGTAATGGAAAATTTTGCCTTTTATGAAAAGTGTTTTGTCACTTCATCTCCCCAAGGGAGATCAATAAGGTAGCAACAAGTGGATCCTCCACTAGGAATACCATACCAAATCATACATTACAGTATATATACAATCACATGTGTGCAAAAAAAAAAAAAAAAAAAAAAAAAATGGCATGTACATGTGCAAATATATCTTCGTATTGAGATTACCTCTGTTTGTGTAATCTCCATTTTGTTATCGAGTTAAGTTCCGTTTCGTGTTTGAATTTTGGGATAGCAGAATCTCTAAAAGGGGATCTTCACCATGAACAGGAGGAGAACCTTCTTATGAATGTATCCCCACAAGAAGGGGCATTATTTTTTCAAATGTTAAATGATAGAAATACTGTTGGCAATGATAAACAACAAAAAAGGAATGAAATAAAATAATATGACATGCGCAAAATTCACATTTTTTTTTTTTTTTTTTTTTTTCATATAACCATTACAACTAGTCGGTTAGAATAAAAACTCATTTGAGCTTGTCTTTTCCCTTGCATTCCAAGGTTTTTTTTTTTTTTTTTTTTTTTTTTTTTGCATTTTTGCATTTTTGCATTTTTGCATTTTTGGTATTTTTCTTCTCCACTTTGGCGTGTATCAAAATTCAGGCTTTTTATTTTTAAAATCAAGGTTGATAAAAAAAAAAATTCGAAAGACATGAAAAAAAAAAAAAAAAGGAAAGTGTTGTACTTTGGTCTTATATATATATACGTATATGTATATGTATATGTGTGTGTATAATATGTATGCATAGAGCTATGAAGATTTTTCGTTTGTAGAGTGCCCTGTGTTGTTTGGTACACCATTAAGAAGAATATCCTATAAAACTAGCCCCAAATTTTATCACTTTCCTTTTCCTTTTCTTGCATTTGAGTAATGGAAAAATGAAATAAGATAAAAATGAAACGAAATAAAAATAAAACGAAATAAAACAAAACGAAACACACGTAGAAGGGGAAGAAAAAATCGAGAACGTTCTTATTTATATGCCCTCGCTTCCTCCTCTCGATTCCTCCTTTTGTGAAACCAAGCTAAGGTGCAATAAGATGAAGAACTGATTTTATACAAAATTACTCAACATGTTATGGATTAACTATTCAAAATCTAGGATCATATATATATATATATATACACGTGACACATTTACATGAGACCTTAAGCAAATCAAAAATCCTAAAACATCACACATTTGCTTCGGGTGAACACAGTCCAACTTATGGACTATAACTTGTACTCAAAAAGCAAAAAAAAAAAAAAAAAAAAAAAAAAAAAAAAAAAAAAAAATTAATCTATCTTTCACAATTCCTGTTGTTCAAACAATATCCCTCCCCAACAACTGTCGATCGAACATGACTCCCCTAAATATGGCTTCCCCAAATGTAGGCAATTTTTCATATGCCTATTTATACACACACATTATTGCATCCAACAAGTTCCCAGGGTAACGTGTTTGCACACATTTGTAAAATTATTCCTACTCCCTGTGCATACATGATCTATGTGTCAGGAAAAGCATTTCATCCAATTTACAATGAAACGTTTTCGCAACTCCGGACGCAGTACCACTGTTGTAATGCCCCTGTTGCAGTACTCCTGTTTTAATACCCCTGTTATGGTTAGTGCTTTTTTTTCTCTACATGAGTTGTATTTTTTTTTTTTTTTTTTGGAGAATATTGGATAAAAAACATGTCCCAAAGAGATTAAAAAAAAATAAACATTAAAAAAATTTCCCGATGGTGTGAAAAAAAAAAAAAAAAAAAAATACGCAGTTGTTCATATTACATATGCATTATACATACATTACGTAGGCATTGCATATGCGTTACATGTGCATTACATATGCATTACATATGCATTGTATACGCTTGTGTGCATCATTAGTATGCCATCCCGGTTGAGATTACATTGAATCGGCTGAAAAAAAAAAAAAAAAAAAAAAAAAAAACCAAAACCGAGTAGGGCGAAACTATGCAAAAATGGAAATTCCAAGAGCAACATTTACATATATCATCCATTTACAAGTCACTTTTTTGAAATCCAGCATTTCTCCAATTATGAAAAACAAGGGAGGAGAATAATACAACAAGAAATGGTAAAAAATTCATAACACGAAAAAAAAAAAAAAAAAAGATAAAAAAAGAGAAGCGATAAAAGATTAAAAAAAGAGAGGTGATGAAAGATTAAAAAAAGAGAGGCGATGAAAGATTAAAAAAAGAGGGGTAACAATAAAGTGAAAAATCGAGGCAACAATAAAGTGAAAAATCGAGGCAACAATAAAGTCAAAAGAACGGATAAACGTAAACAACATTGTAAATATAAAGGCAATCAAATAAAAAAAAGGGATATTTGGGCCACTTAGTTTAGTATTCAGAAGGGGCAAATTCGACAACTAGTAAAAGCAGGCTACTATAAAATGTGATGAAAAGGTAAAAAAAAAAAAAAAAAAAAAAAAAAGCGAAAAAGGAGCGAAAAAAAAAAAAAAGGAAAAAGCAACGTTGTTATTCTCAAAGGAGCTCAAGTTGTGAAACACGAAAAAAAAAAAAAAACAATTTCATATTTCCAAACTTGTGAAGGAAAGAAAATATAAGGGAAAAAATAGCTGTAAGCTCTGTAGGCATATATAGAACACTCGATTATGTAAAGTCCACATATATGGGCATAAAGGGATGAAACGATTTTTATAGATACAGTGAAGAGGATAAGAAGCTGAAAGTGGAAAACCTTAAGTGGAAGCCAAAAAGTAGAAGCACTCTTACCTGTGTGTTCATGTGCATCTACACGTTCGAACGAGATTCATCGGCCATAACTGAACCTACACATCGTGCCAACATAGTACCCACAGAATAGAGTCCTGATAAAATTGGATTTCATTGATCTCAATTCTACTGTGATTATAACACTCAGGATATTGATGTCCATTTTTGAAGAACCAAACGTGCAACATAAATTTTACCATTCTGAAAAGTGAACGGAATTTATCATAGGAAGAGACGAAGATGAGTAAAAACAAAAAGGGAAAGAAGAAGGATGACTTGGATGCAATTCTTGCGGAATTTGGAATTGACGAGAAAAGAGAAGATGAAGGAAATAACCAGAAGGAGAAAGATGGAGTAACAGCTGGGGTAGCAGCGGGAGAGGGCGAAGATGCGAAGATGTCTAAATCCAAGAAAAAGAAAGAAAAGTTAAAGCAAAAAAAGGAACAAATGAAAAACAATAAAGATGAAGGAATCCAAGAAGAAGGGGAAACAAAAAAGGAATCGGCTGGAATGACGACGAACGAATCGAGTAATAAACCCAAGGTGGAAGATGCTTCTACAGGGAAAGTGACGAATAATGCAAAAGATTCCAATAACATTAATGCCAATAGTGGTGATATCAATGACGATGATATCAATGACGAGGGTATGAATGATGAGGGCATCAATGACGATGCTGCGAAAAAGAATAAAAAGAAGAAAAAAAAAAAGGACAAGGAAAAAGAGAAAAAAAGTACCACAGGGATGTCTGAAATGGCAAAAGCAGCAGCAGAAAGGTTGAGGTTACTAAAAGAATATGAAGAAAAAAAAAGAGAAGAAGAAAAAAGAAAGCAAGAAGAGGAAGAAGAAAGAATTAGAAAGGAGGAAGAAGAAAAAGAAAAGAAAAGATTAGCCAAATTAGAAAAAAAAATGCAATTGAAAAAGGAAGGGAAATTACTAAGTGCAAAAGCAAAGGAAGAAAAAAAAAAAAAAGAACTATTTTTAAAAACGTTAAAAGAATCGGGAGTATTGGTAGAACCAAAGGAAAAAGTTAAAGCAGAAATAATCAACATAGATCTTAATAAAACAAAACTATTTTTAAAGAAAAAAAAAAATAAAATTAATTCAAATGCGAATAATAATATGGAGGATAAGAAAAAACACATGCAAGGCTCCTCACGTCATGGTAAACAAGATGGAAATAATAACCTCCCAGACGATGAAGCAGAAAAAAAAAAAATAGACCCTAAAGAAATTGTACTAGACGATTGGGAGGATTTCCTAAACGTAGATGAAGAAAATAAAAAAGACAAAAAAAAATCAAATGAAATTGAAGATAAAGAACAAGCAGAGAGAGAAAGGAACAAATCCAAAGATTCAAAAAAAGCAGATGAAAAAAAAAATGCAAAAAGTGATTCTGTTAATAGTAAGAAAGGGAAGAAAAAGACAGGGGCTGATAAAAACAACAATAACGACAAAAATAACACACAAGATGATGATGGTGATGATGATGATAACCAATACAGATCAGCAATTGTATGCATTCTAGGACATGTGGATACTGGAAAAACAAAACTTTTGGATAAACTTAGACACACAAATGTTCAGGATAATGAAGCAGGTGGAATTACTCAACAAATTGGTGCAACCTTTTTTCCAAAAGAAGTACTAGATAAAGAAATAAAAAAAGTAGATGAAAATATCAAATGTATGTCTAAAGGAATTATGATTATTGATACCCCAGGACATGAATCATTTTACAATTTAAGAAAAAGAGGTTCATCCTTATGTGATATAGCTATATTAGTAATCGACTTAATGCATGGATTAGAACAACAAACGAAAGAATCAATACAGATATTAAAACAAAGAAACTGCCCGTTCGTCATTGCATTAAATAAAATTGACAGATTATATATGTGGAATAAGAATGATTGGTCTCCATTTAATTATACTTTTAAAAAACAAAAAGAAAATACACAAGATGAATTTCATGATAGATTAAAAAATATTTTAAATGAACTATCAGAACAAGGATTAAACTGTCAGCTTTATTGGGAAAATACAAACCCACGAAAATACGTTTCTATTGTTCCTACTAGTGCAATAACAGGAGAAGGAATAGCTGATTTGATTATGATTTTGGTAAAATTAACTCAAAATTTTATGCTTAAAAATATTGAATATCATGACAAATTAGAATGTACCGTTTTAGAAGTAAAAAACATTGAAGGGTTAGGAACAACCATTGATGTAATACTTACTAATGGGGTTCTTAAAGAATCAGATACTATTGTACTTTGTGGTATTAATGGCCCAATAGTCACTGTAATTAGAGCCTTGTTAACACCACAACCTTTAAAAGAATTAAGAATTAAAAATGAATATGTCCATCACAAATCTATAAAAGCTTGTATTGGAGTGAAAATTTCTGCAAACGGATTGGAAGAAGTTCTTTGTGGTACTGCTTTATTCGTTGCTAATAATACTAACGAAATTGAAGAATATAAGAAAAAAGCCATGACAGATGTCTCAGATGTGTTTAATCATGTGGATAAAACTGGTGTTGGTTTATATGTTATGGCTAGCACATTGGGTTCTTTAGAAGCGCTACTCATTTTTTTAAAAGATTCTAAAATACCCGTTTTTGCAGTTAATATTGGTACCGTTCAAAAAAAAGATGTAAAAAAAGCTAGCGTCATGAGAGAAAAAGGGAAACCTGAATATTCTGTCATCCTTGCATTCGATGTTAAAATAGATCCAGAAGCAGAAAAAGAAGCGCAGGTTCTAGGAGTAGAAATTATGCAAAAGGATATAATTTATCATCTATTTGATGCATTTACAAGTTATATTAAAAAAATAGAAGAAGAAAAGAAGCAGAGTAAATTGACCGATGCTATATTCCCATGCGAATTGTCCATTGTTAACGATTGTGTATTTAATAAAAAGGATCCCATAGTTATTGGAGTTAAGGTAGATTGTGGTATTTTAAAAATTGGAACCCCCTTATACATACCAGAAAAAAGCCTAAAAATAGGAAACGTAGTAAGTATACTCTTAAATAAAAAAAGCTGTGATAAAGCCAAAAAGGGCGAAGAAGTTTCTATCAAAATATGTGGGGAACCTCACATTACATTTGGAAGGCATTTTGATTTCAATCAAAAAATTTATAGTAAAATTACCAGAGAGAGCATTGATGTTTTGAAGGAATATTTTAGGAGTGAATTGACAATGGAGGATTGGAGACTAGTCGTACAGCTCAAGAAAATTTTCAACATTATCTAGGTGTGGGGAGTGCTATTTTAAGGAGTGGTCCAAGCGACCCAAGTGGAATAAGAAAATGAAGAAAACGAAGAAGAAAATGAAGAAGATGGAGGTGAGACCTGGAACGAGGGATTGTCATTGTTAAGCAAAATGGGAAACGAAATATGAGAAGTTGCATCTACGTTACTCACGAAACATAGGGAACATTTTAGTGAATAATATCATTGCCTCATTCGTTTTGTTTCATTCCTCTTCCATTGAAAAAAGGAGAAAAAAAAAAAAAAAAAAAAAAAAATGGCTCGTGCATGTAAAATACTTAATTGATAAATGCCAGTTGTTATTTTATCTACTAACAGAAGAAGAATAAGGTACAATGAATGGATTAAAATTTAGGTTTTCATTGAAGAGTACCAAAAGTACACACCAGTTTGTGTATGTGTTTCTAGTTCCTCCCATTGAGGGTGGGGGTAGAGATAATCACCCCGACTCTCCATCCTTTTGCAAGCGATCATAATGGAAAAATCAGAGAAATAAAATGGGCGAAGAAGTTTTGAAATCCCCTACATAATACGGTTCAAGTGTGTGTGTATATTTATGTGCATATATTTGTGTACGTATATTTGTGTGCTTATATTTGTGAGCCTATATTTGTGTGCTTACATTTGTGCGTTTCTATTTGCCGACCTCATCCTCTACAAGAAAAACACGACTTCTTTTTATCGCTTGCACACACAAGTGCCCGTTTTACTTTCATACTCTTTTATAGTCTCGTGTTATGCGAACCTATGCATAAAACTCTCCATTTTTTTTTTTTTTTTTTCATTTCAAAGAAACCCATTTGAAATGTTTCCACATGTGCCTTATTCATTGCATAGTTTCTTAGCGGCACAACTTCATGGGTTGTGTTTCACCGTGTGTATCATTTCTAAAACGGTAAATGCTAACATTTGAAATTTTTTAATTGACCTTTTCAAAGAATCAAGGGTTTATGATAATAAGACAAAGATAGTGGGGAGGGGGGCGATGTGTCTGTCAATAAGAACGCACCAACCGATGCATACGCATTTTTCACTTGTAAGTTTTGTACATGTATATATATATAAAAGCATATAGCTGCTAAGTTACAAAAGTTTCCAAAAACATCAACTTTTTTATAACCCCCATTTTAAATTGCATTTTTGAGGTTTTCTCCCTTCTCAAAAATACACAAGCGGAAAATTAATGTATTTAAAAAAGATTACCATATTGGAAGCAAAAAGGTTGAACAGTACAATGGTTTAATTTTACGAGAACAGTTATAGAGGGTATGGCTTTATAATTTTTTTTTTTTTTTTTTTTTTTTTTTTGTGTCTTAACCTGATTTTGTGTAAATATATTGCACACTAATGTGTGATTACTCCCAACTTTTTCTGTAACATTTTTTTTTCTTGTGGTAATATTTACACGAGAAAAATCTCCATTTGTGTCATTTCATTCATCTGCTGGTTTTATTTTTGCTGCATGTTTTACCTGACTTGTTCAGGCAAAATAGGTAACTCGAAAGAGGGATATATATAAAAAAAAAAAAAAAAAAAATCAAAAAAATCATAATATCAATGAAATAAACGAAATAAAGGAAGTAAACGAAATGTGTTACCAAAATGAGTCATGTGATGAAAAGTCTGGAAAAACATAACGAGTACTTTTAAAAGCCACGAAATTCCTCTAAATTAGTTTTAAACCACCTGCATAGGAATAAGCCACTTTGTGTGTCATTATGGGAGAGTAAAACGTGAAAGAGGATAAAAGAAAAAAAATTAAACTAATAATGCATTTAAGTTTTAATCACAAAGTTTATGCAGCTCAAACGTTTAAGCAGCTAGCACGCGGTTAATGTGTAATTTCAAAAAGCGCTAAAACTAGCAAGTAATTATTTACACAAAAAAAGTAAAAATAAATAAGAAATATATATCCTCCTTAGAGTAACACAATTTTCTATGATATCTTTCAAGGTATCCCTATAACTTTAAAGCAGTTCATTCTATAACATACAAAGGAGAAAAAAAAAAAAAAAAAAAGATCGCTATTTGATTGAACTCTTAAGTATACTTTAACGGGAAAAATATATATAACTACAAAAAAAAAAAAAAAAAAAAAAAAAAAATTGGTATAAAAGCAAAATATAATAATGTCTACATGCACACATATGATGAATGTACATTGCAAATTCTAACCTCCACAGGTCTGAATTCACAATATATACAATCTCTATCTGTGTTAAGAATAAATAATGTCGCACTGCATTATTCTTCCTATTTTCATCCCATTTTTGTTATTTCCCTTTTTTGTGAAAATTTGTCCATATATAATAAGGACACATTCTGAATACACATTTTTCAGCGGAAAAAAAAAAAAAAAAAAATCCCCTTCCCAATGAATACCAAATCATGAACCCAACGTGACATTAGACTTTGTTCAAAAATTAATAGTTTAAGTAACATTTTTATTTTTTTTTGTTTTCTTAAAAATTTAGTCATACAATTTGCTTTCAAAGATACATAAAACGAAACTGAATAAAATTCGAAAATGTGTCAAAATGGATGTTAAGGATGTGGATTTTTTCATGTGTGTCAATAATCTGAAATGTGTACCGGTCTTAGATCTGTATTCCAGAGAGTAAAAAATAAAATAACAAAATAACAAAATAAACAAATGAACAAATGAACAAATAAACGAGTGAAATAACATAAAATCAATAAATGGAGCAATATAAAATGAAAGAATAAAAGTATAATATAACAAAAAACGTAGTGCAGGGGAAATATAGCCAATTTTTTCCAATGAAACCTATTTGGAAATTTCCCCTTTTTTATTTTATTTTTTTTTTTTTTTTCAAACTCCTTTCCTTTATAACTTTTATATAGATGGTTTGAATGCCACAAGAACATAGTGTCAATCAACATGTATCTGCACAACAATAGTGACATGATTGATATACTAGGAGATGAACGCATGGACGCCCTTGTGGGGAAGGTATCTAATAAATCTAACAATAAGACATCATTAGTGTGTAGTCGTTCAAACATTCACATACATAAGCACATATACATATGTATATATGATCCAATGAGAAGAACTTATCCATCCCCCACAAGTTTTATAAATCATCTTTTATACATATCATATGCACCCTTTTTGTACCTTCTTCCTTTCTTCTCCTACTGTCAAGACTGAAACATTGATTAGGGAACTAATTACAACTTACTTCGTTAGATTTCTAAACTCGGAAGAAATAACAAAAATTAATAAAGACAGAGAAATGTTGCAGGGAATAGAGAAAGAATTTAAGAGTGACAATGAAAATGCAAAAAAATCGGATGATACAAGTGCTCAAAGCCGCATTTATAATTACATATCGGTAAGCCTATAAGCACATGTTTACATGGATAAACAGGAAAAAGAACTTGTATCACCTTACGCCATAGTTTGCATTTTTTTTTTCACAAAAAAAAAAAAAAAAATATACATATATATATATCTCCTTTTCACACAAATTCTAACTTTTCAGCTGTACCACGAATTGACCATTTTAAACATCTTCGAGTTTGTTTTATTTTCTGATTATATATATGAAAAAATAGACACCCATATGATCAACATATTTGCTTATATTTATTCCAATTTAGTATCCTTCCTTAAAACGTAAGGATAGCAAAAGAAATTCGCAATAAAAGTTCAACACACAATGTTGTACATACTTTCATTGTAGACATTTTTTTAAAAATTCGCATGTTTACAATTGCATATTTTTTTTTTTTTTTTTCTTCTTATTAGCAACTCGAATGATTATTTTGTTAAGCCCATGAATGAGATGTCCATAAGTGAGGTTATATATATATATAAATTGTAAATGTCATTGCATTAATGCGTTATTCTGTGAGTAACTTTTGGGGGAACATGATAACTTCAACATGGAAACGTCAGTCATATTTCTGCATAGACATGTATGTACCTCGCGAACACTTTTTACAACAACAGATGCTTAAAGAAGAACAAGACAAAACACAAAACATTGACAGATTAAAAATATACATCAATGTTATCAACACCTTGAGAAATATAACTGACAGAATTCATCTTCTAAACAATACAATAGTCAATAAGATAGTGGACTATGGTTAAGATGAAAAAGGGAAAAAGAAAAGAAAAAAAAAAGAGAATTAAAGGAAAAAGAAAAAAGAAATAAAGGAAAAAGAAATAAGGACAAAAAAATAAAGATCAAAGAATTTTTTTTTTTTTCTACATAATTCTAAATATCTTTTTCAAATAGTGGTGTTACATTCTGTAAGATTGCAACTGAGGAATATATAACACTTTTTTCTTTACGTAGACATTTTGTTAATTCTAATTCCGCTCCTGGAGAAAAAACCATGGGTCCACGAAAATTATGTATTTGAAAATAATGAGTAATAATAAGCTGCATGACTTTGTTATTTGTATGCACATGTGCATGTATATTCATGTATACTCGTATGAAAGAGTGAATGAATGCACTTTTTAGACTTGTTAGTCTTGTTACACTTATTATCCTTATTACACCACACACACACACACACAAACACAGATGGATAAAACGTGAAGACAGTACCTTACCTATGACTGAAAAGCAGGTATTAACAACGTAGCACGAAAACTATTTCAAGTGATTCATCAAGTGAACCTGTTTCCCTTCTTTTTATACGTATATAAGTTGCAAAGTTTTACCTTTTACAAAAATGTACAAGGAGTTAATTTTTTTTCTTTTTTTTTTTCCCCACAGCTGTGGTTAATATTGTATACCCTGATACTAAACAGGACATGCCAAGAAAAGTAACGTCTTCCTCCACAGAGATGTTGTTAATAATTCCAAAGTGTCTTTGTGTGACAAAGTAGCACAAAAAAGACACATGTACACTCATCAAATTTTTCCTTATTTTTCCCTCCGAACAGATATGAATTGACTAACTATAGGAGAAATAACATTTTGAAAGTACTCTACACAGCGTATAGAAAAAGTTTTTCACTGAGAAAAACCTAATATTTTACATTAATGCAACCATTCAACCTTTTTAATTTGTTTTATTTTGTTTTATTTTGTTTTATTTTGCTTTATTTTGCTTTGTTTTGTTTATTTTTTTACCTTTTTTTTTTTTTTTTTTCTCTCTCCCCTGATTTTCTTTCTTTTCGGAAATTACCTGCACAGCTCAGAAAACACATGAACGAACACTTGCACGAGCAGTTACCACCCATGAAAACATTACACACATTTATTGAAGTAAAATGAAAAACAAATAAATAAAAAAAAAAAAAAAAACCACAAACAAAACGTACAAAACTTGCAAAAGGTCAAGAAAATTATAATATACATTCTTCAATTATTTACAGCATTTGTATATATCCAAAAGTATTTTTCCAGAAAATAAAAACTCCTGTCTGATTATCGACGTGGTGAGTCATTTTAACAAAAAAAAAAAAAAAAAAAAAAAAACAATTGGTGAGTCAATAAAATGTGCATGTTTTTTTTTTTTTTTTTTAATTTTGGCTAGGTACCTGAAATTTTTGAAGAGGTAAAGACAGACATGTTAAAGAATAAAAGGAAGATCATTTCTACGCTCAACAGCCTTACAATTGAAAAGGACATTTTAGGAAGCATATCGGACATGTATCTCTCTGTATATGAATTTAGTCAACAGAGTGGAAAAGGTACTTTAAAAAATGAAAATAGAATTATAAATAAATGTATCAACAAGGCTAGGTAATATATATGTAGGAAGAGGAGATAACTTAAAATTCCCTTTTTTTTTTTTTTTTTTTTTTTTCTTTCGTTCCCCTTATTATAGAAAGCAAGTGTGGAGCTAAAGCTAAGGGTGAAAAAAGCGAGATTTCTAAAAAGAGTGAAACAGCAGAACAGTCAAAGGACGAATGTTACATTTGTGACAACTGCAAAGAAAATGTAATTCAAAAAAAGTGTAAAAAATAAAATGCATAAATAATGTGATGCAATTCGAAACAATGCAAAATAAAATGAAACGTATGTGTATGTTCTGCAGACGTCATAGTGGCAAACGGGGTTCGCAATAAAATGGAGCACTTTCTATTTTTTTTTTTTTTTTTTGGTTGTCCTCATTCTTAGGCTGAATTACAATGTTCTCAATGCAAACGGGCTTACTACTGCTCGAAGGAGTGTCAGGTGAGTTTTCATAATGGTGCAAATATACAATTATGTGCAAAATGATAAACAAGCAAATACTGCTTCTCCCACTCATTCTGCTTGTATGCTACTCTTTCTACTTCTTCTCTTAATTCTTCTCCTACTTCATCCTTTGTGCTCGTTGCGATGTAGATGAAAGACTGGTTCAATCACAGAGAGGTGTGCTCAAATGTAACTTGACTTCAAAGAGATTTTTCGACAAAAACAAGAAGAGAACAAGGTGTAGTATAACAAAAGATTCGATGTTTGTTTTTAATTAAAAATGCATAGAGATATATAGCACATTGGAAAAAAAAAAAAAAAAGAAAAGAGGATAGAAAAACACTTAAAAATTAGGAAAGAAACATAAAACTGCAATGAAATTAGTTGTATCATAGAAGAACTATGTGCTGTATGAATCAAGCATAGAGTGCATAAAAAGATTGGAAAATTTAGAGGGCACGATGAAGCTAATTCTAACAAGGACGATATATACATATATATATATAACACAACGAATCACGATTGGATATACAACAAATTGGTTTGCTTTTCTCAAATGCTAGACGTAGCATAAATATATGACATGCAACATGCACATATAGTTCGCATTGCTGCAAAACTATTCAATCCTTCATACAATTGCTATTCACAAAAATTGTGTAAAAAAAAAAAAAAAAAAAAAAAAAAAAATGGAATATTAATGCTCAGTACTAGTCATACTTTTTATTACGTTTCCTTAATCCATGTGTACATGCATAAATATAAAGAGAATATATACATACACACATATATATGTGACAAAAATGGATCACTTTTGATCGAATATTTTCCCCATGTATCAATCTTCAAACAATTTCATTCTTAGCATTAAGGGAAGTAACGATGTTGGTTCTACAAATTGGACAAACCTGACTTTTATATAACCACTTTGTCAGACAAGCCACATGAAAGAAGTGGCGTTTGTCGCATGGCATTATCATTACCTCGTCATTGGGATTATAACTCATCATACATATAGAACAGATATCTTCGTCTTCTCGTTCAATTCCCTGATCAATGGCTCCATCACTGGCTCTATCAATATCTTCTCCATTTTCACGATCCTTGTCTCGCTCCTTGTGCTGCTCCTTAGATATACCCTTGAAACCACTGCTAGAGAAACAAATTGGCGAAACTTCATTCGCATGATTAGACTGTTCATTTGGGTCATTTGGATTAAGTGGCTTTAACATCTCCTTTAAATTTTCGTCTGCATGGTTTTCATTTTTTGAAGTTGAATGCGTATTAATTTTTTTCTTGTCCTTTTTGTCTTTTCTTCTCATTGCCCGTTTTACCTTGTCGAATATAATTTCAAAAGATGGTTTTTTGAATTTTTTTTTTTTTTTTTTTATATTATTTTTATTTTCCCTATTATGCACAAAATCCAAATCCCTATATTTCAATACGGCCAACTTTTTTATAACATTTTCTGGGGTTGGTATACGATCATTTTCATCAACGGAGAAGTTTATAATGATACAAATAATTAAGGATAGAAATAAACCAAGTGATATGTAAAATAAAAGCGGTAAAAAATATAATGTAATAGTAAAGTAGTAGTATAGCTTTATGAATTTCAGTGCTACAGTATTGAATGAACATTTATTATTATAAAAATGTAATAAATATAGGGATACTAATGCTAAAAAAAAAGTTAAAGAATTAAATAGTTTTATAAAATATATTGTCAAATTTTTTAACCTTTCATCATTTTCAATTTCATCTCTTTTTTTTATTCTCATAATTGTTAAACTTATGTGAAATATACTTTTTATTAATATAATAATGACCACTACCCTGTTATAATAATCACACGCTTCACAAGGAGTCTCTATGAAATGTATGCTAATAATAACAAGTGTTAAAATGCACAACATCCAACATAAATAGAGGGTTATCGTGAGGTACCTATACAAAACCTCTTCGGTGTCGTTCAATTCGATGTAATTACCTAATATATGTGTGTGTGAAAAGAAATGAAAAAAAAAAAAAAAAAAAAAAGTGAATCAAGAAAAAATGGTACTCCTAAGTTTTTCCTTGTGTTGGTATCCCCAAGGGAAGGGAAGAGGGGGAGGGGAAGCACACCTTCCTGGGCGCTTCCTCTAGCACCTTTGTCATTTTGTGCATATTTGCATATGCATGTCTCTACCTATATGTCTACCTACATGTATATGTATCTACCCCCACACGTAAATATCTACTCACACATGGATATATCTACTCACACATGGATATATCTACTCACACATGGATATATCTACACACGTATATATATTTTTTTATGAACACATTAATTGGTCTTTTACTCACCATTGCTACTCGAGTCATCCAAATGTACATTCATTTTTCCCCCCACCCACTTTGGCTACTAGTATTTTTTTTTTTTACCAATTTTAATTTTCTGTTCCTTAGTCTCGTGTATGTGTTGCTATTCACACGCTGTTGTACTGGTGAAAAGGCTGACTTTCAAACCAAGGGAAGTAAAAACTGTTGTTCTGTTAGACGTGAGTGAAAATAATAAGACTCAATCTATATTGTTTTTGTAGACTTTTCCCTTTTTTTTTATCTTTCTCATTAAATTCATTTCTGCCCATTCCAAATGGGTAGTATTATTCCTCGTTTAGGTAATACTCATATATTTTTTTTTTTTTTCCATTTAATGCATTTGTAAAGATATTTCCTCGCATAAGATGTGAATGGAGAAAAAAGGACAAATTTTGAGAGTTGCACTCTTCGTAAGAGTTGCAATTGCGTTGTATTCGAGTTGTGGTTGTAGTTAAGACCACCGTTGAAAGTCCATAAAAAAAAATATATATAACAAATTGAAATATAACAGATTGAAATATAACAGATTGAAATATAACAGATTGAAATATAACAAATTGAAATATAACAAATTGAAACATAACAGATTGAAACATAACAGATTGAAATATAACAAATTGAAACATAACAAATTGAAATATAATAGCGGCAACTATAACAAATTAAAGTAGAGCAAATTAAAATATAATAACGTAAAGCAAAATCACAAAAATTTGGACACTGCAGAATAACCGGGTGTAAACAAGCTCGCAGGTTCCCAGTCTCGTGCACGTGCATACAGTTGTGTAGGTGTGTCCACTAAGTAATGTGCCTGAGGAATTATGTGTTCTTTTATTTTTTTGTACAATTTTATACACATGAAGAGGATCGTTTTATGTTCGGGTATAAAAAACGATAAAGAGGTGGTAAGGTGTGAAGCCCTAACAGTGTTTAAGAACATATGAATTGTGAAAATGCATGTTTTTCTAAAAAAAAAAAAAAAAAAAAAAATAGGCTCTGTGCTTTTGCTTCTTTTTATTCCTTAAATGATAAACTTTTACGGTTAAAAGAGTTCGTGGAAACGGGAAAAGAGGCAAAGTGTAAAATATTTTTTTTTTTTTTTTTTTTTCATTCAAATATAACACTGAGGGGAATATATTATATACATGCTACACTCAATCTTATGTTCGTGCGAATATCCTTTTTTTTTTTTTTTTTCTTTTTTTTTGTGTGTATTTTTTTAAGGTGCTTAAAATTCTATATCTTTTCTTTTCTGAGTTTTTATTTTTTTTCTTACCTGCACCTTTTCCCATTTTTGTTCCCCTTGTGAGTATAGTCCTTCCTTAAAAAAAAAAAAAAAAAAAAAAAAAAAAAAAAGTAGAATCCTGTGTATAGTTAATGAAAACACCCTCATTTGACACCACATAAATGTTGGGAATTGAATTTTGAAAATCTAAGGTGGAGAAGTGTATAAATGCATATCATCATACACCTTTGTAGAACAGGAGTAGAGAAAATCTCCCTATCTATGTCTCTTTCCCCAGCTCTTTTATTTATTTATTTATTTATTTATCTATCTATCTATCTATCTATCTATCTATCTATCTATCTATCTATCTATCTATCTATCTATCTATCTATCTATCTATCTATCTATCTATCTATCTATCTATCTATCTATCTATCTATCTATCTATCTATCTATCTATTTATTTATTTATTTATTTTATTTTATTTTATTTTATTTTCTCCCCCCACCCCTCTATTTTACATCCATTCATTTCACTTAACTTTACACTTGTTCACGTTGGGATAATTTCCATTTACTATTTTTCAACTCGATTTTTCTTGGAACGACTTTCCATTCTCCCATTTTTTGTGGATCCCCAAGCGCTGCACTTACATGGGACCCTAGTTATGAAAAAAGAGTCCTTATTCTCATTTATTCCTTTCCTTTCGCGTGTTTTTTTTCTTTTTATTCAAAACTTAATGAGAAATCACAATGAAAATGTGGAGGTCTACATCAGACCTGAGAACAACAAATATGAAGGTAAAAATTGTGATACCCATCATGTAGAGAAGTGAGGTGTGCACATAGATAAGCATTCATGTAGTGAAATGTACAATCGAACACAAGCGTGCGCACGAATTTTGGCAACCGCGACGAGAATAATTCTCCTAACTGTGCCACTTTTTTCGAAAAAAAAAAAAAAAAAAAAAAAAAAAAAAAATGACAACTGCTGCTTTCCCTGCAAGAGCTCAAAAAGATACAAGCACGTTGAGGTGTGTGTCATTGATATTGTATTTTATTTTTTTTACTCTTTTTTATATTTTACTTTTTTTTACCCTTTTTTATATTTTACTTTTTTTACCCTTTTTTATATTCTATTTTTTTACCCTTTTTTATATTCTATTTTTTTACCCTTTTTTATATTTTACCTTTTCTACCCTTTTTTATATTCTATTTTTTTACCCTTTTTTATATTCTATTTTTTTACCCTTTTTACTATATTTATTTTATTTTTCACCAGCGTTCGAAAGACCGAAGAACGATTTGCTGCTGAAGGTTATAGAAAACAAGGATGGGGAGAAGGCAGGAGTAGACAAAATTCCCTTTTGGTTGATGAGACAAGCTGGTAGGTACCTGCCAGAGTATAGACAAATGAGAAAAAAATATGAATTTTTTGAAATATGTCAAAACCCAGAGCTATCTTCAGAAGTGACTATTATGCCACTAAAACGGTTTGGATGTGATATGGTTGTAATTTTTTCAGATATATTAATAATTTTTGTTGCAATGGGTATACAAGTAAAGTTTATTGAGAAGGTTGGTCCAACATTTGACAAGAACATAACTACATTTGAAGATTTCAATAAATTAAATTTATCAATTGAAGAGATTATAAATAATTTACACTATGTGTACGATTCAATAAATTTAACAAAAAAAAAAATTAACAACTCAGTTCCATTATTAGGTTTTGTAGGATCTCCTTTTACACTGTTTACCTACGTCACCAAAAATAATAAGAAAACGTATGAAGATAGCCTAAAAATTATGTATGAAAATCCAAAGGATGCACATAAAATTATTAACAAGTTAAGTGATATATGTATAAGTCACTTGATTAATCAAATTGACAGTGGTGCAAATGTTATTCAGATTTTTGACAGCAATGCAGATATAGTAGACGTCCATACCTTTTCAGAATTTAGTTTACAATATTTAAAAAAAGTTACCAATACGATTAAAAAATACAAACCTCAAACTTATATTATTTTATTTCTCAAGGATAATTTTCATCCAGACGTCAAATATCTAAATGTAGATGTCTTTTCTATTACACATAAACAGCTAGCCAACTATTCATCCCAATTTTATGACAACTTATTTGATAATAAAATTATTTTACAAGGAGCCTTAGACCCACATATACTCCTTTTAAATAATGAAAGGTTAGTTTCAAAATACACATCTCGAATGATCAATCAGATTTCACAGAAAAATAAATTCATTGCCAACTTAGGACACGGCATCTTGCCCAACTCTAGAATTGAAAATGTCCATGCTTTTATTGACGCCGTTAGGAAATACAAATTGGATTAACCAGTTCACTCCTAAATGGGATGAACCTGATGATTCGGCTGTATAGCTAGCCAAACAAAATAAGCAAAAAAAAAAAAAAAATAATAAAAAAAAAATAAAATAAAATAAATAAAAAAAAAAAAATAAAAAAAAAGAAAAATAAAAACCATACATGTTCTTCTTCAGTGGCTCACGCTCAAATGACCCACTGCATGTGCGCATGTTGATCTGGAAATACAACATCACATATATGATATATGCAACTGTAAATAACATTTCTTATTTTGCTTTTGTCCTCACCCTGATCCTACATTTCACAAAGGTGGAAGGATAACTGACTTATGAATTGGCTATCCTTCACACATGTTCCAACCTTTTTGAATATCCCAATTTTTTAAATTCACACATATACAATACAGAGACAGACACACTGGAGGGGAGTGGGACGTGTGCACGTATTATATTTAAGAGTTTGTGTTTGAAATTGTGTCATCAAAATTGCAATTACTTGTTTTTTTTACTTTTATCTTCATTTTTTTTTTTTTTTTATTTTGTCTTCCTCTCAACTCATAGCTTAATTATGGATTTCACCTTTTTACATTTTAACAAAAAAAAAAAAAAAAAAAAAAAAATTACATATACCCGTTGGTCAGGCAGAAGCTATAGTTACGAATACTTTTAAAAATTAAAACAAGGTGGAAAACGATAGAAAGTAAAAAGTAAAAAATGATAAGAAAAAAAAAAAAAAAATAAAAGCGTCAGGGAGGGAAAAAATGGGCAAGGCTGTTTTAAAATAAAAAAAACTAAGCGTGTACGGGGGATTAAACGAATGAGAGACATTCGAAACAGTCATTAAGTGTTAATTGAGGTTAAAAAAAATGCAGAAACGGTGGAGAAACGGTGGAGAAACGGTGGAGAAAAGGTGGAGAAACGGTGGAGAAACGGTGGAGAAAAGGTGGAGAAAAGGTGGAGAAAAGGTGGAGAAACGGTGGAGAAACGGTGGAGAAAAGGTGGAGAAACGGTGGAGAAAAGGTGGAGAAAAGGTGGAGAAACGGTGGAGAAAAGGTGGAGAAACGGTGGAGAAACGGTGGAGAAACGGTGGAGAAAAGGTGGAGAAACGGTGGAGAAACGGTGGAGAAAAGGTGGAGAAAAGGTGGAGAAACGGTGGAGAAAAGGTGAAAAAAAATTGGGGGGAAAGAAGCCCTACACATATATTGCTGCTGCAAGGTTATCAAAAAAGCCACTTTAAAATTTTTTCTTCTTTGTCATTTTTGGGACCTGCCATAAGGGAGAAAAAAGGAAAAAAAAAAAAAAAAAATGAGAGAATAATAATATAGCAGTTTACATACAAGTGTTCCAATTTGGAGAGAAGCATAGTATGGAAAAAAAATCTGCTTTAACATTCGCACAAGGTAGTCAATTAAATGATCATATTATTTTTCCATTTTCGGTTTTTCCATTCTCTTACCCATAAGATGGATCTGTATCTTGAAGCGTTCGTCACATGCTCGTTCTCTAGACGAAAGCAAATCCACTGTAGGAGAAGAAAAGAAATTTCTTTCATGATGGATCCACGTTCACGTTGATCATGCGATGTTTGCATAAATTTACATACACGTGAAATCAGAAAAACATAATAATATATTCCACACACAGGCAAACACACACAAATATACATGCCACTTTCATTTCCATTTTCAAAAAAAAAGTAACCGCATAACTATGTGTAACAAGGGCAATTAATCTTACTATTGATCTTCGCAAGACCTCAATAAACATCAAAAAGAAGGTTATTAGAAAGGTATTTATTTCCTGTACGAATAAAATATTTTGAAGAGGGGGAAAAAAAAATAAAATAAACACATGGATTGAAATTTTGCAACATATATAGAGTTTACTATATTCTGGGAAACAAGTAAAATTAGCTGCGAAAAATATATATATATATATATATATTTTTTTTTTTTTTTTTTTTTTCATCTTATATGTATGAGGTACCTTATTTTGAAAAATGTTCACTGGCATGATGGTGATTGCCCAAGTTAGTCTAAAGATCTAAGAAGTAGGATTGAGGAGTTGGGGAAAAAAAAAAAAAAAAAAAACAATAAGACATTGAAGTAATTAGACAGTGAGAATACTTGGTGCTACGCAGGAGAAATGGAAAATTTCTTCAGGGTACATGAAACACATGGATCAGACATGTCCAAAAAATCTATGTCAATCTTATTTTACCAGATTTAAAAATCCCGCAAAGTAGTAATAATGAGGGGGATACATCAAATTGTTATTTTTCCTACAAACAGGGGAAAAAAGTGTAGAAGTAGAGATGTAGAGATGTAGAGATGCAGAGATGTAGAGATGCAGAGAAATATAGGCATGTAAAAGCACAAACGTGTAGAAGTACAGATGCAGAGATGCAGAGAAGTATAGGCATGTAAAAGCATAAACGTGTAGAAAGTATACGAAAAAAAATAACATATAAACACATTTAAAAAAATTAAAAGAAACTGCTCTGTGAAAAAAAAAAAAAAAAAAAAAAAAAAACATGCTTGTCAGCAACCCTGACGCCCCCTTCCTCCATCCTCTCCTCTCCACAGAGTTTGATTCTCTTGATTTGTTCTCACCTCAACAAATAATTATACTCCTTCAAAAGTCCCCAATCACAATATAAGTCCCAAATGTACATGTAAGTAGATCCAACAATGTAAGCACAAATTAATATCAATTTACTTGTTTCTGCTTGTAAGCCAAAATAGGACCTATGAAAAAATCAAGGATATGTTATATAATGGACTTAAGGAATAAAATACATAAAATTATATGCTTATACAGGTAATAAGAGGTTGGTGGGAGGAGGTATAACTACAGCGGATCATTTCCAGTGTCACGTGTGTTCACTCACCAGTTGAAGGATGTGCATATCACTATGGCTATTCCAGACAAGTACTTAAGCATGTTATATATGTGAATTTTTTCTCTTTCGTTATTGTATCTACAAGATGAGATGAAAAAAAAAAAAAAAAAAAAAAAAAAAAAAAAAGAAATATTTTAAATTGCATTATCCCGACATCGCTACACAGTGACTTCACATATCCATGCATTTTGTTAAAGATAAAATTTTTTTTATTTTTTTTTTTTTATTTTTTTTTTTTTATTTTTTTTTTTTTTTTGCACTCCACCCATGGTGCATTTTTCATACCTAATTAAACACTGACAGAATCGGAAGTAAAATGGGAGTCCCACAAAAACCGGGTTGATGTATCCTTCCATAACTGTGGAAAGAAAGGGTACAAAAAAAGGGGAAAATGAATGGTTTAAAAAATAAAGGGTTAAATATGAAACTAATTCGACACAAAAAAAAAAAAAAAAAAAAAAGGCGGCAAAAATACAATACATGGATGGAAATCCTCATTTCAGTTATTATTTTTATATCTACATACTTGGGCATTTGGCCGGCTCATTTGTGTTCATTCCGTTTCTGCCAAAGGGGAGTGGGAAGGAGAAAAACATACTTAAATGAAAGTGGGTAAATGTGAACATATATACTTAAATGAAGAAGAGTGTGAAATTAAACGAAACAAAATGAGCTGTGGACTGGGTTATCAACAGGGGAGCATTGGGGTCAAGGGTGTATCCTTCATTAGTTAAGTTGCTGACAATTCATGCGTATTTGTATGTGTATGTGGTTGTATGGTATATTATTATCCTTCAGCCTTATCCTCTTTTGCGTGTCCAGTTTTTTCTTTATATGTTTGGCCATTTTCCTCAATTTTTCTCAATTTTCCTCAAATTTTCTCAATTTTTCTCAAATTTTCTCAATTTTTCTCAATTTTCCTCAATTTTTCTCAATTTTCCTCAAATTTTCTCAATTTTCTCAATTTTCTCAATTTTTCTCAAATTTTCTCAATTTTTCTCAAATTTTCTCAATTTTTCTCAATTTTCCTCAATTTTCCCCATTCTGCCCGTTCTTCCCGTTATGTCCAAACTTACATCAAAAAACAGACAAAGTACTGTACGTCTGAAAATGTCTTCGAGAGACTCGTTAGAATATCTCCAATAATGTTATCCAGTAGATTCACGCTATTAACTAGGAAAATTCTGAGTGATATATATATGTGAAGGATGGAAGGGAAGAGGATTAACGAGGGGGGGAAAAACATTTCTATATAATGTAACAAAAGGATACAAGCAGATGAAAATGTTCATTTGGTAACGTCTGGAATGTTCGTACGACATCCAAATTCTACGTGCATCACCAGGTATCATATTCTCATGGATGTCATGCAGGAATTTTCCTACATCTTTTGCTTCTTGTTGCGTGTTAAAAAATATAAAAAAAAAAAAAAAAAAAAAAAAAAAAAACTGTTTCTCTACTCCTCCCATGGTAAAGCGGTATATATATATATATATATATATATATATATATGTGTTCGTGTGTGCATGCCAAGACTTACCCACTGGAGAGAACCCTCAGGAGAGATGAAAAGACAAAATTATTTTCCTTGTATTTGTAAAAGTTAACAGGAATTATTGTGGTAGAAAATAAAAGGATAAACAAAATTACAACGTGGAAAATTATGTTGGAGAATATGTTCAGCTTGAATAATACATCCAGTAAAAATATCAGAAGAGAAAGAGTCGTCAGAAAGAGCAGAAAAATTACTACGTTTATCAGGTAGTAATATTCATCTACAATTATTTTGTTTAAGTCTAGGATGTACCTGCGAGGGGTGAGGGGAGGGGGGAGAGAGAGAAGAAGAAAGCAGTTTATGTCACATT